AGGAGACCACAGTACGATTCGATAGTGGATCCACCATTCCTACTGTTCCTTCCGAAACGGGACGACCCACAGTAACCCCAGAAACAAGCACTTCCCTACCCAGAGATACTACTCCTGGGCAACCTACAGAAAAGGCCATTGAGGAGACCACAGTACGATTTGATGGTGTATCCACCATTCCTTCTTCGGCTCCCGAAACAGAAAGACCCACAGTAACCCCGCCAGAAACACTCTCCTACCCAGGGATACAACTCCTGGCCAACCTAAAGAAAAGGCCATTGAGGAGACCACAGTACGATTCGATAGTGGATCCACCATTCCTACTGTTCCTTCCGAAACGGGACGACCCACAGTAACCCCAGAAACAAGCACTTCCCTACCCAGAGATACTACTCCTGGGCAACCTACAGAAAAGGCCATTGAGGAGACCTCAGTACGATTTGATGATAGAGCCGCTATTCCCTCATCAACTTCCAAGTCTAGTATCCCATCCGTCTCCTTAGAAACCACCACTTCCCTACCCAGGGATACAACTCCTAGGCACTCTACAGAAAAGACCATTGAGGAGACCACAGTACGATTTGATGGTGGATCCACCATTCCTTCTGTTCCTTCCGAAACGGGACGACCCACAGTAACCCCAGAAAGTGCCACTTCCCTACCCAGGGATACTACTCCTGGGCAACCTACAGAAAAGGCCATTGAGGAGACCACAGTACGATTTGATGGTGTATCCACCATTCCTTCTTCTGCTTCCGAAACAGAAAGACCCACAGTAACCCCAGAAACTAGCACTTCCCTACCCAGGGATACAACTTCTGGGCAACCTACAGAAAAGGCCTTTGAGGAGACCACAGTACGATTTGATGGTAGATCCACCATTCCTACTGTTCCTTCCGAAACGGGACGACCCACAGTAACCCCAGAAACAAGCACTTCCCTACCCAGAGATACTACTCCTGGGCAACCTACAGAAAAGGCCATTGAGGAGACCACAGTACGATTTGATGGTGTATCCACCATTCCTACTACTGCTTCCGAAACAGAAAGACCCACAGTAACCCCAGAAACTAGCACTTCCCTACCCAGGGATACAACTTCTGGGCAACCTACAGAAAAGGCCTTTGAGGAGACCACAGTACGATTTGATGGTAGATCCACCATTCCTACTGTTCCTTCCGAGACGGGACGACCCACAGTAACCCCAGAAACAAGCACTTCCCTACCCAGAGATACTACTCCTGGGCAACCTACAGAAAAGGCCATTGAGGAGACCTCAGTACGATTTGATGATAGAGCCGCTATTCCCTCATCAACTTCCAAGTCTAGTATCCCATCCGTCTCCTTAGAAACCACCACTTCCCTACCCAGGGATACAACTCCTAGGCACTCTACAGAAAAGACCATTGAGGAGACCACAGTACGATTTGATGGTGGATCCACCATTCCTTCTGTTCCTTCCGAAACGGGACGACCCACAGTAACCCCAGAAAGTGCCACTTCCCTACCCAGGGATACTACTCCTGGGCAACCTACAGAAAAGGCCATTAATAAGAACACCAAAAACCAAACCAAAAACCCACCAAACACCCTGGGCAACCTACAGAAAAGGCCATTGAGGAGACCACAGTACGATTTGATGGTGTATCCACCATTCCTTCTTTTGCTTCCGAAACAGAAAGACCCACAGTAACCCCAGAAACTAGCACTTCCCTACCCAGGGATACAACTTCTGGGCAACCTACAGAAAAGGCCTTTGAGGAGACCACAGTACGATTTGATGGTAGATCCACCATTCCTACTGTTCCTTCCGAAACGGGACGACCCACAGTAACCCCAGAAACAAGCACTTCCCTACCCAGAGATACTACTCCTGGGCAACCTACAGAAAAGGCCATTGAGGAGACCACAGTACGATTTGATGGTGTATCCACCATTCCTACTACTGCTTCCGAAACAGAAAGACCCACAGTAACCCCAGAAACTAGCACTTCCCTACCCAGGGATACAACTTCTGGGCAACCTACAGAAAAGGCCTTTGAGGAGACCACAGTACGATTTGATGGTAGATCCACCATTCCTACTGTTCCTTCCGAGACGGGACGACCCACAGTAACCCCAGAAATTAGCACTTCCCTACCCAGGGATACAACTCCTGGCCAACCTAAAGAAAAGGCCATTGAGGAGACCACAGTACGATTCGATAGTGGATCCACCATTCCTACTGTTCCTTCCGAAACGGGACGACCCACAGTAACCCCAGAAACAAGCACTTCCCTACCCAGAGATACTACTCCTGGGCAACCTACAGAAAAGGCCATTGAGGAGACCACAGTACGGTTTGATGGTGTATCCACCATTCCTACTACTGCTTCCGAAACAGAAAGACCCACAGTAACCCCAGAAACTAGCACTTCCCTACCCAGGGATACAACTTCTGGGCAACCTACAGAAAAGGCCTTTGAGGAGACCACAGTACGATTTGATGGTAGATCCACCATTCCTACTGTTCCTTCCGAAACGGGACGACCCACAGTAACCCCAGAAACAAGCACTTCCCTACCCAGAGATACTACTCCTGGGCAACCTACAGAAAAGGCCATTGAGGAGACCACAGTACGATTTGATGGTGGATCCACCATTCCTTCTTCTGCTTCCGAAACAGAAAGACCCACAGTAACCCCAGAAACTAGCACTTCCCTACCCAGGGATACAACTTCTGGGCAACCTACAGAAAAGGCCTTTGAGGAGACCACAGTACGATTTGATGGTAGATCCACCATTCCTACTGTTCCTTCCGAAACGGGACGACCCACAGTAACCCCAGAAACAAGCACTTCCCTACCCAGAGATACTACTCCTGGGCCACCTACAGAAAAGGCCATTGAGGAGACCACAGTACGATTTGATGGTGGATCCACCATTCCTTCTTCTGCTTCCGAAACAGAAAGACCCACAGTAACCCCAGAAACTAGCACTTCGCTACCCAGGGATACAACTCCTGGGCAACCTACAGAAAAGGCCATTGAGGAGACCACAGTACGATTCGATAGTGGATCCACCATTCCTACTGTTCCTTCCGAAACGGGACGACCCACAGTAACACCAGAAACTAGCACGTCCCTACCCAGGGATACTGCTCCTGGCCAAACAACAGAAAAAGCCATTGAGGAGACCACAGTACGATTTGATGGTGGATCCACCATTCCTACTGTTCCTTCCGAAACGGGACGACCCACAGTAACACCAGAAACTAGCACGTCCCTACCAAGGGATACCACACCTGGGCAACCTACAGAAAAGGCCATTGAGGAGACCACAGTACGATTTGATGGAGGATCCACCATTCCTACTGTTCCTTCCGAAACGGGACGACCTACAGTAACCCCAGAAACTAGCACTGCCTTGCCCACCGATACCACATTGTGGCAGTTAATTGATCGAACGACTCTGAAACCGATGGATGCAGGTTCACTTTCCACTGTTACGACTGAAGCGACAACATTTATTCCGGTGGTCACTGCTCCTGCAGCCAGTACAGTGTTGCCACTTTTGAATCATACTGGTTTGTCGGGTATGGGTTCTGTTTCGGGTGGTATGCCAAATGTGACTGACAGAAGCCTGACAACCAAGTCTTTAGACAATTGTGAGAGGGACCTGGACTGCTTCGACTACGAGACTTGCTTAGGAGGACTCTGCATATCGCCCTGTGAATACTTTATGAATCCCTGCACTGATCAAAACTTGACCGTATGTCGTACATTGAACCACACCACAATGTGCTTCTGTGATAACGCCGACGATGTAAATAGACCGGGTTGCTCTATGAAAGCAGGTAACTAAAGTTGTGTATATAAGTTGTAAGTCTTGATATCCAGCCATATTGAATGAACTGCAAGGAACCACAGGGTTGCGGTAATCTTCTGGCATCGTGGCATCGCCGACTACTTTCAAAGCCAATCACACAGCTGGCAAATTGTAGCAGTCTACTTCGGTTAGATGTCATGATTTCTTTCTCTTCCTTGGACCTACCGCCATTACCTTTCTTTTTGTGGCATATATGCTATATGTATGACCAGCCATCCGAATCGTGCGGGCACCGTGCATGCAACCATTTTTTGTATTCCTGGCAACTCCCGTGTGTTCTTTGTTCTCCACCGATCTCAAATCATTTGTCTTTACCCTCTTTTATTACTGCTTCCTTGGCTGTGTTTCGTTGAAAGCCTTGCACCTTCACCCATGGATCTCTTCTCCACCACGAGCAGCACTCCAGATAGTTCGAATTTTGTGTCCACAAAAGAAGCTTTGGATCGAACGCCACCATAGGCGTTTGCATGCCGATTTATGTTGCAATGTTGCTCGTTTATGTTAGTTGCCTGCTTGTGATGTCTGCCTGATAAAATGCCTGCCTCAAAACTCATCAAGCTCCCCTGCCATCGACCACATCATCTTGAATGTCTCTCGTTATTCGTTATTCGTTATGGTTCTCACCTGTTATGATCTCGACTCGCATGTCTTCTCCGCGCGACACCTTTCAATTGTGTGCTAATCTGTGTTGAACTTGTTGTATTTGGTACATAAATGTTGTTTTTAAAACTTAGACTTTATCATACCCTACAGTAAGTGTTTTAGTGTTTAGAAGTAGAAATATTGCATGTGGTATATGGTAATCATACTCGTAGTATATAAAGATGTAACGCACTAACCAATCTAATGCTTTTGCATGTGTATATGTTGTACGAAGCAACAATTAAAACCTGACTAATGCCAATGCCTGCTAGTATTTAGATGTGCTTGCTTAAACCTACTTTAGATAGAGAAAACCTACGCGTAAGGCATCTATATTAAATGGAGATGTTGTACTAACTGCATTGAAAAATGAACTAAAGAGAAAACTACCTACCGAACAGGATTCTTGACTTCAATGAAAGGAATGACCTAATTTTAACGACCCATACGTCCAAGTATTTCCCCCACTAATCCACAATTCTTTCGAACAGAAATTGGTTGTGCCTCCAGTGCTGAGTGTCCATCCCAGCAGGCATGTATCAATGCTCTTTGCGTTGATCCCTGCACCTACAGCAATCCCTGCGACCGGAACGAGGACTGTCGAGTTCTCGACCACCAGCCCTTGTGCTCCTCAGGTGGGTAGTCTCCAAGATAGACTGTGGAATATCAAAAATAACTAATTTCGATTTCCAGAAACTGGTCGTACACCTGGCTGTGAACACTGTCCACCAGGTGTCAATTGTGATCCCACAACGGGAGCTTGTATCAAGGGTAAGTGTTTCGAACCGTCCTAATATTAACCTTATACTAAGTGTAAATACAATGTGTAAATATTCTAATGTTAAAATTAACCGCCCGTTACCCGTGTAAATACATCTCTCTCCTTAGCTAATGTAACAATAACAACTATTACTACCAAGAACTCCACATCTACCAAGATTGGTAAACCAAGAACAACAGCTAACCCCAATATTGGCGTCAAAACGACACCAACCACGACAAGGGTCACAAACAAAACCACCAAAAAACCAACCACCACCACCACTACTACCACTTCCTCCACTATCACAGAATCGAGCACAAGCACAAGCGCTACTAACCAGACCAGTAAGAACCACAGACCCGACACAGAAAGCACCACCTCCCACACCGATGCTACGAGGCGGTACCGCGACGGTGAGAACAACATCACCGATACTCCGACCCCGACTCCCAGGCCCTCGGTACAGACGACCACGTTGCGGGGCGAGGATATATCGAGTGACAGCCAGAAGCGCACTACAACGCCCAGATCGAAGACCACGCGACTGGACACTTCCAAGGAAGTGCCAGATGCCACCACGTCGTGGCCCATTGAGCTGCCAACCACTGAGGGCACCACCACGGAGGTCTACGGCACCATGATTGCGCCACTGGCGAACACCACTGACATCTCATTAATTAACCCATGTACAGTAGATACTAATTGTGCTCCTAACGAGCACTGTAACCAGGGCCAATGCCGTAAGAAAGGTATTAATGAATCAACTACATGTTAGACAATGCTAGCCACTTTGGGATACTACTAAAAGTTATTCAATAATTAAGTTTTATTTTCCCTTTTCTCATGATGTTGGTATCCCAAAGTGGATACCATTCAATTGTAAATAATTAACTATGTATAGGGCTTGTCTTCTGGCCTCACAAACTAATTTTTTTTTGTACAAAGAAATTGTAAATACTTGGCCCCTGTACATACAAAGTCATATTTAAGATTTTTCAACCAAACATCGACACTAATGAATTAACTATTTAACTTACTAAATGCTCTCTAACAAGTAGAACCGCCGGGTTCACCGAAAACACCCGAACCATGCCAATCTAACAACGACTGCATTGAGAGCGAGGCCTGCTACATGGGTCTGTGCCAGGATCCGTGTGAGTTTGCCAAGATCTGCGCCTCGAGCGCCAAGTGCTCGGCGAAGAGTCATCGACCAATTTGCACCTGCCCGCAGGGCCACGAGGGCAATCCAATGGTCAAGTGTGTGCCCACGCAAACTTCAAGTAAGACACTAAAATCGATTAACCAACAATTTCATTCACTGCATGTCCTCTAAACTTGAACTATTCTATATCCTAATAGTGTTTGATATTTTACTAATTCTGTTCTATACATTTTTAGTGGAATGCGCTGATGATTCCGACTGTGGCATCACGGAGGCGTGCATCAACCAGCGCTGCCAACATCCTTGCGATGTCCATGATCCTTGCGCCACGAATGCCGTGTGCATCAACACCAATCACGCGGCCGATTGCAGCTGCGCCGATGGCTTCCAAGGCAACGGATTTGTTGGCTGCCAGCCAGGTTAGTATTAGCTTTCCAGACTTACGAAATGGCACTTCTGTCGTTGTCCTCTGCTAATGATTCACCATGTCTCGTTTCCCAAACAAAAAATATCTCTTTCTTTCATACACTGTACAAATTCCCGTACACGTACCACGACACCTGTATAATACCGTACGCCCCGACACCGAAAAACGCAACTCCGAAACAAAATCAACCGAACTCTATAAATACACCCACCGATCCAACGAATCGCACCGTAACCCTAACACGTAAAAACATAGCACGCACCCATGTCTGCCAATACAACGAGGACTGCCCACCGACGAAGCTCTGCGATCGCCTCAACCGCCGCTGCATCAATCCCTGCCAGGAGGATTCGTGCGGCGAGAATGCCGAGTGCATTCCCGTCAACCACGGCACCGACTGTCGCTGCCTGCCCGGATTCCTGGGCAACGCCTATGTCCAGTGCCTGCCCAGCCAGGGCTGTCGCTCGGACTCGGAGTGTGACTCCAGCCAGGCCTGCATCAACGGCAAGTGCTCCTCGCCCTGCCAGTGCGGTGCTTTCGCCCTTTGCGACGTGGTCAATCACCGTGGAGTGTGCAAGTGCCCGGCGGGCTACAATGGCAATCCCCAGGTGGGCTGCAGCCCACCCCAGAATCCCTGCGAGCCAAATCCCTGCGGCCTCAATGCCCTGTGCGAACTGGACAATGGCAATCCCATCTGCTACTGCCCCAAGGGACTAACTGGAAATCCTTTCAAGAATTGCAGTGAGTATTGAAAACTTTTTTACATTTTATTATATGTACTTTTGCAGAGGGTATCCGACTTGATTAGGATCCCCTCCTGAGTTTATATAAGCCTGTCCGTTTGTCTGTCTGTTTCTACGCAAGCTACCCATCACTGTGGGCCATATAGGGGAAAACCCCATTTTCAGGGGAGGTCATCAGGAAAAATAGACAAAAAATCTAAAAAATATTTTGTCTCAGGATTTTGATGCAGATTTGTGCAGAATCGATCCAGATATCGTTTAAGGTAATCCGCTTGAGAATCGGATAAGAATTGGGGAAGATATAGCTATCCCTGTGGGCCATATAGGGGAAAACCCCATTTTCAAGGGATCTCATGAGGAAAAATGGACAAAAAATCTGAAAAATATTTTGTCTCAGGATTTTGATGCAGAATGGTGGGGAATCAATCCAGAAATCGTTTAAGGTACTCCGCTTAAGAATCGGATGAGAATTGAGGAAGATATAGCTATCCCTGTGAGCCATATAGGGGAAAACCCCATTTTCAAGGGATCTCATCAGGAAAAATGGACAAAAAATCTAAAAAATATTTTGTCTCAGGATTTTGAAGCAGAATGGTGGGGAATCGGTCCAGAAATCGTTTAAGGTACTCCGCTTGAGAATCGGATGAGAATTGGGGAAGATATAGCTATTCCTGTGAGCCATATAGGGGAAAACCCCATTTTCAAGGGATCTCATGAGGAAAAATGGACAAAAAATCTGAAAAATATTTTGTCTCAGGATTTTGATGCAGAATGGTGGGGAATCAATCCAGAAATCGTTTAAGGTACTCCGCTTAAGAATCGGATGAGAATTGGGGAAGATATAGCTATCCCTGTGAGCCATATAGGGGAAAACCCCATTTTCAAGGGATCTCATCAGGAAAAATGGACAAAAAATCTGAAAAATATGTTGTCTCAGGATTTTGATGCAGAATGGTGGGGAATCAATCCAGAAATCGTTTAAGGTACTCCGCTTAAGAATCGGATGAGAATTGGGGAAGATATAGCTATCCCTGTGAGCCATATAGGGGAAAACCCCATTTTCAATCTCATGAGGAAAAATGGACAAAAAATCTGAAAAATATTTTGTCTCAGGGTTTTGATGCAGAATGGTGGGGAATCAATCCAGAAATCGTTTAAGGTACTCCGCTTAAGAATCGGATGAGAATTGGGGAAGATATAGCTATCCCTGTGAGCCATATAGGGGAAAACCCCATTTTCAAGGGATCTCATGAGGAAAAATGGACAAAAAATCTGAAAAATATTTTGTCTCAGGATTTTGATGCAGAATGGTGGGGAATCAATCCAGAAATCGTTTAAGGTACTCCGCTTAAGAATCGGATGAGAATTGGGGAAGATATAGCTATCCCTGTGAGCCATATAGGGGAAAACCCCATTTTCCAGGAAAAATGGACAAAAAATCTGAAAAATATGTTGTCTCAGGATTTTGATGCAGAATGGTGCAGAATCGATATAGAAATCGTTTAAGGTACTCCGCTTAAGAATCAGATGCGAATTGGGGAAGATATAGCTATCCCTGTGAGCCATATAGGGGAAAACCTCATTTTCAAGGGATCCCATCAGGAAAAATGGACAAAAAATCTAAAAAATATTTTGTCTCAGGATTTTGATGCAGAATGGTGCAGAATCGATATAGAAATCGTTTAAGGTACTCCGCTAAAGAATCAGATGAGAATTGGGGAAGATATAGCTATCCCTGTGGGCCATATAGGGGAAAACCTCATTTTCAAGGGATCCCATCAGGAAAAATGGACAAAAAATCTAAAAAATATTTTGTCTCATGATTTTGATGCAGAATGGTGCAGAATCGATATAGAAATCATTTAAGGTACTCCGCTTGAGAATCGGATAAGAATTGGGGAAGATATAGCTATCCCTGTGAGCCATATAGGGGAAAACCTCATTTTCAAGGGATCTCATCAGGAAAAGTGGACAAAAAATCTAAAAAATATTTTGTCTCAGGATTTTGATGCAGAATGGTGCAGAATCGATATAGAAATCGTTTAAGGTACTCCGCTTGAGAATCGGATAAGAATTGGGGAAGATATAGCTATCCCTGTGAGCCATATAGGGGAAAACCTCATTTTCAAGGGATCCCATCAGGAAAAATGGACAAAAAATCTAAAAAATATTTTGTCTCAGGATTTTGATGCAGAATGGTGGGGAATCAATCCAGAAATCGTTTAAGGTACTCCGCTTGAGAATCGGATGAGAATTGTGGAAGATATCACTGTGGGCCATATAGGGGAAAACCCCATTTAGGGGAAATATCCAATTTTAACTGCAAGGGTATATCAACTTCGGCTCCGCACGAAGTTAGCTTTCCTTTCGTGTTTTTTTATTTATTTTGACATCTTTTTTAAACCAGTTCCGGAGGGTGATGAGTGCACACCCAATCCTTGCGGACCTAACTCGGGATGCCGTCGTGTCGACGGCAATCCCATCTGCTTCTGCGTGCCGGAGTACGAGGGCCAGCCACCGCAGATTCCTTGCGAGCTACCCTCGAATCCCTGCGAACCATCACCCTGCGGCCCGAACACCCAGTGCTCGGTGCTCAGCAACGGATTCTCGAAGTGCACCTGCCTGCCCGGATATGTGGAGAGCCCGAATACTATTCGCGGATGTGTGGAACCGATTAATCCCTGCGACCCCAACCCGTGTGGAACAGGAGCCATCTGCGACTCATCGCGCCAGCCTGTCTGCTACTGTCCGGACAACAAGATTGGAAATCCATTCCGGTTGTGCGAGAAGCCCGCTGTTTCGATCGAACTCTGTCAGCCCGGTCCCTGTGGACGCAATGCCGACTGCTACGTGGCCGGTAACCGCGAGGAATGCTACTGCCAATCAGGATATGTGGGAGACGCCTACCAAGGATGTCGCGAACCGAGTCGTACTGTCTGCGAACCGAACCCCTGCGGTCCAAATGCCAACTGTGTGGTCGATGGTAATGGCCAGACTGCCTGCGTCTGCCCCGACGGACTTTCCGGAGATCCTACTTCGCTCATCGGATGCCATGGCTATGAGTGCCAAGTGGATGCCGATTGCCCGCACAATAAGGCCTGCATGGGCTTCCGTTGCTACGATCCTTGCCCTGGAGCCTGTGGCAGTGGAGCCAGTTGCCGCGTGGAGGAACACCACCCGGTGTGCTCTTGCAATGCTGGCCTGACCGGCAATCCCGGAGTTCGCTGCTATGCCCTGGATCATCCCAAGAAGAATCCCTGCGTGCCAAGTCCATGTGGAAGGAATAGCGAATGCAAGCTGCAGAACAACCGAGCTGTTTGCTCCTGCATTGCTGGATACCTGGGTGATCCCCAGTCTGGATGCCGACCGGAGTGTGACATCAACTCGGACTGCGGTGACTCCCTGTCTTGCATCAACCACAAGTGTGTGGACCCCTGCGCCGGAGCCATTTGTGGCATCAATGCCATTTGCAATGTGCGACAGCACACGCCGGTCTGTCTTTGCTTAGATGGATTCGTTGGCGATGCCTTCCTGCAGTGCGTCCCCATTGGAATCTTGAAGAATGTTTCCCGCGATCCCTGTGCCTCCTCACCCTGTGGACCGCACGACGTGTGCTCCGTCTACGGCGATGGCGTGGCCCTTTGCGACCCCTGCTTCGGACCCAATGCCCAACAGAATCCTCGCTGCCGACCGGAGTGTGTGGCGAACTCGGATTGTCCCTTCGATCGCGCCTGCTTGGGACAGCGTTGCTTGGATCCCTGCCCGGGATCGTGTGGCCGCAACGCCATCTGTAACGTGTACGAGCACAACCCAGTGTGTGCTTGTCCGTCGGGACTCTTTGGAAACCCCTACGAGCAGTGCACCAGCCAATCCGTGATTATCCCACCACCGCAGCCCAGCTGTGCCAAGCTCCAGTGCGGTGCCAACGCCGAGTGCAAGCGTCAGCACAGTGGCCTCGCCTGCGTTTGCCGTAAGGGATACTTCGGAGATCCGCACATCGGCTGCCGGCCGGAGTGCGTGCTCAACAGTGACTGTCCCGCGGAGAAGGCTTGTCTGAACTCTAAGTGCGTGGAGGCCTGTTCCGGAGTGTGCGGCATCAATGCCATGTGTCGGGTGGTCAACCATGCCCCTGTTTGTATTTGCAACGAGGGATATAATGGAGACGCCTCCATTGCCTGCAATCCGTACTACCTGCCACCCGCGGCACATCCCTGTGAACCGTCTCCTTGTGGACCCAACTCCCGTTGCCGCGCCACTCCCGATGGCTTCGCTGCCTGCTCTTGCCTGCCAAACTTCAAAGGCGCTCCGCCTGTTTGCCAGCCAGAGTGCGTCGTGAGCTCGGAGTGTGCTCCCAACCAGGCTTGTCTCAACCAACGCTGCGCCGATCCCTGCCCCGGCATCTGTGGCAGTGGAGCCCGCTGCGAGGTGCTCAACCACAACCCGATTTGCTCGTGTGAACCGAAATTCGAGGGAGATCCCTTCGTGGCGTGCTCCCCCATTCCGGACCCGGGACGCGAAGTCGACGTGCCAAAGAACCCATGTGTGCCATCCCCCTGTGGACCGAACTCCATTTGCCAGATCAAACAAAACCGACCCGTGTGCTCCTGTGTTGCCAACTACATTGGCAGTCCGCCCTATTGCCGGCCAGAGTGTACTCTGAGCAGCGAGTGTCCGGCTGACAAGGCCTGCATCCAAGAGAAGTGCCAGAGTCCATGTGCCAATGTTTGTGGACACAATGCCCGTTGTACAGTGATTGCCCATTCCGCTCACTGTAGCTGCGATCAGGGCTTCGAAGGAGACGCCTTCATCGGATGCTCCAAGACGAATGTTGAGAGTAAGTGTGGCTTCCGGGATATATTTATTTTCGATATTCATTTATAATCCCTTTTCAGAACCTGGAGATGACTTTGGACCTTGCTATCCGAATCCTTGTGCCGAAAACGCAGTGTGCACCCCGCACAACAACGCCGCGCGCTGCAGTTGCATCGAGCCCTACTTCGGAGATCCGTACAGCACCGGTTGTCGTCCGGAATGTATCCACAACTCGGAGTGCCCCTCCTCACTGGCCTGCATCAAGCAGCACTGCCGCAACCCGTGCACAGCTGCCTGTGGAGCGAATGCCGAGTGCGCCGTGGTCAACCACCTGCCCACGTGCAGTTGCACGCGCGGCTTTGAGGGTGATCCCTTTGTGGGCTGCAAGCGGGTGCCGATTGTGGGACCAGTCAGCGTGTGTGAGCCAAATCCCTGCGGACCCAACAGCATTTGTCGCACGGTGGAGGGACATCCCACCTGCAGCTGCCAGGTTGGATACTTCGGAGCTCCGCCGCAATGCCGGCCGGAGTGTGTGGTCAGCTCAGAGTGCGCCCAGCACCTGACCTGCATCAACCAGAAGTGTGCCGATCCTTGTGCCGAAACCTGCGGATTCAATGCCAAGTGCCAAGTCAACAACCATAATCCCATTTGCTCTTGTCCACCCAACTACGTTGGTGATCCGTTCGAACAGTGTGTACCGAAGCGTAAGTATAGGCTTGAAATTATCCTCGAAGTCCCGTTGATAACTTTCTTTGAAAAATCCTCAGCTGCGGAGCCGCCCCGTAATGTCGATCCCTGCCTGCCGAGCCCATGTGGCCCCAATGCCAATTGCCGCAATGTAAACAACCGAGCGGAGTGCTCATGCGCCGCCGGAATGTTTGGAGCTCCGCCAAATTGTCGACCGGAGTGCGTAATCAATCAAGACTGTCCTTCGAATAGGGCCTGCATCCGCCAGCGATGCGAGGATCCTTGCATTGGCATTTGTGGTTTCAACGCCTTGTGCTCAACGCAGAACCACCAGCCCAAGTGCAGTTGTATTGAAGGCTTCGAGGGTGATCCGTACACCGCCTGCAGGATGCGAGAGAGTGAGTACATCTTTTTCGAATACTTGCTATCCTTTCCGAGAGCACGGATGTGTGCTCGAGAAGCGTTGCCCTTAATGTTAAATGTTCCTTTCAGTGGTGCTCTAGAAGTATTGGGCTTATGGTATACATCCTATGCATGTTCCTTGTATTGTGTACATATGGTAGCCTCCATCTCTACATATATTTATCCTTCTACTACGTATCTTATTATTATTAGATATTTATATTATTTATTAGTCTTAACTCTACGTTGTTTGTACATCGCTCTGTATGCATCCACCTTGCCTGCTTGCCTATTTTCATGACCATCATAGTTGTGGTGCCAGATATACCCTCCGATCCATGCTACCCATCGCCATGTGGTGCGAATGCCATTTGTCGCGTGCGCAACGGTGCCGGCTCCTGTAGCTGCATCCAGAACTATTTCGGTGATCCGTACATCAACTGCCGTCCGGAGTGCGTGCAGAATGGCGATTGCCCCAGCAGCAAAGCCTGCATCAATATGAAATGCCGCGATCCCTGCGCGGATGCCTGTGGATTCAATGCCATCTGTCGGGTGGCCCATCACCAGGCCGTTTGCAGTTGCGAGCCCGGTTTCACCGGCAATCCGCTGCGAGCCTGTGTGGAGAGACCATCAAGTAGGAAACTGACCTCCGCAAGGGTGGTTCGATTTGGGGTTAAAGAACCAAACATCCAAATTTCCAGAAACGGCATTCATTGGCCACATTCTCTTATATTTTCTTGGCAAACCCTTAAATCGACCCATCCTTCTGGAATCCCCAAACTTCAGATCTAAACCCTGTACTTCCCCACCCATAGATATGTACCTGCCCCTGCCCAAAGACCCTTGTAGACCCTCGCCTTGTGGGCTGTTCAGCACTTGTCATGTAGCTGGGGAGCGACCCGTGTGTGCCTGCTTGCCAGACTACATGGGTGCGCCGCCCAACTGCAAGCCCGAGTGCAGGACCAGTGCTGAGTGCCCCTCGGATAGGGCCTGCATAAATCAGCGGTGCCGCGATCCCTGCCCCGGAACGTGTGGCTACAATGCCCGCTGCCGGTGCACCAATCACTCGCCCATCTGCAGCTGTTACGACGGGTACACTGGAGATCCTTTCCATCAGTGCGTTCCCGAGAGAAGTAGGTTTTCCCGAATAGTCTCCCTTATAGTTAGTTTAAAACCTTGCAATCGCACTTGTAGAACCAGCACCTGTACCCGATCCCATTGTGCCACCGAATCCCTGCGTACCATCGCCATGTGGCCCGAACTCCCAGTGCCAGGTCTCGAGCAGCGGTGCCGTCTGCTCCTGCGTGACCAACTACATAGGACGTCCCCCGGCATGTCGACCGGAGTGCAGCATTAATTCCGAGTGCCCGGCCAAGATGGCCTGCGTGAACGCCCGTTGCGCTGATCCCTGCATTGGATCTTGTGGAAATAATGCCCTCTGCCACGTCAGCCTCCATGTGCCGGTTTGCATGTGCGAGCCTGGCTTTTCCGGGGATCCGTTCTCCGGTTGCTACAAGATTATTGAGAGTAGGTTCTTCCTAGGGACTTTCTTGCCAGCTAGATACTCAAATTCTTCCCATTACCCGTTACCAGCCCCCATTGAGGTCATCCAGCCCTGTCACCCTAGTCCGTGCGGCTTGAACGCCTTGTGCGAGGAACGGAATCAGGCCGCCGCCTGCCGGTGCATCCCCGAGCACTTTGGTGATCCGTATGTGGAGTGTCGCCCCGAGTGCGTCATCAACTCGGACTGTCCCAGGTCGCGAGCCTGTGTCAACCAGAAGTGCATCGATCCGTGTTCGGGAATGTGCGGCCACAACGCCCTGTGCGCCGTTTTCAATCACGCCCCCAACTGCGAGTGTCTGCCCGGTTACACGGGTAATCCCATAGTGGGTTGTCATCTAGTACCCGAAACTCCGCGTCGTAAGATATCGTTCCAATCGCGTTAGATCCCCCTCTCCCCGCTGAGTAGATTATTAATTTGCCTCTTCCTGTAATTAGTGCCTGATCCCATAGTACCCGACAATCCCTGTCAGCCCTCGCCCTGCGGCCTCTACAGCAACTGTCGTCCTGTGAATGGTCATGCAGTCTGCTCCTGTGTGCCCAACTACATCGGCTCCCCGCCGAACTGCCGGCCCGAGTGCATGAGCAGCGCGGAGTGCGCCCAGGACAAGTCGTGTCTCAATGAGCGCTGCAAGGACCCCTGCCCTGGTACTTGCGGCAATAACGCGCTCTGCCGCGTCGTCAATCACAATCCCATCTGCTCCTGCAGTCCAGGTTACAGCGGCGATCCCTTCGTGCGCTGCTTCCCGCAAGAGAGTAAGCATCGACTGGGAAAAAACAAAGCTATGGCTTCGGCCAGCCGGAGTCTTGAATGTCCCTGCAGATTCTCTGTCTTTTCTTAATGAGAGTTTCAAAAAGCGTTTTCCGATTGTTTCTTTATAGTTTCCCTAGATTATATCCAGACTATATCTTGTCTGCAGGGACATTTAAACCCAATCCTCACCGAATCACGCCATCCTTGCCGAGTCCTTTTCCAGGTCTCGGTTCATTCCATCCCATTGCTTCACAGATTCATTCGCATCATCTATATATATATCTTTACCTATGTTTATCTTTTTTTTATGTACTCTATTGTATGGCTTATTTTGGTGCATGCTATCATACTTGGTGTCCTGGTGTCAATTGTATAAATGTGAATGGTGAAATGGTAGAGCGGCCCATCGTCCGCGAGGATCCTTGTGTGCCCTCGCCCTGCGGGCCCAACTCTCAGTGTCGGGTGTCGGCCGCCAACGAGCAGGCCGTCTGCTCGTGCTTGCAACATTACGTGGGCAGGGCACCCAACTGCCGTCCGGAGTGCACCTCGGACTCCGAGTGCCCCGGCAATCTGGCCTGCATCAATCTGCGGTGTCGGGATCCGTGTGTGGGTACATGCGGCATCCAAACCACCTGCCTTGTAAATAATCACAGACCCATTTGCCGCTGCATCGATGGCTATGCGGGCGATCCATTCTCAGAGTGTAGTCCGAAGAGTAAGGGATCTGAGAATGATCTGGACCCAAATCGCGCCTATCTAACCCCACGACCTCTCTCCCCCTTTTCCCCAGTTATTGTCCCGCCCGAGGTGGCCCAACCCTGCAATCCGAGTCCCTGTGGCGCCAATGCCGTGTGCAAGGAGCGCAATGGCGTAGGCTCCTGCTCATGCTTGCCCGAGTACAACGGAGATCCGTACACCGAGTGTCGTCCGGAGTGTCTGCTGAATAGCGATTGCGCCAAGAATCGTGCCTGCCTGAACAACAAGTGCCGAGATCCCTGTCCGGGTGTGTGCGGCGTATCCGCCGAATGCCACGTAATCAACCACGCACCGAGCTGTAGTTGCCCCTCCGGATTCACGGGCAATCCTTCACAGTTCTGTCGGGAAATACCAAAATGTAGGGAAATGATCTTGAATGCCAGGATGGATCGATTTTTGTCCGCTTGTTCTAACCTTTCTAAGTTTTGCTTATAAATCGATCCATCCTTGGATAATCTTTCGGATAGGCTCATTACAAAAACCTCCAATCTTTTAGTGGCCCCGCCTGTTGAGCCCTGCCGTCCCTCGCCATGCGGTCCTTACAGCCAGTGCCGCGAGGTGAACGGACATGCGGTCTGCTCCTGCGTCACCAATTACATTGGCACTCCGCCCGCCTGTCGTCCGGAGTGCTCGGTCAGTTCCGAGTGCGCCCAAGACAGAGCTTGCGTGAACCAGCGGTGCGTGGACCCATGTCCGGGCACCTGTGGCCACGAGGCCATCTGCAAGGTGACCAACCACAACCCGATTTGCTCGTGTGCTGCCGGCTACAGCGGCGATCCGTTCGTGCGCTGTTCCCCGTGGCAAGATGAGCCAGAGCGTCCGAAGGCTAACGAAAATCCGTGCGTACCCAGTCCTTGCGGTCGCAACTCCCAGTGCCGTGTCGTGGGTGAGACGGGCGTCTGCTCCTGCTTGCCCAATTTCGTTGGCCGTGCGCCCAACTGCCGACCAGAGTGTACGCTGAACACTGAGTGTCCAGCCACTCTGGCCTGCATTAATGAGCGCTGCCAGGATCCTTGTCCGGGATCCTGCGGCTTCAATGCCTACTGCAACGTGGTGAACCACTCGCCCGTCTGCTCTTGCGACAATGGCTTCACTGGTGATCCGTTCTCCGGATGCAATCCCCAACGTAAGCTTTTCTTTCGGTAACCTTTGAGAAACGAAGTGCTAATGAGAGTCCCTTGTGACCCACAGCTCTGCCCGAACCCGACGAGCGCCTTACTCCCTGTCAGCCATCGCCCTGCGGCCCCAATGCTGAGTGCCGTGAACGCAACGGCGCCGGCTCCTGTACGTGCCAGCCGGGCTACTTCGGCGATCCGTACAGCGGCTGTCGTCCAGAGTGCGTGGTGAACAGTGATTGCTCGCGCGACAAGTCCTGCGTCAACCAGAAATGCGTGGACCCCTGTCCTGGCGTTTGTGGCTTGAATGCCGAGTGTCGTGTGTCCAATCACCTACCCAGCTGCACGTGTCTGGCCGGCTACACCGGAAACCCGTCGAGTGCTTGTCGTGAAATTCCCCAGTTACCCCCACCACGTAGGTTCCACTACTAACCCCTGACTAAATGGACAAAACTGATAATTTCCACTTCCCCCAGCCGAGCGAGATGAACACCCTTGCCAGCCCTCGCCCTGCGGTCCCTACAGTCAGTGTCGGGAGATCAACGGCCATGCCGTCTGCTCCTGCCAGCAGGGCTTCATCGGATCGGCTCCCAACTGCCGGCCCGAGTGCATCATTAGCTCCGACTGCGCCCAAGATCTCAATTGCCAGAACCAGAAGTGCGTGGACCCGTGTCCGGGCACTTGTGGTATCGAGGCGCGCTGCCAGGTTATTAATCACTATCCCGCATGCTCCTGTGGCCCAGGTTTTACCGGAGATCCCTTCAACCGATGCACTAAGATTATATGTAAGCATGATTTCGGAGAGGAAAGGGATACAAGCCAACTGGGCGAGTTAGAATGGGGATGTATCTTAGATAGTATTCTTTCTGTAGCATTCCCTGGTAATTTAAAAATTTGCACGTTGCTCCCCGAAACCAACCCACTTGGCTTGTCTGTCCTCCAGAAACTACTTCTCCTACTCCCCCTGCATGTATATACACCTTTTAATGTTTTATTTCCTATTTTCTGTTTATGTTTATTTTGTTTTATGTACCTACACTCTGTAAACAAACTATCCAACTCTACTCTCTACTATGTAAATGTTTGTGTAATGTACTCTGTGTGCTATGTACTACTCCGACTATCTATGGCATGTGGCATGTACAACCCGTAGTGGAGCCCCCACCCGCCGAAAAGTCCGGCAATCCCTGCGTACCCTCACCATGTGGACCCAACTCGAAATGCATCGATGTCCGCGGGTCCCCTGCATGCTCCTGCCTGCCGGACTACCTCGGCCGTCCGCCCAACTGCCGGCCCGAGTGCCTCAGCAGTGCCGACTGTCCGGCCAACTTGGCCTGCGTGAACCAGCGCTGCACCAACCCGTGCATCGGTGCCTGTGGCCTGCACTCCGTGTGCACAGCCATCAAGCACCGGCCGACGTGCGAGTGTGTGCCTGGTTACACCGGAGATCCCTTCTCCGGCTGTGCGATTGTGCAGCAAAGTAATAATCCCCCCTTGGAGACCGACCCAAGTTTATTCCCTACTAACATATACATCCATTCATTTCTCCCCAACTTAGTTTCACCCACGGAGGAGCCTCGCAATCCCTGCAACCCTAGCCCATGTGGAGCCAATGCCATTTGCCGAGAGCGCAATGGAGCCGGCTCCTGTGCCTGTTTGCCGGAATACTTTGGAGATCCGTACAGCGGTTGCCGACCGGAATGTGTCCAGAACGATGACTGCGATCGGTCGAGGGCCTGCATCCGCAACAAGTGCCAGGACCCTTGCCCTGGAGCCTGTGGCATCAATGCTGAGTGCCGTGTTCTGAACCATGGTCCCAACTGCAACTGCTTCGAAGGCTACACCGGCGATCCACATCGCTCGTGCTCGCTCATCGAGGTAGTGACCCGTCGTCCGGAGAATCCTTGCCAGCCGTCCCCCTGCGGCCCGTACAGCCAGTGCCAAAACACCAACAGCCATGCGGTGTGCAGCTGCGTGGAGGGCTACATCGGTGCCCCGCCCAGCTGCAAGCCGGAGTGTGTGGTCAGCTCGGAGTGCCCCCAGAATCGTGCCTGCATTAACCAGAAGTGCGAGGATCCGTGCCGAGGTGCCTGTGGCAACAACGCCAAGTGCCAGGTGGTGAACCACAACCCCATCTGCAGTTGCCAGCCTGGCATGACCGGAGATCCCATATCCGGATGTATACCCACCAAGGAGGAGAAGAGTTCCGACAACCCATGTGTGCCGTCGCCTTGTGGACCGAACTCCGTGTGCCGCGAGATCGGCAACCAGGCAGCCTGCTCCTGCCAGACCAACTTTATTGGAAGACCACCGAACTGCCGACCGGAGTGCACCAACAACGACGAGTGCCAAAACCATCTGTCCTGCCAGCAGGAGCGATGTGTGGACCCTTGTCCAGGATCGTGCGGCAGCAACGCCATCTGCCAGGTGGTGCAGCACAACGCTGTCTGCTCCTGCGCCGATGGGTATGAGGGTGATCCGCTTTTCGGTTGCGAGCTGATTCGCGCCGTTGTCCCCACTGAGCCGCCAACCTCTCCGTGCGAACCTTCTCCTTGCGGACCGCATGCCGAGTGCCGTGAGAGAAACGGAGCCGGAGCCTGCTACTGCCATGACGGATTCGAGGGAAATCCCTACGATGCCCAGCGAGGATGCCGACGCGAATGCGAGGACAACGATGACTGCTCGCCTGCCCAGGCCTGCGTGCGATTCAAGTGCGTTGATCCCTGCGACAACATCTGCGGCGAGTATGCCATCTGCACGGTGGAGAAACATGTGCCCACTTGTGACTGCCCGCCGGGATACACTGGAGATCCGTTCTTCAGCTGCAAACCGGTGCCGGTGACGCCACGACCACCCCTGAACCCGTGCAACCCCTCGCCATGTGGCCCCAACAGCAACTGCCGCGCCATGAACAACCAGGCCGTGTGCTCCTGCCAATCTGGATTCGTCAACCAGCCGCCCAACTGCCGACCTGAGTGCGTGGTGAGCGCCGAGTGTGCTCCGGAACGTGCTTGCGTCAACAAGAAATGCGTGGATCCTTGCCTTCACACCTGCGGCATTCGGGCCATCTGTACCACCAAGAACCACAGCCCCATCTGCACGTGCCCGCGCGGTATGACCGGAGATCCATTTGTCCAGTGTACTAAAGTTGGTAAGTAACTAAACACTACCTGAATCATATTCTGTCGAAACTAATCTTTTGAATCATTTGCAGCCATTGTAAATGACGCGACAACACCTTCACCGCCACCAGCTTCGTGTGTTCCATCGCCCTGTGGACCCAACGCCAAGTGCCAGATCGTGGGAAACAGCCCGGCCTGTTCCTGCCTGCCAAACTATATTGGAGCTCCGCCACGCTGTCGCCCGGAGTGTGTTCTCAACTCGGAGTGCGGTCCCACCGAGGCGTGCATCAACCAAAAGTGTGGTGATCCTTGCTCCGGATCCTGCGGCTTTGAAGCCAAGTGCCATGTGTTGAACCACTTGCCTATTTGCAACTGCATTGAGGGCTACGAGGGTGATCCGTTCGTGCGATGCACCAAGAAACCAGAACAGAAGACGCCTGTGGTAACGGATCCATGCAACCCCAACCCATGCGGACCCAATGCCGATTGCTTCAACGGAGAGTGCCGTTGCCAGAACAACTACCAAGGAAATCCCTTCGAGGGCTGCCGACCAGAGTGCACCCTTTCGGCCGACTGTCCCCGCGACAAGGCCTGCGTGCGAAACCGCTGCGTGGACCCCTGCCCTGGCATTTGTGGCAACAACGCCGTTTGCGAAGTGCTCAACCACATCCCGGTCTGCTCCTGTCTCCAGGGATACGAAGGAGATCCGTTCACCAACTGCCGCGTGAAGCCCGTTGTGGAGGATCCCATTGTGGAGGCTTGCAACCCATCGCCCTGCGGCGCCAACAGCCAATGCCGAGACGTTAATGGACATGCCGTATGCTCCTGCCTGTCAGGATACATTGGAGCTCCGCCTCAGTGTCGACCAGAGTGTGTGGTGTCCAGCGAGTGTTCCGCTCTTCAAGCCTGTGTCAACAAGAAGTGCGTTGATCCTTGTGCCGCAGCTTGCGGCCTGGAGGCCCGCTGCGAGGTGATTAACCACAGCCCCATCTGCGGCTGTCCACCCGGGCGAACAGGTGATCCGTTCAAGCAATGTGTGGAGATTCCCATCACGCCGGAGGTTAAAGAAACGCCTCAGGATCCCTGCTCACCCTCGCCCTGCGGACCCAACTCCATTTGCAAGCCAGACAAGAGCGGACCCGTTTGCCAGTGCCAGCCGGAGTTCTTCGGCTCGCCCCCCAACTGCCGTCCCGAGTGCATCATCAATCCGGATTGTCAGTCCACACAGGCGTGCATCAACAACAAGTGTCGCGACCCCTGTCCAGGATCGTGCGGTACCAACGCCGATTGCAGGGTTATCGGACACACTGTTTCTTGCTCCTGCCCGCCAGGATTCGCCGGCAATGCCTTTGTGCAGTGTGTGCCTCAGGAGAAGGAGCCTGTGAAGCCTTGCCAGCCATCACCGTGCGGACCGAACGCCGACTGCATCGAGCGGAACGGAGCCGCAGCCTGCAAGTGCATCGACGAGTACCAGGGCAACCCCTACGAGGGCTGCCGACCGGAGTGTGTCCTCAGCTCGGACTGTCCGACGGACAAGGCCTGCATCCGCAACAAGTGCCAAGACCCTTGCCCTGGAATCTGCGGCCTGAACGCCCAATGCTTTGCCGTGAACCATGTGCCCAATTGCGTCTGTAACGATGGCTTCACTGGCGATCCGTTCGCCAGCTGCCGACGAGTGGAGGTAACCACTCCTCCACCGGTATCCGATCCTTGTCAGCCATCGCCTTGCGGAGCCAACAGCAAATGCCGTGTGGCCAACGGTCTGGCCGTGTGCTCATGCCTGGACACCTTTGTGGGTGCTCCGCCGAACTGCAAGCCGGAGTGCACGGTCAATGCCGAATGTCCTTCCAACAAGGCCTGCCACAAATTCCGTTGCGCCAATCCGTGTGCCAACACTTGTGGCCTGAATGCCAAGTGCGAGGTTCGCAACCACAACCCCATCTGCAGCTGTCCTTCTGATATGACGGGTGATCCGTTTGCCCGCTGCTATCCAGCACCCGCTCCGACACCAGTGCCCAAGGACGTGCCCGTGGCCAAGAGACCCTGCCAGCCATCGCCATGCGGATTGTATTCCGAGTGCCGAGTGCGCGACGAACAGGCCTCCTGCTCCTGTCTACCCAACTACATTGGAGCGCCACCGAACTGCCGACCCGAGTGCATTGTGAACACGGACTGTGCCTCGGACAGAGCCTGCATCGCCGAGAAGTGTCGCGATCCTTGCGATGGCTCCTGCGGTGTCAACTCCGAGTGCCGCATCCAGAACCATCTTGCCATCTGCACTTGCCGCGGAGGATTCACTGGCGATCCGTTCGTCCAGTGCGTGGAGATTATCGAAACGTCCACCAAATCGCCGCCACTCAGTGCAGATCCTTGCGACCTGCAGCCTTGCGGAGCCAATGCCCAATGCAGGAACGGAATCTGCAGTTGCCTGCAGGACTACCACGGCGACCCGTACACCGGCTGCCGCCCAGAATGTACTTTGAGCACCGATTGCCCGGCCACCAAGGCCTGCCTGAACAAGAAGTGCGTGGATCCTTGCCCAGGAGTTTGCGGACAGAACTCGCAGTGCGATGTCTCCAACCACATACCCATTTGCAGTTGCCTGCAAGGCTACACTGGCGATCCGTTCGTCCACTGTCGCCAAGAGACACCAGTGCCAAAGGACCCATGTCAGCCAAACCCATGCGGACCGAACAGCTTGTGCCACGTCTCGGCCCAAGGTCCAGTGTGTGCCTGCCAAGCGGGCATGCTGGGATCCCCGCCAGCCTGCAAGCCGGAGTGCATAGTTAGTTCCGAATGTTCGCTGCAGACGGCCTGTGTCAATAGGAAGTGCGTCGATCCCTGCCCGGGAGCCTGTGGACAGTTCGCCCGCTGCCAGGTGATCAACCACAATCCGTCCTGCTCTTGCAACACGGGCTACACCGGTGATCCGTTCACACGCTGCTACCAGGAGGAGCGAAAGCCACCACCAACCCCGGATAATCCCTGCCAACCATCGCCCTGCGGCCCCAACTCCGAGTGCAAGGTCCTCAATGGTAACGCGGCCTGTTCGTGTGCCGCCACCTTCATTGGAACGCCGCCCAGCTGCCGACCAGAGTGCTCCATCAATCCGGAATGCCCGCCCACCAAGGCCTGTATTCGTCAGAAGTGCTCGAACCCGTGTGTCAATGCCTGCGGCTTCAATGCCCGCTGTAATGTGGCCAATCACCAACCCATCTGCACATGCGATGTGGGCTACACAGGAGATCCGTTCACCGGCTGTCAAAAGGAGCAAGGTAGGACCCCCATTCTATTGACGTAGAAGTTAGGCCAAGGCGTAAACCTGCTTATAATAATTGATTTTGGTTAAGGCTGCTTACTGGGCGCCCAGTACAACACCTGCTATTACAACTTATCTTAAAAAAAAGTCGCACAGCCCAATAAAAACATTAGTTTACGCCTTCTTTTAATTCGAATGTGAAACTATATCGATTGATCTCAGTCCAAAGTATTACAAAACCCTTGTTGAAACCCTATTATCCAACCAAAGACCAAATTATACCAAATTTTAATTTAAAGTTTCACATTCTTTACAAGCGTATTAGAACAAAGGATATTTTTGAACTCAAAAGGCAATTGCAATCGCAGCAATTGCTTGAATTTTATCTTTTTTGCACTTTTTGCTGCACTTGTTCCTATTCACTTCACCCGCGATACTTGTTCTAATGCTCTCTTAGGCAGTTTTTTATTACATTTTTATACACAAACATTAAAATTCATGATTATCACACTCACAGGCACAATGCATTGCATATAGAAGTGTTTTATTTGTTTTCTGTTCCACAAAATCACAAAATCACTCAAGCAAAATGCAAATTTCAAGCATCACGCACTCTGTACGAGTTGTCTGAGTGGTCGTGTTCTTGAAAGTGTCTGTCTGTCTGCTAATCAGGGATTTTAATTAAATTTAGTCAATTATTATATTTGCTTATTACTGCCCCTAACGCCTGAAATACAATATGCAAACTTGCCACGCCTTATTGCTTCCTTATTGCCACCTTTAATGTCTCACACCAATCTACCACCCGCCTTGATTTTTTGCCTCTAACCCCTGATGATGCCGTTGTTGCCCCATACCGTATTATCTTGCGCCTTGTATTCGATTTTTGGGGGATAATCCTTGTGAAATGCTTTACCTAATTCGTTATTTGGCCCCGACTCTCCACTTGCTTACTACCCAAAAAAAATTGATCCTAACCCAACTAGCCGAAATTGAGTACTGCGTTGTTATTTGTCCCCACAACCCAAAATTCTGCCTCCGAAAACCTCAAATACGAACTAAACTCTAGTCATCGAAACCAAAAATTAAGCGGTAGCAATTAATTAGAAATTAGAAAATTAATAAATTAAAACCTTAAAACTGTAGCAAACGAAAATTGTTTAACCATGAGCAATAAAAGATATAACCCCGCAAAGAACACTTGTTTTACTTACTACACAACAACTCAACTACATAAACATAAACATAAACTCAAAGCCAAGTTAGTTGGCGCACTGCACTTATGTAAGACCTAAAAATACCTAAAAACACTGAAAAAGCACTCAACGCACTGCGTTTAACAAACACTAAACGAAGCGGCCCTCGAAGCTCGAACCGCAGCACCAGAACCGCAAATCCGTTAATGAGAGCGATTAACGCCAACACTTAACTCGTAATCGTACCGCTAATCCGCTACAATAATACCACACGCGAACTTGGATTAATCCGCGCCAGCAGGTGTGTTGCAATCTACTAAATCCGATTTAATCGAAAGTTAATAATGAAAGTTCTCCACGTCTCTATCCCAACTCGCTTGAAACCCATTATCCCCATCTCTAGAACGCATAGTTAACGAGCAGGTGACCCCCTGCGAACCCAATCCCTGCGGCTCGAATGCTGTATGCCGTGAGAGGAATGGCATCGGCTCCTGCCAGTGTCTGCCCGACCATTTCGGCGATCCGTATCAGTCGTGTCGCCCGGAATGTGTCCGCAACTCGGACTGCCCCTCGAACAAGGCCTGCCAGCAGCAGAAGTGTCGCGACCCCTGCCCCGGCACCTGTGGCACCAACGCAGACTGCAGTGTCACCAACCACCTGCCCACCTGTATATGCCGTCCTGGATACATTGGCGATCCGTACCGCTACTGCCACGTGGAACCAGCCCAGCGTAAGCCTACCCCGCCTTAAAAACCGATCTTTTTTGGTCCTCATGGAAGCCCTTTTCTAGCGATCCGTCAAGCCGAACCCACTCAACCGTGTCGTCCCTCGCCCTGCGGTCCCAATTCCCAATGTCGCGAACTCAACGGCCAAGCTGTGTGCTCCTGCCTGGAGCTCCATGTAGGTCTGCCTCCCAACTGCCGGCCCGAGTGCGTGCTGAGCACAGAGTGCCCCACCGACAAGGCTTGCATCAGTCAACGTTGTCAGGATCCTTGTCCTGGCACTTGCGGCATTAACGCCGAGTGCCGGGTTCGTAACCACAGCCCTCTTTGCCAGTGTCGTCCAGGCTTCACTGGCGACTCCTTCACTCGTTGTTATGCTCTCCCACGTAAGAGTTACCCGTTGTTCTTCTTAAAACCTCCTCTAAAATTAATGACCCATCTAGCTCCGCCGCCCGAAATTAAGGAAGTTTCGCGAGATCCTTGTCTACCATCGCCATGCGGACTAAACAGCCAGTGCCGCAATATACAGGGTGTGCCGTCCTGCTCCTGTCTACCGGAGTTCCTTGGAGCCCCGCCCAACTGTCGACCCGAGTGTACCATTAGTGCCGAGTGCGCCTCCAATCTGGCATGTATCCGCGAGAAATGCATCGATCCGTGCCCAGGCTCCTGTGGCTATGCTGCCGAGTGTAATGTGGTGAACCACACGCCCATTTGCGTGTGTCCGGCTGGCTTTACGGGTGATCCGTTTAGTAGTTGCCGCCTGGCACCACCCGAGCCCGTACTAAGTAAGAATTGTTTCTCCACTGCCTGTATCCCCATGCTCAACAACCTAACCCAACCAACAGATGAGTATGTCGATCCCTGCAATCCATCGCCTTGTGGTGCCAATGCCCAGTGCAATGGAGGTTCCTGTACTTGTCTCCCTGAATTTCACGGCGATCCCTACTCTGGCTGCCGGCCAGAGTGCGTCCTCAACTCGGACTGTTCCAGGGACAAGGCCTGCCTGCGCAGCAAGTGCCTGAACCCCTGTCCGGGCACTTGCGGTGAGAATGCCATCTGCGATGTCATCAACCACATACCCATGTGTAGATGTCCGGATGGTACTGCTGGCAGCGCCTTCATCCGCTGCTCTCCGGTGCACAGTACGTCCATGTCGTACATCTCTGTTTCGAAACTTTCTTACCAATTTGTACCCCAAACAGTTTCACTTGTGACCAATCCTTGCCGACCGTCTCCCTGTGGTCCCAACTCCCAGTGCCGTGAGGTCAACCAGCAGGCCGTTTGCTCCTGCTTGCCAAGCTTTATAGGCGCCCCACCATCCTGCCGGCCGGAATGCACCTCCAATGCCGAGTGTGCCCCCACCCAGGCGTGTCTCAATCAACGGTGCGGAGATCCCTGCCCCGGAACCTGCGGAGTGGGTGCCAACTGTGCTGTGGTCAGCCACAGTCCCTTCTGCACTTGTCCCGAGAGGTTCACGGGTAATCCGTTCATTCGTTGCCAGCCGCAAAGTAAGAAAACAAACCTCACCAAAGCAACACCTTGTCACATAAGAGTTACTCCCACTGTAGTTGAACCCGTTCGCGATGTTGTACCCACTGATCCGTGCCGCCCTTCGCCGTGTGGACCTTACTCCCAGTGTCGTCCGGTTGGGGAAGCCCCCGCCTGTTCCTGTTTGGAGACCTACATAGGCCGTCCACCCAATTGCAGACCGGAATGTGTAACCAGCTCGGATTGTTCCAGTCAGTTGGCCTGCGTGAACCAGAAGTGCGTCGACCCGTGTCCAGGACGCTGTGGTCTGAACGCCGAGTGCCGTGTAGTTAGTCATGCCCTCCAGTGCATCTGCCAGCAAGGATTCACGGGTGATCCGTTCGTGCAATGCAACCCGGAAATCATCCGGGACATTGAAATCCGCACCCCCTGCAGCCCAAGTCCATGTGGAACCAATGCAGTTTGCCGCGATCGCAATGGAGTCGGATCCTGCCAATGTCTGCCGCAGTACTTCGGAGACCCGTACGAAGGATGCCGCCCGGAGTGCATGCTGGACTCGGACTGTCCATCGAACAGAGCCTGCCAGCAGTTGAAGTGCCAAGATCCCTGCCCTGGAACCTGTGGACTGAACGCCAATTGCCAAGTGGTCAACCATCTGCCCACTTGCAGTTGCATAGTTGGCTTTGTGGGAGATCCATATCGCCAGTGCAACCGGCTGCCGGAACGTAAGCACCTGCTTAAACCATTCTCTTTCTCCCAATTAACCCCACAATTTTGTAGCCCCTCAAAACGAGTACGTTAACCCATGCCAGCCCAATCCCTGTGGCCCCAACTCTCAGTGTCGCGTTTCCAATGAGCAAGCAGTGTGCTCCTGTTTGCCACAGTTTGTGGGAACACCGCCTTCCTGCCGACCTGAGTGCACCATCTCCTCGGAGTGCTCGGCCGACAAGGCGTGTGTTAACCAGAAGTGCGTAGATCCCTGTGCGGCGGATATTTGTGGCAACAATGCCGTGTGCAGGGTGCGAAACCACAGTCCCATCTGCAGCTGCCTCAGCGGTTACACAGGCGATGCCTTCACTCGTTGTTTCCCCATTCCACGTAAGCTGCCCCATCCTAATGGTTGGATAAAGTATATTAAAGCATCCTGTCTCACAGCGCCTCCTGTTGAGATCAAAAACGAGCCCCTGCGAGATCCTTGTGTGCCAACCCCTTGTGGACCCAACTCCGAGTGCCGTAATATCAACGGTGTGCCGGCTTGCTCCTGTCTGGCTAGCTTTATCGGCCAGGCGCCCAACTGTCGTCCGGAATGTACCATCAACTCGGAGTGCCCCAGCCAGTTGGCGTGCATTAACCAGAAGTGCCGCGATCCCTGCCCCGGAGCTTGCGGCTTGAATGCCGTCTGCAGTGTCATCAACCATACGCCGCTCTGCGCCTGCCTCGAGGGTTATATCGGTAATCCCTTCACGAACTGCAATCCCAAGCCCCCAGAACGTAGGTGTCCTTTGACTCTCGGTAGAGCTACTTTTTTACCCACCATTCCTCCATCTCGTGTAGCCACAACGCCTCCAGTTGCCGACGATCCCTGCAATCCATCCCCTTGTGGAGCCAACGCCTTGTGCCGTAATGGACAGTGCTCGTGCATACCCGAGCATCAAGGAGATCCGTATGTCTCGTGTCGCCCGGAGTGCGTGTTGAACACGGACTGCCCCAGAGATCGCGCCTGTGTGCGCAACAAGTGCATCGATCCTTGCCCCGGAACTTGTGGCGTTAATGCTTTGTGCGAAGTTACCAACCACATTCCCATCTGCCGCTGTCCGGAGCAAATGTCCGGCAATGCCTTCTTCGAATGCCGGCCCGTGCCGCCAGCCAAAATCCAGGATCCCTGTCGACCATCGCCTTGTGGACCGAACAGTCAGTGTCGGGTGGTGCAGCAGACTGCGGTCTGCTCCTGCCTGGCCGACTATGTCGGCAGCCCGCCGCGATGCCGCCCGGAGTGTGTCACCAACTCTGACTGTCCTGCCGACCAGGCTTGCCAAAATATGAAGTGTCGCGATCCTTGCCCTGGCACCTGTGGCTTCAACGCCCTTTGCAACGTCGTCAATCACAGTCCCTTCTGCAGCTGCCCCACTGGCATGACTGGCAATCCATTCGTGCGCTGTGAACAGCTAAGTAAGTGCCCTGGGTTTGTCCATTCTTCGCTCCAGCCTAACCATAATCCTTTCAGTAATACGAGACGAGAAACCTCAGAATCCTTGCGTGCCTTCGCCATGTGGTCCCAATTCTGAGTGTCGGGTATCGGGTGACTCTCCATCATGCTCCTGTCTGCCGGAATTCGTAGGTGCTCCACCAAATTGCCGCCCTGAGTGCATCTCCAACTCGGAGTGTCCCACCAATCAAGCGTGCATCAATCAAAAATGCTCGGATCCTTGCCCAGGACTTTGTGGTCAAAATGCCAACTGCCGGGTTTTCAGTCACACTGCCATGTGCTTGTGCGACGGCGGCTTCACTGGCGATCCGTTCAGTCAGTGCAGTCCCATTAGGGATACCCCGGTGGAGGTTCTGCAGCCGTGCAACCCCAGCCCTTGCGGCGTAAATGCCAAGTGCGATGAGCGTGGTGGTGCAGGGTCTTGTCAGTGTCTGCCTGATTATTTCGGAAACCCCTATGATGGCTGCCGTCCCGAGTGCGTTCTGAACTCTGACTGCCCGTCGAATCTGGCGTGTGTGAACCAGAAATGCCGTGACCCTTGTCCCGGTACCTGTGGCCAGAACGCTGAGTGCCAAGTGGTCAACCACCTGGCCACTTGCAATTGCTTGACAGGCTTCAACGGAGACCCATACAGCGTCTGTCGCATCGTAGTCAACGAACCACGTAAGGCTTTGTCTTCGCTACGGAAAAGTGTATTTTTAATCATCGGCGACTTTTTAGCTGTTCCTGTTTACGTAAATCCTTGTCAGCCTTCTCCCTGCGGCCCCAACTCCCAATGTCGGGAGATCAACGAACAAGCCGTTTGCTCCTGCCTGGCCGAGTTCATTGGCAGCCCGCCTGCCTGTCGTCCGGAATGCACCAGTAGCTCTGAATGTCCTGCCGACAAGGCCTGTGTGAACCGCAAGTGCGTGGATCCCTGTCCAAATGTTTGCGGTCAGCAGGCCGAGTGCCGTGTCCGCAACCACAATCCCATTTGCACCTGTATTAGTGGATTTACTGGCGATCCGTTCACGCGTTGTTACCGTCAGCCGCGTAAGATAAAAAGAGTACATTTTGTCGAAGAGTCGACTCAACTATCCTCACCAATCTTCCAGCTCCTCCACCAGTGGTTAATGAACCCACCGACCCCTGTGTTCCCTCGCCTTGCGGGGCTAATTCCCAGTGTCGTGAGATTCATGGTACACCTTCCTGCTCGTGTCTGCCCCAGTTTCTGGGTACACCACCCAACTGTCGTCCCGAGTGTTCCATCAACGCTGAGTGCCCGAGCCATCAGGCGTGCATTAATCAAAAGTGCCGCGACCCTTGCCCCGGATCCTGTGGCCTCAACACCCAGTGCAATGTCATCAACCACACCCCAATCTGCAGTTGTCTGACGGGCTACATCGGTGATCCGTTCAGCGTTTGCAATCCCGAACCACCAGCTAAGAGTAAGAACGATTGGGAATCTTATAAAAAGAGTGTTCATAACAGTCCCCATTCTTTTTGTGGAATAGTCCAAGATCCATTGCCGCCTGAGGACCCGTGTTACCCCTCGCCTTGTGGCTCTAACGCGCAATGCAACAACGGAATATGTTCGTGTCTGCCGGAATATCACGGTGACCCATACACCGGATGCCGTCCGGAGTGTGTCCTGCACACGGACTGTGATCGCAGCCGAGCTTGTGTCCGCCACAAGTGTGTCGATCCCTGTCCCGGAATTTGTGGCTCCAATGCGATTTGTGAGGTCCTTAACCACATCCCCAACTGCCGTTGTCCAGAGGGAATGCAAGGCAATGCCTTTGTTCAGTGTAGCCCAGTGCCACGTAAGGAATACCCAACTAGAATCCTTTCCATAGAAGCTACAAAGTCCAAAGAATTTACAGAGCTCGACGTTGTGCAGAACCCTTGTCAACCTTCCCCATGCGGACCCAACTCCCAGTGCCGCGTCATCAACCAGCAGGCCATTTGCTCTTGTATCACGCCCTTCATCGGAAGTCCACCATTCTGTCGACCTGAATGCACCACCAACTCAGAGTGCCCGTTGAACTTGGCCTGTCTCAACCAGAAGTGCGGTGATCCCTGTCCAGGCGTTTGTGGCCGCAACGCCCAATGCCATGTGACGAACCACAGTCCATTCTGTCGCTGCTTGGAGCGTCACACGGGAAATCCCTTCGTGAGCTGCCAGCTGATCATCGAACCGCCAGTGCCACCACCAAGGCAGACATGTCTGCCATCACCGTGCGGACCTTATTCCCAGTGCCGTGAGGTCAACGAGTCACCGTCCTGCACTTGCCTGCAGGACTACATTGGAGTTCCTCCAAACTGCAGACCCGAATGTGTGACTAGCTCGGAGTGCCCAACTAGCCAGGCCTGCATACAGCAAAAGTGTCGCGATCCTTGCCCAGGACTTTGTGGCCAGTCGGCGATCTGTCGCGTCATCTCCCACACTCCCAGCTGCATCTGCCCCGAGGGCATGGAGGGTGATCCGTTTACTCTGTGCACCGAAAAGAGGATTCAGCAACTGGACCAGTTGGATCCCTGCAATCCCAGCCCTTGTGGAGTCAATGCCCGTTGTACGTCCCGCCAGGATGCAGGCTCTTGTCAGTGCTTGCCAGAATACTTTGGCAATCCCTATGAGGGATGCCGCCCTGAATGCATCCTCAATTCGGACTGCCCCTCCAACAAGGCTTGCCAGCAGCAAAAGTGCCAGGATCCTTGTCCGGGAACTTGTGGTCAGAATGCCTTGTGCAATGTTCTCAACCACGTTCCCACTTGTAGTTGCATAACTGGCTATTCCGGTGACCCGTATCGGTTGTGTATCCCAGAACGACAACGTAAGACCTTTGACTTTATAAAGAGAAGCCCTTGAATACCGTCGATTGTCTCATTTTATAGCCATCAAGGAGTATGTTAATCCTTGCCAGCCATCTCCGTGCGGCCCCAACTCTCAGTGCCGTGAGAGTAACGAACAGGCCGTGTGCTCGTGTCTTCCCGAGTATGTGGGTGCCCCGCCTGCGTGTCGTCCCGAGTGCACCATCTCCTCGGAATGTTCTCTCGACAAGGCATGTGTTGGCCAGAAATGCATCGACCCCTGTCCAAATACCTGCGGAGATCAAGCCACCTGTCGGGTGGTTAATCACAGTCCCATTTGTACATGTCGCGCCGGCTATACGGGCGACGCCTTCTTGCGCTGTTTCCCCGTGCCTCGTAAGTGGCTCTATGTTGTATGGTTTCTCCAAATATTAACTGTTCCGTCGCCCAAAAAAGCTGTTCCACCTCCGGCCGTCCAAAAGACTCCAGTTGATCCCTGTGTTCCCTCTCCATGCGGCCCCTACTCCCAATGCCGGGCTCAAGGGGATGCTCCGGCTTGTTCCTGCTTAGTTGGCTATCTGGGAGCTCCTCCCAATTGCCGACCTGAATGCCGAATCAACGCTGAGTGCCCCAGCAGCCAGGCGTGCATCAATGAGAAGTGTAGGGATCCCTGCCCCGGCTCCTGTGGCTATGGCGCCATATGTAGTGTGATTAACCACACGCCTAGCTGCATCTGTCCGGCAGGGTACACGGGTGATCCGTTCACCCAATGCCAGCCCCAGCCACCACCGCCGCCGACACGTAAGCTTCAGCATCGTTTTGTCAAGTGAAGATAGTCCTAAAGCCCATGTTTCCCATGTTAGCCGTCAAGCTCGATGATCCGTGCAACCCCTCTCCCTGCGGTCCCAATGCCCAGTGCAACAACGGATTATGCACATGCATTCCTGAGTACCATGGCGACCCGTACAGTGGCTGCCGACCCGAGTGCATCACCAGCCTGGACTGCGCCCGCAACTTGGCTTGTGCGCGCCACAAATGCTTCGATCCCTGCCCCGGAACCTGTGCCCCCAATGCCATCTGCTCGGTCATCAACCACGTGCCCATGTGCACATGCCCAGAGGGCTATGCCGGCAACGCGTTCGTTCAGTGTCAACCCATACCACGTAAATATTCCAGATCCAGGTCCCATAACAAAGCCCACAATTCCGAACCCTGAATTTCCCTTGCAGCCCCAGCCGTTGTCCAGCCCTGCCAACCCTCTCCATGTGGACCCAATTCTCAGTGCAGGGAGGTCAACCAACAGGCCGTTTGCTCCTGTGTGTCGGGATACATTGGCACGCCGCCGCTTTGTCGTCCGGAGTGCACCTCCAACTCGGAGTGCCAGCCGCGCCTGGCCTGCGTGAACCAGAAGTGTGTGGATCCTTGCCCCGGATCTTGTGGACGCAATGCCCAGTGCAGTGTGGTCAACCACAATCCGTTCTGTACCTGCCTCCCGCGCTACACTGGTAATCCCTTCGTAGGCTGCCAGCAGAACATCGAACCACCGCAGCAGGACATCGTTCCTCAGGATCCCTGCCGTCCGTCACCTTGTGGTCCCAACTCAGAATGCCGAGCCGTTGGTGAGACTCCAACTTGCACCTGCCTGGCTGATTTTGTTGGCTCTCCGCCGTATTGCAAGCCGGAGTGCGTTGCCAACTCGGAGTGTCCATCCCACCTGGCGTGCATCAACCAAAAATGTAAGGATCCCTGCCCAGGACTATGCGGCATCAGTGCCATCTGTCGTGTGGTCTCCCACACGGCAATGTGCATTTGCGATGCGGGTCTCACCGGAGATCCGTTCACCCAATGCCAGCCTATTGTGGCCGATGTGGAGATCATCAATCCGTGCCAGCCCTCACCTTGCGGCGCTAATGCGGAGTGCATCCAACGGAACGGAGCTGGAGCCTGTCAGTGCCTCACGGACTATTTCGGCAACCCATATGAAGGCTGTCGTCCGGAGTGCGTATTGAACTCGGATTGCCCGTCGAACAGGGCCTGCCAGCAGCAAAAGTGCCGCGATCCCTGCCCCGGAAGCTGTGGACAGAACGCCGAATGCAATGTGGTGAACCATACGCCCATGTGCAACTGCTTCCCAGGATACATTGGCGATCCGTATCGCTACTGCAGCCAACCGCCAGAACGTAAGCTAGTCCCAATTATTCAAGTAGTTCTACTTAACATTGTCGTAGCTGTTGAAGTAGTTACTAATTCCAAGCGTTGTTTTGTATTGTATCCTAACCCGTAACTAGCTATTGTCCATGAGTACGTGAATCCCTGTCAACCCTCGCCCTGTGGCCCGAACTCCAACTGTCGCGAGATAAACGAGCAGGCCGTCTGCTCGTGCCAAGCTGAGTTCGAAGGAGCCCCACCCAACTGCCGACCCCAGTGCACCTCGAGTTCTGACTGCCCCGCCACCAGGGCCTGCATCAACTACAAGTGTGTTGATCCATGTCCCGGGGTGTGTGGCCAGCAAGCAATTTGCGAGGTGCGCAACCACAGTCCCATTTGCAGGTGTCCCACAGGCATGACGGGAGATCCCTTCGTGCGCTGTTTACCCCGACCGACAAGTAAGGAAAAGGAGAACCCGCCAGAGTTACCCAAACCTAACCCACTCTACCCCACGTCAGTTCCCCCGCCGCCCTTGAGAGATGTTGCTCCCTACCGTGATCCCTGCGTACCCTCCCCTTGTGGTCTCTACTCCTCCTGCAGAAATTATCAGGACCAGGCCGTTTGCTCTTGCCTGCCCAACTACTATGGCACTCCGCCGCGTTGTCGACCCGAGTGTACCATTAATGCGGAGTGTCCTAGCCACTTGGCTTGCATAAGCGAACGCTGCCGTGATCCTTGTCCTGGTGCCTGCGGTCAGCAGACCGAGTGCCGAGTTATCAGTCACGTTCCCAGTTGCGTCTGCTTGCGAGGCTATGTGGGCGATGCCTTCTTAGCCTGCCACCCAGCACCACGTAAGCCCCAATCCAAGTTAAGGCCTTTTTCAGGAATAAGAAAAAATATCCCATCCGCAGCCCCACCCGCCCGCGAAGAGCCCCATGATCCTTGCAACCCCAGTCCATGTGGTAACAATGCCATCTGCTCCAATCAGGGAGAGTGCACTTGCCTGGCCGAGTATCTGGGCGATCCGTACGTGGCCTGCAGGCCGGAGTGTGTACTGAGTTCGGAGTGCCCGCGAAACCTGGCTTGTGTGAATCAGAAGTGTACTGATCCTTGTCCCGGAACCTGTGGTATCAGCGCCGTCTGCGATGTGTTCAACCACATCGCCATGTGCCATTGCCCTGAAAGAATGACCGGCAATGCCTTTGTCCAATGTGTTCCAGTTCAATGTAGGTTAAAGAAATTTTCAGAAAATAAGAAACGAATTGAATGTAACTTCTCCAAATGTAGTGGATGTCTACCGCAATCCTTGTAACCCCTCGCCCTGTGGCTCCTATGCCGAGTGTAGGGAGCAGAACGGCCAGGCCGTTTGCTCCTGCCTCCCCAACTACTTCGGTGTGCCGCCATCCTGCCGGCCAGAGTGCAGCACAAACTATAATTGTGCTCCCAGCTTGGCCTGCCAGAACCAGAGATGCGTGGATCCCTGTCCGGGATCCTGTGGGGCATATGCCCAGTGCCGAACTGTTGGTCACAATCCCTTCTGTACTTGCCGTGCAGGTTATACCGGCAATCCCTTGATACAATGCCACCAGATTAGTAAGTGTTTGATGTCCTATAGCCTGAGTATGTGTTTTGATTGTTGAACCCTCTAGTTGAGCCCCAGCGCGATGTTGCAGTCCAAGACCCGTGTCAGCCGTCCCCCTGCGGGCCGAACAGCGAGTGCCGCCGCGTAGGAGACACGCCTTCCTGCTCCTGCTTGCCAAACTTCTTCGGTACTCCACCCAACTGCCGGCCCGAATGCGTTTCCAACTCGGAGTGTAGCCAGGCACTTGTGTGCGTGAATAATCGTTGCCAAGATCCATGTCCGGGTCTGTGCGGCTCGTTTGCAACGTGCCGAGTGATTAGCCACAGTGCCATGTGCTACTGCCAGCCAGGATACAGCGGCGATCCTTTCGTTAGCTGCTCACCAGTTCAAAGAGAACCGGTGGAGATTGCCCAGCCCTGCCATCCAAATCCCTGCGGCTTATTCGCCGAGTGCCGGCAACAGAATGGAGTCGGCTCCTGTCAGTGCCTCCCAGAATACTTCGGTAATCCCTACGAGGCCTGTCGCCCAGAGTGCGTGATCGACTATGATTGCCCCTCGCATCTCGCGTGTGTGAACCAGAAGTGCCGCGATCCCTGCCCGGGTAGCTGTGGCCAGAACGCCGAATGTTTTGTGCGCAACCACCTCCCCACCTGTAACTGCCTTAGCGGCTATGTGGGCGACCCGTACCGTTATTGCAACATCGAACCGAAACGTAAGCATATGGACTCCCATCGCCAGCACCAGATCGTACACCTCTTCAATCATTTTTCAGCTGTTCGGGAGTACGTTAACCCGTGTCAACCCTCACCCTGCGGACCAAACTCTCAGTGTCGCGAACAGAATGGCGTGGCAACCTGCTCCTGCCTTCCGGAGTACGTTGGTAGCCCGCCCGGCTGTCGTCCTGAGTGCACGGTCTCCGCGGAATGTAGTTTCGACAAGGCTTGTGTCCGTCACAAGTGCATCGATCCCTGCCCTGGCGCATGCGGCAGTTTCGCAACTTGCCACGTGGGCAACCACGCCCCGCTCTGCACTTGCCAGGCGGGATACACAGGAGATCCCTTCACGCGTTGCTATCCCGTACCCCGTAAGTCCCCCAATTATTGGATGTTTTTTCCCATCTTACCATCTTCCTTGCCACCTTAGCCCCTCCAACACACATCCTCCACGATATCGTGCGAGATCCTTGCCAGCCATCGCCCTGCGGGGCCAACGCTCAGTGTCGAGAATCCCAGGGCCAGGCCATCTGCTCCTGCTTACCCAACTACTTTGGGGTGCCGCCCCATTGTCGTCCAGAGTGTACGCAGAGCTCGGAGTGCTTGCCCAGCCTGGCTTGCATCAACCAGCGATGCGCCGATCCCTGCCCTGGTTCATGTGCCTACAATGCCATTTGCAGCGTCCGCAACCATGTGCCTAGTTGCCAGTGTCCCGTGGGCTACGTCGGTGATCCGTTCACCAACTGCCGGCCCCAACCGCCGCCACCACGTAAGATTTAAGAAACGAAAGTGTATCTCCTTTGGTTTAACCTTTGTCCCATCTGCTTCAGCCGAGCCCATTGCTTTCGATGATCCTTGCAATCCTTCCCCTTGCGGAGCGAATGCTCAGTGCCATAACGGTCAATGCACGTGCCTTGCCGAGTACCAGGGTGATCCCTACTCGGGATGTCGTCCGGAGTGTGTTTTGAACGCGGACTGTGCCAGGAATCGTGCCTGTGTCCGCCACAAGTGTGTAGATCCCTGCCCCGGAACCTGTGCTCCCAACGCCATCTGCGATGTAATCAACCATATAGCCATGTGCCGATGCCCAGAGCGGATGACCGGAAACGCCTTCATTTTGTGCGAGGCTCCGCCTGTATCCCTGGCGCCTCCCAATCCTTGCTATCCATCGCCTTGCGGTCCAAACAGCCGGTGCAGAGTTCTTAACGACAACGCCGTATGTTCCTGCATTGAGGACTTCGTTGGCACACCACCAAACTGCCGGCCAGAGTGTACCCACAACTCGGATTGTCTGCCCAGACTGGCATGCCAACGCCAACACTGTGTGGACCCATGTCCCGGAACGTGCGGCTTCAACGCCATCTGCCATGTGGTGAACCATGCACCGATCTGTAGCTGCCCGCCTCGTCACAACGGAAATCCCTTCCTGGGCTGTTTCCCAGAGCCGGTACGACGCGACGAAATCGCTCCGAAGCACCCTTGCCAGCCGTCTCCCTGCGGTCCCTATGCCAACTGTGTTGCCTTGGGAGATCAGGCCCAGTGCAGCTGCCTGCCCAACTATATCGGAACGCCACCCAGCTGCCGACCAGAGTGCATAACCAACTCAGAGTGTCCGTTCGACAAGGCCTGCTTGAACCAACGGTGCGGTGATCCTTGTCCTGGCGCCTGTGGCTCCAATGCCAACTGCCATGTGATTAGTCACGCTGCCAACTGCTACTGTCTTCCGGGCTATACTGGTGATCCATTCACATCCTGTCGCCAAGTGCCTCAGATCCAGCATGAGGAAATCGTTCAGCCCTGCTCGCCAAATCCCTGCGGCGCCAATGCAGTTTGCCGCCATGTGGGCAACGTTGGATCTTGCCAATGTCTGCCAGAATACTTCGGCAACCCGTACGAAGCTTGCCGTCCAGAATGTGTCACCAACAACGACTGCCCGGCGGATAAGTCTTGCCAGCAGATGAAGTGCCGTGATCCCTGCCCAGGAGTGTGTGCGTTGAATGCTGTCTGCCGGGTGATTAATCACCTGCCGACCTGTCACTGCCTCAGTAACTTTGTTGGTGATCCCTACCGTTACTGTCAAATACCCGAGAAACGTGAGTCTGCGATAGGCCTATACCCCCCTCAGATGATAATCAATCCCTTTCCCCTCAAATAGCTGTCCTCAAAGAGTACGTCAATCCCTGCCAGCCATCTCCTTGTGGTCCGAACTCTCAGTGCCGCGAAAACATTGAACAGGCTATCTGCTCCTGCCTGCCAGAGTATGTGGGTGTCCCGCCCAACTGCAGACCCGAGTGTGTAACCAATGGGGAGTGTCCCCATAACAAGGCTTGCATCAGGCAAAAGTGTAGTGACCCATGTCCAGGAGTGTGCGGTTCCAATGCCGACTGCCGTGTCATCCAACACGCTCCAATCTGTAGTTGTCGACCTGGGTTCACAGGCGATGCCTTCAGTCGTTGCCTCCCACTGCCACGTAAGAAACTTCATCAAGAGTCTGCCCCGAATCTTCTCTTTATCCTTACCCTTTGCCTTGTAGCTCCTCCGCCGCCCCAGCTGGATGTTTATCGTAATCCTTGTGTGCCGTCACCTTGCGGTCAGTTCGCGGAATGTCGGGACAATCATGGCACTGCCACCTGCACTTGCCTGCCGTCCTACTTTGGCACTCCCCCCAACTGCCGCCCCGAGTGTACGATCAACGCCGAATGTCCTGCCCACTTGTCCTGCCAGCAGCAACGCTGCCGAGATCCCTGCCCCGGAGCCTGTGGATTCAACGCCCTGTGCACGGTGGTCAACCACAACCCCACGTGCCAGTGTGCTCCAGGGTTAATCGGTAACCCCTTCACATCCTGCCATGCACCGCCTCCTGTCGCCCGAGATCCCCCACAAATAAGTGATCCTTGTTCGCTGATCACCTGCGGGCCCAACGCAGTATGCAACCAAGGACAGTGCACCTGTCTGCCCGAGTTTGTGGGCAACCCCTTGGTCGGCTGCAGGCCAGAGTGCGTCCTGAGCACGGAATGCGACTGGAACAAGGCTTGTGTGAGGAACAAGTGTGTCGACCCCTGTCCCGGAACATGTGGATCCAATGCCATCTGCGAGGTTCACAGACACGTGGCCATGTGTCACTGTCCCCCGGGAATGACTGGAAATGCCTTCAGTCAGTGTCGACCCATTCCACCGGCCCCTGTGCGCGATGTTATTGATCCTTGCCAGCCCTCGCCATGTGGACCGAACGCCCAGTGCCGCAATGTCAATGGAAATGCTGTGTGCTCATGCCTTCCCGACTTTATTGGTGTTCCGCCGTCATGCAGGCCAGAATGCGTCCGCAACGAGGAGTGTCCGCTCCACTTGGCCTGCTTGCAGCAACACTGCCGAGATCCATGCCCCGGAGTGTGTGGCCTGAATGCCTTATGCCGCGTGATAAACCACAGCCCTAACTGCCATTGCATCGACTCCTTCACCGGAAATCCATTCGTGGCCTGTCACCGCCGAGTCCCGCCTCCGGTTCACCACGACCCAATCGATCCCTGCCAGCCGTCGCCTTGCGGAGCCAATGCCGAGTGCCGTGCCCAAGGCAACAATGCCCAATGCAGCTGCCTCCCTGAATTTGTCGGCACTCCGCCAAACTGCCGACCAGAATGTGTTTCCAACGCGGAATGCCCCACCAACCTGGCTTGCCTCAATCAGAAGTGCCGCGATCCCTGCCCAGGAGTATGTGGCCCCAATGCCGAGTGCTACGTAATCAACCATACTCCCATGTGCACTTGCGTTGGTGGGCATAGTGGAAATCCGTTCCTGGGCTGCCAGGTGGTACGAGATATTCCCGAACCGCAAAACCCTTGTGTGCCCAGTCCGTGCGGAGCCAATGCCTTGTGCACGGAAAGAAATGGAGCCGGAGCTTGCCAGTGTCTGCCGGAGTTCTTCGGCAACCCGTACGAGGGCTGTCGCCCAGAATGTGTTCTCAACTCGGACTGTCCCAGTCACCTGGCCTGCCAGAATCAACATTGTCGCGATCCCTGCCCGGGAACATGCGGCCTGAACGCTCAATGCCAAGTCCGCGATCACCTTCCGCAGTGCAGCTGTTTGGTGGGCTACCAAGGAAACCCCTATGCGTTCTGCAGTGTCCTGCGTGAACGTAAGCCGACCCCCGATAGAAACCTTAACCATTTTGAATCTAACCCGATTTTCATCCCTCCAGCCGTACCTGACCCCATTCCCTCTCGTCCCTGCCAACCATCACCCTGCGGACCCAACGCTCAGTGCCGCGAGTCGAACGGACAGGCCATATGCACGTGCTTGGCCGACTTTATCGGATCCCCGCCTGCCTGCAGGCCCGAGTGCACAATCTCTAGTGAATGCGACCGTACCCTGGCTTGCGTCCAGCAACACTGCATCGATCCCTGTCCGGGCGTATGCGGCAGCAATGCTCAGTGCCGGGTTATTAACCACAGCCCGCATTGCAGCTGCTTGCCTGGATTTACGGGTGATGCCATTAGTGGATGCCGCCGCATACGTAAGACGAAGCTTTCCTCCAGTTCTCCTGGCAACCACCCTAACCCGCACCCCTCTTTAGCTCCCGCCATCAGCTATGATGCCCCTAAGGAGACCTACCGCGATCCCTGTATTCCCTCTCCCTGTGGCGTCTTTGGTCAGTGCCGAGCCCAAGGCAATCAGGCTGTTTGCTCTTGCCTGCGCGGCTACTTTGGCGCACCACCCAATTGCCAGCCGGAGTGTGTCATCAATCCCGACTGCCCCTCCCATCTGGCCTGTATCAACGAGAAGTGCCGCGATCCCTGCCCCGGTTCTTGCGGATTCCGTGCCACGTGCAGTGTAATTAACCATACACCCATCTGTAGCTGCCCACCTGGCTATGAGGGCAATCCCTTCGTCAGTTGCCAGCCCACTCCTCCGCCGCCAACTCCTCCACTGCGCGACGAGTGTAATCCCTCGCCGTGTGGCTCCAATGCCATCTGCAGTCCCGGAGGACAGTGCTCCTGTCTGGCAGGCTTCGATGGCAATCCATTCGTGGGATGTCGACCGGAGTGCGTCCTTAATACGGACTGTGCCAGAGACAAGGCCTGTCAGCGCAGCAAGTGCGTTGATCCTTGTCCAGGAGCTTGTGGCGTGGGAGCTGTTTGTGAGGTTCGCAACCACATACCCACCTGCAACTGTCCGCCCGGAACCTCGGGCAACGCATTCGTGCAGTGTACCGTCGTGCAATGTATGTTTCAGATTGAGAATAGTTTACCAAGAACCCTTCACGAATCTCTGTTTACCTGTTTAGCTGCTCCAGTGGAACCAGTGCACCCCTGTCATCCCTCTCCTTGTGGAAACAATGCCCAATGCCGCGAAGCCAACAATCAGGCCATCTGTTCCTGTTTGCCTGGATACTTCGGCGTTCCTCCAACCTGCCGACCCGAGTGTACCATCAACTCTGACTGTGCCCCTCACCTGGCCTGTCTGAACCAACACTGCCGCGATCCCTGCCCAGGAGCTTGTGGCCAATACGCCGACTGCCAGGTCATCAGACATGTGCCGCACTGTAGTTGTCCATCCGGATTCTCCGGCAACGCATTCTTCCTGTGCCAGCGAATTCCACCTCCCCCGCCCGTACAAAGAGAACCTCTTAATCCTTGCGCGCCATCACCATGTGGGGCCAATGCCGAGTGCACCGTCCAAAACGACCAGGCCATATGCAAGTGCCTGAAGGACTACATTGGAACACCACCTAACTGCCGACCAGAGTGCATCACATCCTCGGAGTGTCCCAATCAGCTGGCTTGCATCAATCAGAAATGCAGGGATCCTTGCCCTGGACTGTGCGGAACTGCAGCCAGCTGCCAAGTGGTCAGCCATGTGCCGTCGTGTATTTGCATTGCGGACTTCATTGGCGACCCCTACACTGGCTGCTATCCGCGTCCGCAAATCCAGCGAGAACAGATTAATCCCTGCGCTCAGAATCCTTGCGGAAGCAATGCCGTGTGCACGGAGCGAGGTGGAGCCGGAGCTTGCCAGTGTCTGCCGGAGTACTATGGAAACCCCTACGAAGGATGCCGACCGGAATGCGTTCTCAGTTCCGACTGTTCAAGCCATTTAGCTTGCTTGAACCAACATTGCCGCGATCCCTGTCCCGGAAGCTGTGCCCCCAATGCCCAGTGTCAAGTAGTTAACCATGTGCCCCGTTGTAGTTGCTATCCGGGATACCAAGGCGATCCGTATCGCCATTGTCATGTCGTCCAGGCTGAACGTAAGCAGTCACCGCCAAACCAGTTGTCTAATCCTTGCACTAACCCACAATATTACGTAAAATCTGCACTTTTTTGTCCATCTCCAGCTGTCCCTGTCCAAGTTCACTTTGATCCCTGTCAGCCGTCGCCGTGTGGTCCCAACGCCCAGTGTACTGAGTCCCAGGGTCAGGCGGTTTGTCGCTGCCTGCCCGATTACTTTGGCTCTCCGCCCGCTTGTCGGCCGGAGTGCACTAGTAATCCCGAGTGTCCCAATGACAAGGCTTGCGTGGCCAGGCGGTGCTCAGATCCCTGCGTGGGAGCCTGTGGCCTGAACGCCGTTTGTCGGGCGCACCAGCATCGAGCTCTGTGCTCGTGCTCGCCTGGCTTCACTGGTGACGCTTTCACAAGGTGTCTTCCTGTACCGCCTCCGCCACCTGTTGTCCGGGACTCCCCTAAAGATCCCTGTGTGCCTTCCCCCTGCGGCCAATTCGCCCAGTGCCGTGAGCAGTACGGACAGGCCGTGTGCTCGTGCCTACCATCTTACTACGGCACTCCGCCCTACTGTCGACCCGAATGCACCCTGAACTCAGATTGTCCCAGTCATAGGGCGTGCATCAATCAGAGATGCGCGGACCCGTGCCCTGGAGCTTGTGGTTTGAACGCCCAATGTGATGTGCTTAACCATGTGCCCAGTTGCTCGTGTCCCAGAGGTTATGTAGGCGATCCCTTCTACCGATGCTACCCGGCCCCAACACCAGCACCGACCCCAACAGCAGTAGTGAAAGACGATCCCTGTGTACCCTCCCCTTGTGGTCCCAATGCACAGTGCTCCCAGGGTGTTTGCAGTTGCCTTCCCTTGTACCAGGGTGATCCGTACGTGGGTTGCCGCCCAGAGTGCGTCTTGAGTACAGAGTGCCCCTGGAATAAGGCCTGTATCCGCAATCGTTGCCTTGATCCTTGTCCAGGAACTTGTGGATCGGGAGCCACCTGCCAGGTGCACAACCACCTGGCCATGTGCCAGTGCCCAGATGGCTACCAGGGAAATCCGTTTGTACTCTGCCAGCCTAGACCGCTCCAGGCACCTGTGGAGCTTCATCCCTGCCAGCCCTCGCCCTGCGGCCCCTACGGAGAGTGCCGGGAAGTTGGCTCGCAGGCTATATGCTCCTGTTTGCCCGGATATTATGGCAGTCCACCTGCCTGTCGACCGGAATGTGTCAGCGACCCAGAGTGTCCGCCCAGCCTGGCTTGTGTGAATCAGAAATGCCGAGATCCTTGTCCTGGAGCGTGTGGTTACCAGGCTGTATGCCACGTTATCAACCACAGCCCGCAGTGTGTGTGCCCACCTGGCTACACAGGAAGTCCCTACACCCAATGCCAATTGATCAGGCAAAGCTCCGTACCAGTCCAACGCGAACCACTCGATCCCTGCCTGCCATCGCCCTGCGGCGCCCATGCTCAGTGCAGCAACGAAAACGGAAATGCGGTTTGCCGCTGCCTGCCGGACTATTTGGGTGTTCCTCCGTATTGTCGCCCTGAGTGCATTGCCAACAGCGAGTGCCCCACCGACAGAGCCTGTATAAATCGCAAGTGCCAGGATCCATGCCCCGGACTTTGCGGCTTCAATGCCATTTGCCGAACATACAACCACCAGCCGAACTGTGTGTGTGCTCCTGGCCTAGTGGGCAACCCGTTCAACTCCTGTTTGCCACCAACGCGACCACAGAATCCACCAACGCCCCCCACCACCGCCATCCAAGTGCTTCAGTACAACGAGCCGATTCTTAATCCTTGTGAGCCGAATCCCTGTGGTGCAAATGCCCAGTGTAATCAGCGGCAAGGGGCTGCCTCGTGTGTCTGCTTGCCAAACTACTTTGGTAACCCGTACGAGGCCTGTCGACCGGAGTGCATCCTAAACTCCGACTGTCCGTCGAGCAGGGCTTGTGTGCAACAGCAGTGTCGCGACCCCTGTCCCGGCACCTGCGGCCTTAACGCCGAATGCTACGTGCTGGATCACCTGCCTCAGTGCAGTTGCTTCAACGGCTACACCGGCAATCCCTTGGCCTACTGCGCCCCCGTACCCGTTATTCAACAATGTAAGCATGAATGTAGCTCCAAGACCAAACCATATGTAACTAACCTCTGGATATCTGTCCCAATAGCTCCGATAGCGCCCCTTACCCCTTGCGATCCCTCACCCTGCGGTCCCAATGCCAAGTGCTCCCCGTCCAACGATCAGGCGGTTTGCTCCTGTTTGCCGGAATTCTACGGCACCCCGCCCCACTGCCGCCCCTGAATGCACTTTGAACTCAGAGTGCGCGTACGACAAGGCCTGTGTCCACCATAAGTGCGTCGATCCTTGCCCGGGAGTTTGCGGCATCAATGCCGAGTGTCGGGTGCACTATCACAGTCCCATTTGTTACTGCATCGGTTCCCACACAGGCGATCCGTTTACGCGTTGTTACGAGATTCCAAAACGTAAGAATACCATTGAAAGCGATGGAAACACAACAAATCCTAACCAATCCCATTTGGCACTTTCAATAGCTGTTCGGCCTACCATATACGACACTCCCTCGCCTCCCTATCCAGTTGCCATACCTGGCCTGATACACACTCAACCACTGGGAATAGTGAATGTTCCTTCAGCCCCCAACCTGGATACCCGTCTCCGCAACCTCCGATCTATCAAAGCAACTATCCATCGCCGCCGCCCTCTCAGCAGCCGGGAGTTGTGAATATTCCATCTGTGGCCCAGCCGATTCCGCCGACAAGTCAACGACCCATCTTTATTCCGGCGGTTGTCAGTCCAACATCACCTGCCCCGCAGCCTGGAGTAATAAATATTCCGTCGGTGGCGCAACCTGCGTATCCAACACCACACCCTCCGGTTTATGACGTTAACTACCCGACAACGCCCACTCCTATTCCTCAACAACCTGGTGTGCTGAATATTCCTTCTGTTCCCCAACCAACATATCCATCACCTAAGCCGCCGGTTTACGATGTCAACTATCCAACACCAGCGCCACCAAGTCCAGCTCAGCCGGGTGTGATAAACATTCCATCTGTGCCACAGCCATCACCACCGGCGCCACAGCCTCCAGTGCTAATACCAGCTCCTGTGAGCCCAATACCTACTCCCAAGCCAGAAGTAATCAATGTTCCGTCGATACCACAACCGGTGCATCCAACACCGCAGACGCCTGTTTACGACGTAAACTATCCCACAACTCCATCTCCGATACCTCAACAGCCAGGAGTGATAAACATTCCGTCTGTACCACAGCCAGTATACCCAGCACCGAATCCTCCAGTTTATTATCCAACAACGCCTTCTCCGGTTCCTCATCCTCAGCCGGGAGTGGTTAATATTCCATCGTATCCGGAACCAGTGCCACCCACCCCACAGGCTCCTGTATTCCTGCCATCCCCCCAGAATCCGACACCAGCCCCCACGCCGGGAGTGATTAATATTCCCTCGGTGCCGCAGCCTTCTTATCCAACACCCCAGCCTCCAATCTATGATGTGAACTACCCAACACCACAGCCTGCTGTTCCGCAGAAACCTGAGATTATCAATATTCCGTCTGTACCTCGCCCAGTACCTCCGGTTTCCCAACGGCCCGTGTTTATTCCTTCTCCTGTGAATTACACACCGGCCCCTCCACCAGGAGTGGTCAATATTCCTTCAGCGCCACAGCCAGTGCATCCAACACCTGCACCTCCGGCTATTCCACGACCAGCTATATACGATGTCTATTATCCACCACCTCCAGCGAGACCCGGTGTTATTAATATACCATCGCCGCCACGCCCTGTATACCCAGTGCCCCAGCAACCGATATATATACCAGCGCCAGTTGTGCCTACATACGCACCATCACCTGGAGTCATTAATGTTCCATCGGTGCCGCAACCCACTTATCCACAACCGAATCCACCGATAATCCACGATGTCAGCTATCCACCACCACAGCCCACACCGCCAGCTCCTGGAATTGTAAACATTCCTTCGGTACCTCAACCAGTGCCATCACCAACTCCTGGCGTTGTTAATATTCCTTCCCAACCGTCGCCGCCGATCAATGTGCCTACACCGGGAGTGGTGAACATACCATCGGTTCCTCAACCTACATATCCACCTCAGAACCCAACTGTTCACGATGTTAGCTACCCAACGCCACATCCGACACCCGCAGCACCAGGAATTATTAATATTCCATCGGTACCTCAACCAGTGCCTTCTCCAAGTCCCGGCGTGATAAATATTCCTTCCCAGCCATCGCACCCGATCGCTGTGCCTCAACCGGGAGTTGTAAACATACCATCGGTGCCACAACCCACCTATCCACACCAGAATCCTCCGATCCATGATGTCAGTTACCCTTCACCACAGCCGACTCCTGCAGCCCCTGGAATTATAAACATTCCTTCGGTACCTCAACCAGTGCCTTCTCCGATTCCTGGAGTGATTAATGTACCTTCTCAACCATCGCCGCCGATCGCTGTGCCTCAACCGGGAGTGGTGAACATACCATCGGTTCCTCAACCAACTTATCCACCTCAGAACCCACCCGTTCAGGCTGTCAGCTATCCTTCGCCACAGCCCACACCTCCCACACCAGGAATTATCAATGTGCCTTCTGTGCCACAACCAGTACCGCCTCCAACCCCGGGTGTGATCAATATCCCTTCGCAGCCGTCGCCACCAGTTACGGTTCAAACACCAGGAGTTATAAATGTTCCTTCAATACCTCAGCCTATACCAACAACACCTCAATACCCAATACAGGATGTTCAACAGGAGAGACCACAGCCAAATCCTGGAGTGATCAACATTCCATCGGTGCCGCAACCTACATATCCAACTCAACGGCCTGTTGTTCCTGATGTTAGTTATCCGACACCGCAGCCTACTCCTCCAGCACCAGGAATAATAAATATTCCATCCCAGCCTGCACCTCAGCCCGGAATAATCAACGTCCCTTCGATTCCGCTTCCAATTCCTACCACAACTCAATATCCTGTGCAAGATACACAGCGACCTCAACCAAACTACGACGTGGCCAAGCCACAATTCGAGTTCAACCCGTGTCATCCATCGCCCTGCGGCCCGTATTCCCAGTGCCACAATCGCTTTGGAGCGGCGGCTTGTGTCTGCCTGCCCAACTACCAGGGAACTCCTCCGAACTGCCGGCCGGAGTGCGTCGTCCAGTCCGACTGCCCGTCATTCCTGGCTTGTATTAATGAAAAGTGCCGCGATCCCTGTCCTGGATCCTGTGCGTACAATGCCGAGTGTCGTGTCCACGATCACGTGCCCAACTGCTTCTGTCGCTCTGGCTACACCGGAGATCCGTTTGTATCCTGCCAGCCCATACCGATAGTACCAGTCCAGCGTGAACCTGTCGAGCAAAAGGATCCATGCTATCCGTCCCGATGCGGTCCGAACGCCGTGTGCAACAACGGCCAATGTAGCTGTATACCGGAATATCGAGGAGATCCGTATGTTGGCTGTCGACCAGAGTGTGTTCTGAACACGGACTGTGCCAGGGATAAGGCTTGCATCCGTCAGAAGTGCCAGGATCCTTGCCCGGGCACTTGTGGCCTGAACGCATTGTGCCATGTCTACAACCACGTGGCCACCTGTACGTGTCCGGAGCAAATGCAGGGAGATGCCTTCGTTCGTTGCGATCCGATTCCCAAACTCCAGCCGCCTGCTACAGCCCCACCGGCCACAACCCTGCCTGCGATTGTGCCACAGCGTACTCCAGTCAATCCCTGCCGTCCCTCGCCGTGTGGACCCAACGCCCAGTGTCGGGCTTACCACGAACAGGCCATTTGTAACTGCCTGCCAGGATACTTTGGCACCCCGCCCGCCTGCCGTCCGGAGTGCACCTCAAACTCGGACTGCCCCCTCGACAAGTATTGTCTGAATCTCAAGTGCCGCGATCCCTGTCCCGGAGCCTGTGGTCTCCGTGCGATCTGCCATGTGCAGAACCACGGTCCGCTGTGTGTTTGCCCACCCGGTTTGACGGGAAATCCCCTTCTAGCTTGCCAGCCCATAGGTAGGATCTACAAAAGCCCCAAAGCCACAATTGATCATAACTCTAATCCTGAATTTTTAGTCTTACCACCTGTACAGCGCGAAGAAGTCGATCCTTGCCAGCCATCGCCTTGTGGGCCAAACTCCCAGTGCCAAGCCACGCCGGGCGGAGCACCTCGCTGCTCCTGCCTGCCCCAGTTCTACGGTACTCCGCCTTTCTGTAGGCCAGAGTGCGTCAGTAGTGCAGACTGTCCGGCGGACAAGGCGTGTCGCAACTACAAATGCATTGATCCTTGCCCTGGCAGCTGTGGTCACCTGGCTCTCTGCCGCGTGGTGGCCCACAGTCCCATCTGCTACTGCCCCGAGGGCTATGAGGGCAATGCCTATAGTGTTTGCGTTCGCCCCGAGCCCAGACCACCTGTGGTTAAGATTTCCGTGCCCTGCAATCCCAGTCCCTGTGGAGGCAACGCCCTTTGCTTGCCCCACAATGACTTGAGTGTTTGCCAGTGCCTGCCGGGCTACTATGGTAATCCGTACGAAATCTGCCGACCCGAATGCACTGTTAACTCGGACTGCCCGGGCGACAGGGCTTGCCAGAATGAAAAGTGCCGCGATCCTTGTCCCGGAGTGTGTGGCATTAATGCCCGTTGCCAGGCCATAAATCATAGTCCGGTTTGCGAATGCCATCCGGGCTATGTTGGTAATCCCTACCTGAACTGCCGAATTCTGCAGCAAGAACGTAAGAATGCGAATATATTAGTATACGGCTTTTGCGATCTGTTGATCTTAACCCTAAAGCCTTACCTAAAAACCTGATCTCTTTTTCAACATCCTTGAAGCCCTAATCTCGCTGCCTTCATGAATAATGTTGTGTGACATCCCTCTTGCCCTAAAAACAGCCTCGTCTTGACTCCTTTTAAGGGGTCTAATGCGCCTTTAATAATAAGTACATTTAACTACTAAGATCTCAGCCCTAATTTTCTGTGATATTATAAGCGACCTCTTAGGATTTCTATCTTGCCAACAAACAACAACGCAGTACTCATTTTCCCTTAAAGATCTCCTCTTCTCTGCCAAATATTAAATCGGTGCCTTATATCTGATCTCAAGCTCAACGGCCTAGCTTTAATTTCGCTTAATATATTTTTAAAGATACCTTTTTCAGCAGCCTCATCTGTTTTATATTCCGCCAATCATCGATATTTAAGTGCTCTGTGACAATACGCTAGATTTAGAAAAACTTAACCCTGCTTTTGGTTTGCTTTGATTTTGAAAAACGCTTCGCTTCCCGCTTGCTGATGTGCAAAGTTTTAAAACCCCATTTATAACCCTCTCTAGCCACACCCCCGGAGTATGTTAACCCTTGCCAACCGTCGCCGTGCGGCCCCAACTCCCAGTGTCGGGAATCGCAGGGCCAGGCCATCTGCTCGTGCTTGCCGGAATTCGTGGGCACCCCGCCCTCGTGCCGGCCGGAGTGCGTGATCAGTGCCGAGTGCCCGGCGGACAAGGCGTGCATCAATCAGAAATGCCAGGACCCATGCCCCGGAGCCTGTGGCCTCAATGCCCAGTGCCATGTGCGAAACCATAGTCCGCTATGTTCTTGCCAGCCCGGATTCACCGGAGACGCTCTGACCCGCTGCCTGCCCATTCCACCGCCGAAGCCACCCAAATCGGAGGATGTCCGCGATCCCTGCGTGCCATCGCCTTGTGGCCCCTATTCACAGTGCCGTGTGGTGAACGGAGGAGCCAGCTGCAGCTGTCTGCCCAACTACGTGGGAGCGGCGCCCAACTGCCGACCAGAGTGCACCATTAATGCGGAGTGTCCCAGCAACCTGGCGTGCATCAACGAAAAGTGCCGAGATCCTTGTCCGGGAGCCTGTGGCTTCGCTGCCCGCTGCAGTGTCATCAACCACACACCCAGTTGCTCCTGCCCGGTCGGCTATACCGGAGATCCGTTTACTAGCTGCCGACTGCTGCCCCCAGTTGCTCCCCCCAAGAGTATGCCCATTGCCTACCCCTTGCCCCCTGAACTTTTCCCTAAGTCTGGTCCCATCTCTCTTTCAGTTGAATCCGATCCCTGCCAGCCGTCACCCTGCGGCGCCAATGCTGTCTGCAACAATGGACAATGCTCCTGCTTGCCGGAATACCAGGGCGATCCTTACACCGGTTGTCGTCCGGAGTGCGTTTTGAACTCGGACTGTCCCAGGAACAGGGCGTGTGTGAACCAGAAGTGCGTGGATCCTTGTCCAGGACACTGTGCCCCCAACGCTCTCTGCGATGCCGTCAACCATGTAGCCATGTGCCACTGTCCCGAGCGGATGACGGGCAATGCCTTGGTGTCTTGCTCTCCGGTTCGCGATGAACCTCCGAAAACGCCGCCCAATCCCTGCTACCCTTCGCCGTGTGGAGACAATGCCCAGTGTACGGAGAGGAATGGAAATGCCATCTGCACCTGCCTGACCGGATTCTTTGGCCAGCCGCCCAACTGCCGGCTGGAATGCTATTCCAGCTCCGATTGCTCCCAGATACACGCTTGCATCAACAATAAGTGCGTGGATCCCTGTCCGGGCAAGTGCGGCCTCAATGCCGTATGCCAGGCGATTCAGCACAGAGCCCACTGCGAGTGCAGTCCGGGCTACACCGGAAATGCCTATGCTCTGTGCCAGCCTATCCCTAGAACACCGGAAATAGTGCGTGATGTTTGCTCGCCGTCCCCATGCGGTCCGAACTCGCAATGTCGGGATGTGAACGGTCAAGCTGAGTGCCGCTGTCTGCCGGAGTTCCAGGGCACACCGCCCAACTGCCGGCCGGAGTGTGTCAGCCACGATGAGTGTGCCAATACGTTGGCGTGTATGAACCAGAAGTGCCGCGATCCCTGCCCGGGTAGCTGTGGTCAGAACGCCCTGTGCACTGTGACCCTGCACACGCCCAATTGCCAGTGCCCCGCTGGAATGACGGGTGATCCCTTCAGGCTCTGCCAACCAATTCCCCAAAGTAAGCCCCCTTCCTTGACCAAGACCCTTTCCAGAACAAGTTTGCATATTGTATCAGGCAGGGCATCTATTTATGATCTAGTCTTTACATAAATCTTAATATTTTACCTTTACGCAATTTCCAGATCTGCCCACTCCTCCGCCAACACCCAAGAATCCCTGCTACCCATCTCCTTGTGGCACCAATGCCGTGTGCCGCGTCCAGGGAGAGAACTATGTGTGCGAATGCAGCCAGCCGGAATACATCGGCAATCCCTACGAGGGCTGCCGTCCCGAATGCGTTGGCAACTCCGAATGTCCTGCCAACCAGGCCTGCATCCGCAACAAGTGCCAGAACCCATGCCCAGGAGTCTGTGGAATTGAGGCTATTTGCAGTACCAACAACCACATTCCCATCTGCTCCTGCCCAGCCGGATATACAGGCAATGCCTTTGTCCAGTGTCAACGTCTACTGACTCCACCACCGCCATCGGATCCTTGCTACCCATCGCCCTGCGGCCCCAACTCCGTCTGCCGAGAGCAGAACGAGAAGGCGGTGTGCGAATGCCTGCCAGGATTCTTTGGAAATCCCCTGGTCCAGGGCTGCCGACCGGAGTGTACTCTGAGCTCAGACTGTGCCAAGGACCGGGCCTGCATCAACTCCAAGTGCGTGGATGCCTGCGTGGGAGAGTGTGGATTCGGAGCCATTTGCCAGACCATCAACCACAGCCCGGTGTGCAGCTGCCCTGCCAACATGGTGGGCAATCCGTTCGTCCAGTGCGAGACACCTCGCCAGGCCGAGCCAGTGGATCCTTGCCAGCCATCGCCGTGTCGCAGCAACGGAATCTGTCGCGTTCGCAACGGAGCTGCCACCTGCAGCTATCCGGAGTGTGTGATCAACGAAGACTGCTCCAGGGACAGGACGTGCGTGAGCCAGAAGTGCCGAGATCCATGCCTGAATGCCTGCGGCATCAATGCCATCTGTCGTGCCATCAACCACAAGGCCGTGTGCAGCTGCCCGCCAGACTTCTACGGCTCTCCATACGCCCAGTGCCTGCGCCAGGTGCAGGAGATCCAGCCACCGAAGCCGGAGTGCATCAGCGACGGCGACTGCACCAATGACAAGGCCTGCATCAACCAGGTCTGTCGCAATCCATGCGAGCAATCGAATCTCTGCGCTGCCCAGGCCCGCTGCCACGTCCAACTGCACCGTCCGTTGTGCGTCTGCAACGAGGGATACACCGGAAATGCCCTGCAGCACTGCTACCTCCTGGGATGCCGATCCGACGGAGAGTGTGCTGCCACGGAAGCCTGTATCAATGAGAAGTGTGTCGATCCCTGCGGATTTACGCAGTGCGGAACCGGAGCCATCTGTCGGGCGGACTTTAATCACCGTGCTAGGTGCCACTGTCTGGAAGGATACCGCGGCAATCCTCTGGTGCGCTGCGATCGCCCCGAGTGCCGCTCGGATGACGAGTGCGCCTTCCATTTGGCCTGCCGTAATGAACGGTGTGAAGATCCTTGCAACTGCGGCATCGGCGCCCAGTGCCGTGTGGACAACCATCGTGCCCAGTGCCGCTGCCCCGCCGGATTCAGTGGCAACCCAGCCGTAAGATGTGACCTGGTGCCGGCTCAGCCGGAGGGTTGCACTATGGATGCCGAGTGTCCAAGCAAACTGGCCTGCTTCGGCGGCGAGTGCAAGAATCCGTGCTCTGTAACGCATCCGTGCGGTGCCAACGCCATCTGCGAGGTTGTGGATACCCTGCCCCTGCGCACCATGATCTGTCGCTGTGAGCCTGGTTATGTGGGTGATGCTGACATTGGATGTCGCAAAGGTAAGATTTGCTGGCACTGGCCGACTTAATAGATTATTTTACGCTTTATTTTGTTGAGTTTGCTTTTCTCATTGCAGCAGCAGTATATGTTTATAAAGTGCTTTATTAAATGATATATTTTGAGCAATTTTGAAACCATTTATAGCGTCGCACCTCCTAAGCAGTTGCACTCTATAATTGTACATACTTTGCCCTGCACCCTATAACTCTTAACTGTTGCACTTGATCACTTTTGATTTGTGACCGTATCTTGAAGACCGAATTCTAATCCTTTATATCATCACTACAGAACCCGCTCGAGACCAAGGCTGCACATCGCATGATCAGTGCCAGGACACGGAAGCCTGCCGCGGTGGCAACTGCGTCAATCCCTGTCTGGACGCCTCGCCGTGTGCCCGCTCTGCCCATTGCTTGGCCCAGCAGCACCGCGCCATTTGCAGCTGTCCAGAGGGAACCCAAGGAGATCCGTTCACCAACTGCTACCAGCCTCGTAAGTACAATGATAACCCATCACTGTTTCCAACATTAAAATTTAAATGAACTCTCGACTTTCCAGCTCAAATCACAGCCGGATGTACCCATGACTCTGAATGTCCACCCAACGCTGCTTGCATCAACCAGCGATGCCAAGATCCTTGCGCCGAGGCCAATCCTTGTGCCGGCAATGCCGAGTGTCGGGTGCAGAACTACCGACCGTTTTGCTTCTGTCCAGCTGGCTGGGGAGGTGATCCACAAGTCCAATGCTACAAACGTAAGTCTAATGAGATTAATATCATAATGGTATAATATTAAATATTACCTACCTTTAGCTGAGTGCAAGATCAATGCCGATTGTCCTTACGACAAGGCCTGTTTGCACGAGAACTGCGTCAACCCATGCACCCATGGACAGGTTCGTTGCGGCAGTGGAGCCCAGTGCTTGCCACAGAATCACCAAGCCGTGTGCAGTTGTCCGGCCGGAACCCAGGGCAACCCCTTCATCTCCTGCATCACCGGACACTGCCAGTACAACGAGGACTGCGCCGATCACGAGGCCTGCGACCGTCTGAACCGTGTCTGCCGTCCAGTTTGCGAACAGGAGACATGCGCCCTTAACGCCATCTGCGTGGGTCGTCGCCACCAGCCTCAGTGCGAGTGCCGACCTGGTTACCAAGGCAATCCGTTCGTCCAGTGCGACATCCCACAGATTGCTCCGCAGCCTCAGTGCACCCAGGACGCCGACTGTCCATCTAAGCTGGCCTGCATTAATGAGCGATGCGCCGATCCGTGCGCCACTCCTCATGTCTGCAGCCCGCAACAGACCTGCAATGTCCTGGATACCCTGCCTTTGCGAACCATGATCTGCAAGTGCCCCAGCGATACGGTAACGGACACTTCTGGCAACTGTGTGCCCATCAAGCGCCCAGTGGTCAGTACCGGATGCCAACACAACTCGGACTGTGCCAACCCTGAGGTTTGCTCGAATGGCAACTGCCTGGACGCCTGTCGATTGAAGAGGTGCGGTGTGAATGCCCAATGTACTGCCCGGGATCATTATGGCCAGTGCAACTGCCCCAAGGGCTTCCAGGGCAACCCTCGCATTGAGTGCTACTCCACTGAGGTGGGTCGTCCGAGAGTTCCAGAGCCAGTTTGTACGCGCGACGATGACTGCCCAAGGGATAAGACCTGCCGCAATGAGCTGTGTGTGAATCCTTGTGCCGCCGATGCCTGTGGAATCGGTGCCTACTGTCATGTGCAGCAGCGCAAGGCTATCTGCCGCTGCCCACCAGGCTACTCCGGTAATCCTCAGGAGAGGTGCCTGCCACGTAAGTTTCATAAGAGTTTGTTCATGAAGTTCATACCTAACATATCCAATTCCTATCTTTAGCCTCGGATGTTATCACCGTGGGATGCAAGTCCAATGCCGACTGCCCAGCTAGCGAGGCCTGTATCAACACCCAGTGCGCCAGTCCCTGCAACTGTGGACCTAATGCCGAGTGCTCGGTGAGGAACCACCACCCCGTATGCTACTGCAAGCCAGGCTTCTCCGGCAACGCCCAGTTCGGATGTTCCCCTATTGGTTGCCAGTCGGATGACGAGTGCAGCGGTGACAAGCAGTGTCTGAACCGGGAGTGCGTGAATCCCTGCCTGGTCACGGATCCATGTGCCCTGAATGCTGAGTGCTATGGCCGCAACCATCGTGCCAACTGCCGCTGCCCCGTCGGACTGGAAGGCGATCCCTTCGTGCGCTGCCTGCGCCTGGAATGCCACTCTGACTACGATTGCGCCTCTAACCTGGCCTGTGTGTCCAACCAGTGCGTGAATCCATGTGGCCAGCAGAATCCTTGTGCCCAGAACGCCATCTGCCAGGCGCTGCAGCATCGCGCTGTGTGCCGTTGCCCAGAGCAACTGCCTCTTGGAAATCCACATGCCTACTGCGAACCCCGACCTGTGGAGCCAGTGTGCCGAGACGACGGAGACTGTCCCAGCGGATTGGCGTGCATCGACGCCAAGTGCCAGAACCCATGCACAGTACTCTCGCCTTGCGCCCGCTCTGCCCAGTGCAGTGTCTTGGACAGCGTTCCAGTGCGAACCATGGTCTGTGAGTGTCCCGAGTCCCAGGTGCCCGATGCCAGCGGTGAATGCCGCAAACTGGTCCTGCAAAGCCCGCCGGGCTGTGAGAGCGACCACGACTGTCCGGACCAGGAGGCCTGTATCCATCGCCAATGCCGCAACCCTTGCAACTGCGGCACCAACGCCATCTGTCAAGTGACCCAACACCGCGCAGTGTGCAGCTGCCAAGACGGCTTCGAGGGCAACCCCTATGCCGCCTGCCGCTCCATTGGATGCCGTGTGGATGGAGAGTGCGATTCGGGCAAGGCCTGCATCAATGGCGACTGCATCAACCCGTGCCTGATCAACGACCCGTGCGGACCCAATGCCGAGTGCTACGTCCAGTCCAACAGGGCGCAGTGCCGCTGCCTGAGTGGCTACCGAGGCAATCCTTACGATCGATGCCGCGTCATTGGCTGCAGCAGCAACAACGACTGCCCCACAGACAAGACCTGCCAGAACGAACAGTGCGTCAACCCATGCGTCTACCACAACCCATGTGCTCCGCGAGCGGAATGCCGACCTCAAAACCACTTGGCTGTGTGCCGCTGTCCGGCCGACTTCCTGGGCAATCCCTACGTGGACTGCCGTCCTCCGCCGCAGCCCATCTGCCAACTGGACACGGATTGTCCCGCCCGACAGGCCTGCATTAACGAACAGTGTGTTGATCCCTGCCAAGTCCTGGAACCTTGCCAACGACCTGCGCAATGCCAGGTGACTCCCACGTCCCCTGTGCGCACCATGATCTGTATCTGTCCGGATGGTTACATCAGCAGTGGCAGCGGAAGCTGCAAACCCACCACAGGAATCACAAAGGTGGGTGGTTGCATCTCAGACTCAGACTGTCCCGCGGACAAGTCTTGCCTGAATGGCGTCTGCCGAAATCCCTGCAACTGTGGACTGAACGCCGAATGCCGCATCAAGGACCATAAGCCAGTGTGCACCTGTCGCCAGGGATACGAGGGTAACCCCGAGTTTGAGTGCGCCAAGATCGAGTGCACCATCAACTCTGATTGCCCTGGAACTCATGCCTGCCGTAACCAGCTCTGCGTCCCTGCCTGCCAGGGTGAGCAGTGCGGCACCAACGCCCAGTGCCTGGCCATCGAGCATCGCGCCGTTTGTGAGTGCATACCGGGTCATGGTGGAAACGCCAGGATTGCTTGCACTCCGCTGGGCTGTCGCTCCGACGACGAATGCCCCACGGACAAGGCCTGTGTGAATGGCAAGTGCAATGATCCTTGCGCCACCACCGCCATTTGTGGCCATGACGAACTCTGCAAGGTGTACCAGCACAGGCCGCAGTGTGCCTGCCCGCCAGGAACTGTGCCCGGAAAGAATGGCTGCGAATCGGAACGTCATGTACCGATCTGCATCAGCGATGCGGACTGTCCCAGCCAACGAGCCTGCCTGCGTGGAGAATGTGTCAATCCCTGCAACGCCACCCAGCCGTGCGGAGTGAATGCCGAGTGCCACGTTCGAGATACCCTACCCGTCAGGACCATGATCTGCGAGTGCCTAGAAGGATACACCGGCAATGCAGCCGTGCAGTGCGACAAGCGATCCCTGTGCGTCATCGAAAAGGGCTTCGTGCGCGACGTCGACGGTCAGTGTGTCTGCCCGCCGGGAACCGCCCTGGATGTCTACGAATACTGCACACCATGTCTGGTGGAACAGGGCTTCCGCATCGACGAGACCGGACACTGTGTTTGCGCCCTTGAGCGCGGCATGGTAATCGATGAACGCGGACGCTGCACTTGTCCAATCGAACTGGGGTACCGCCTGACACCACGCGGAGAATGCCAGCCAGACGAGCCACCAGAGTGCACCAGCAACGACCAGTGTGCCGACAACCGATACTGCAACCTCGACACCAAGACCTGCGAGGATCCTTGCCTCACCAAGGTTTGCGGCGTGAATGCTTTCTGTAATGCTGTGAACCATCGCGCCCAGTGCCAGTGCATTACTGGATACACTGGTAATCCGGAGCTGCACTGCAATCACACCAACTTCCGTACCGACTTCCCGCGCCCCGACATGGTGGTCAGTTGTCTGGCCGATGGTGTTCAAGTGGAGATTCACATCACTGAGCCTGGTTTCAATGGCGTGCTCTACGTGAAGGGCCACAGCAAGGACGAGGAGTGTCGTCGCGTCGTGAATCTCGCCGGAGAGACAGTGCCTCGCACTGAGATCTTCCGCGTTCACTTCGGAAGCTGCGGTATGCAGGCAGTCAAGGATGTAGCCAGCTTCGTGCTGGTCATCCAGAAGCATCCCAAGCTGGTGACCTACAAGGCTCAGGCCTACAACATCAAGTGTGTCTACCAGACCGGCGAGAAGAATGTCACATTGGGCTTCAATGTCTCTATGTTGACTACTGCTGGAACCATTGCCAATACCGGACCACCGCCCATCTGCCAGATGCGCATCATCACCAACGAGGGCGAGGAGATCAACTCTGCCGAAATCGGCGACAACCTCAAGCTGCAAGTGGATGTGGAGCCAGCCAGTAAGAACTTAAACTTGAACCTTCTTAATGAAATTTATAATAATACAACCTTTTTTTCTTTAGCCATTTATGGAGGCTTTGCCCGCTCCTGTATTGCCAAGACCATGGAGGATAATGTGCAAAACGAGTACCTGGTGACGGATGAAAATGGCTGTGCCACGGACACCAGTATCTTCGGAAACTGGGAGTACAATCCGGACACCAACAGCCTGCTGGCCAGCTTCAATGCCTTCAAATTCCCGTCCAGCGACAACATCCGCTTCCAGTGCAACATACGCGTCTGCTTCGGACGCTGCCAGCCTGTCAACTGCGGCGGCTATAACGCCTTCGGACGTCGTCGCCGCTCCATTGCCGATAACTCCACCGATTCGACCGCCATCGCCACCAACTCGGGTGTGGAGGGTCAGCTGCGCGAAGAGATCACCATTTCGTCGAACGCCATCCTGACGTTCGAGAAGCGCAGTGGACCGGGACTAAATGATGCCAACAGTAAGTTGAAATTAGGATCTTCTAACATAATAGAGTCTTATTTTATAAATCCTATTCTTGCAGTCAAACCGGCGGCTCAGCGTGTAGAGGACATTTGCGTTTCGATGGTGGGTCTGATCATTGCCCTGGTCATCACGGCTCTGCTGGCTCTTGTAGCTGTGGCCGTGGCTGTGTCCTGCTGGCTAATGGCCTACCGACGACGCCCCAAGACCATCGCTCCTTTGCCCCATCCGCCAGAGTTCCCCAACCCGCTGTTCGCCAATCCGGACGCTGTGCCAGAGCCCACGCCGGACTACCTATCCTAAACGTAACGTAACCATACACTGACATACAAAACACATCTAGCTATATCTTTAGATTTTAAGGCAAACCAATTGGTAATGAAATGCAAATGAAAACTATGTGAATATTTGAAAGGCACGTGCAAAAAGTTATGCAAAATGCAACAAAGAATACTTTAATCGCGAATTAATTTAAAGATTACCAGAAAGAAAAACAAAAGTTCAGTTGTGAGCTGAAAGCAAACGAAACTTTAAACTTTAAAGGATGGAAAGTGTAAAAAGAAAGAAAATGAAAAGCAAAGCGAAAATAATTTAGTAGCCTAAGAAAATAATTTTATTAATTGTATTAACGTTAATAGTATTCTCCTTCCACTAATATGAGAATTCCGCGTAGTGTTTGTACGTTTAGCTGCCGATATGACATAGAAAGAGACTAACTGCCAAACAGACGTGAGGAAATCTTCTAGAAGCTACAAACGAATTCTCGTCCTCTAACGACAACTTCTTCATTAGTCGGATTACCAATATTAATATTGTTATGTGTACAACTAAAGACTTCCTATATGAATATTTTTAGGGTGTGGGTTAGCAGCAACGACACTTTGTATTATAGCACAGACACAACCGCACACACTGCAAACTACTTCCTGCATAATTTTAATCGTGAACTCAACTCGCCTGTTTAGAATTGAAAACTGCCTTTGATTTCCAACAAAAACCAACCAGAACAATGCACCCCAGAATACTCTCTAGCAGTATGTAAGCGTTCAATGATGGCACATTCCCCGCAGCCCCGGCTATAACCACTGGACAATATATTTCAATATATCCCAGATGGATTATAAACAATCTCAAAACACACACACACTCTCTCTTGGAAGAACAGACCAGACTCGGGGCTCGGAGGATATAGACATCAAATTGAATCGTTAGAATCAGACAAAACTATAACTGCCACTGAGGCGTGAATCGCGCACAAAAGATAATAAGATCTAATGCATAGGAAACACTAGGTTTGTTTTAATTTTAATTGCAACGACGACGACTAATGGAGGATTTGATATTGACCACTGTCCCTCGACCACTTTTACAACACTCTACTACTATTATAATACTACTACGATTAACCATTATTTTTGTAGTTTTTTAGTCAATTAATATTAAATTGTTGTGATTGTTTTTAATGCAAAAGAGATACTTCCACTAACTTACTAATGTGTAGAGACAAAAGTATAGCGAGTACTTAAAAAGGCAACGAACCAGTGCCCGATATCCTGGATCCTGTACCTTTTCCATCCGGAAGAGGGCGCTGTTGTCAACGCGCCGGAAACTATGCAGCGAATTTTCGTTTCCGGCGCCCGTTTACGCAGCGCTTCTGTTTCTGATGCGAGCAAGCTGGGGGATCTTATTCGGAATCTGGCCTGGATAATTAAATTATTAAAAAAATGAAGTTTTAAATTAATATTATTAAACGTAAACAAAATGTATAGTCACTACTTTAAGCCGAAGCAGAAGCAGAAAAGAAACAGAAATTTCTTTTAGAAAAATACCATGAATAATAAACTCGCACTCAGACACGAACACAAAGAGACAGAATTTGTAAATAATACACGGGCAAAATAAAACTCTATGGTATTTTTAGTAGCGCATTATTGTGTATAGGTTTCCCACTTTTGATTCTCAAATCCGAACCCTACTTAGCCAGGCATAAAATTATTTTCTTAACTCCATAATCCAGAAAGGGTACCTCTGAAAAGGTACTCGATCAAGTGCACAAATCTTAAAAACGCATCATCGTTCACAATTACCAAACACTTTTATTTTTCTTTACAAACAACCGTAAAAAACAATAAATAGAATTAAATTTGATTCTAAACGAAACTTTTTGCACTGGCAGCAAATATAAAAAAAGAAAAGAACATGAATATTGTAAAAAGAAAACAATAGTTAAATTGTACTTATAAAAATTGTATTTAAAAAAAACAAAAAAAAAAACGAGAAACGAAAATAATTGTAATCGCTTATTGTAAACTAATAAATAAATAAATAAATATAAAAATACAAATTATGCTTCCAATTATTTTAAATGGTTAGTGGCGATCAGAGAGGCCTAATTAAATTAAATATGCCTCCAGCGTTTCAATTTGCTTTGACTCAAATCTGGCCATTTAACTTATCAAGCTGATATGCCATACTTTGCCGAATTGGAACCGCTCTTCTTCCACTGGCTCTGTGTGGTCATAGAATCAGAATTAATATTCAAGCTGTGGGGGACGGAGAACAAGCTTAACCCGCTTACCCCAAAGACGTGGTTCATTATGCCCATTACGGGCACCGCCGATGTAGTTGTTGTTATATCTGGCCGCTATCAACAAAAGCCGACTCTCCGGGCGAGATATATACCCACATAGAGCATTATATACTGGTATATATATATAGAGAGCGAGGGAGAGCAACACCGATCCAGAGAAGGAGAGAAGATTGGGAGCCGAGCGCTATCCAAGTGTCGCGACCACAAGTGTAAGCGATATTTGCAAACGTGGTTCGGATCATTCCGACATTTGACATCGCGCGTGGTGGCACGTTTTGTCCCGGGTCTCTTGGATGGACCTATGTCCAATCCGTAATTTAACTCGGAATTGCCTTCGAAAGTGCGGCAGCTTGCCAAATCGCAACCGAAAGTTGAAGACCCCGAACTGCAATCGCTTTGGGTATCAAGTATACGCCGCGTTATCTTGATCCGACCGATTGACGTTGTCGGGTAATATAATTTGTGTTGATTATGTTATTACGCGTATTATGATTGAAATTAGGCATTGTTCGCTGGATCAAATGCCCAACAAAAAAAAAAACTAGAGGAAAAAGTGAATCAAATTCTAAACCAAGTGACAAAATGAATAAAATTTACATTATTAACTTCAATTACTGGCGTTCTTGATTATCGCCGTAATTAAAGTGTGTGATTATCTTAATATTTCGGATGTTGTCGTTTTTTGTTTGGTTCTCGAGTGCAGCAAAACAATTATTTAAACCAGCATTTAATATCTGTTTGTTTGGGCCAACAACTGACCAAACAAAAGTATTGTATAATGGAGCATTTTCCAATAACGATTAGCAGCCGAGATGGGCGCAGTTTTCATTAACAAGTCGAGGTGCTAATTTTTTTTATAGACCAACCCGCCACAATCGGATGGAATTATGCCAAGAATAGAACATCTGTTTTATGGTGCCGCAACCTGGCTTCTGCGGTTTACTACTTACAATAAAGTATTATATGGGTGTTGTTTGATGTCATTTTTGGTTATCCATTGTTTGACTTGACAATATTTCTCAGGACTTTGTCTTTTCAAGTGATTTATTAGTATTAGATACAAATTCAAAGTAGGTGTGGGAGTTAATGTGCCTTGTGCACACGTGGTTGAAATTCCATGCTTTATTTTGAGTCGATTAAAGTATTCCGATAGTATGAAAACTATCAAACATACGGCCATCGCGGTGGGTGATGTTGGGCTCCCATGCATTTTCAGCATTTTTGAAGGGGACCCATCAGAAAAATGGACAAAAAAGTGAAAAAATATTTTGTGTCCAGATTTTGATGCAGATTAATGGAGAATCGACCCACGAATCGATAAAGGTATTCCGCTCAAGGATCAGATGGAAATTGGCAAAGATATGGCTTTCGCTGTGGGTGATATTGGGCTCCCATGCATTTTCAGCATTTTTGAAGGGGACCCATCAGAAAAATTGACAAAAAAGTGAAAAAATAATTCGTGTTTAGATTTTGATGCAGATTAATGGAGAATCGACCCACGAATCGATTGAGGTACTCCGCTCAAAGATCAGATGGAAATTGGCAAAGATATGGCTTTCGCGGTGGGTGATATTGGGCTCCCATGCATTTTCAGCATTTTTGAAGGGGACCCATCGGAAAAATGGACAAAAAAGTGAAAAAATAATTTGTGTCCAGGTTTTGATGCAGATTAATAGAGAATCGATCCACGAATCGATAAAGGTATTCCGCTCAAGGATCAGATGGAAATTGGCAAAGATATGGCTTTCGCGGTGGGTGATATTGGGGTCCCATGCATTTTCAGCATTTTTGAAGGGGACCCATCAGAAAAATTGACAAAAAAGTGAAAAACTAATTTTTGTCCAGATTTTGATTCAGATTTGTGGAGAATCGATCCACAAATCAATTGAGGTACTCCGCTCAAGGATCAGATGGAAATTGGCAAAGATATGGCTTTCGCGGTGGGTGATATTGGGCTCCCATGCATTTTCAGCATTTTTGAAGGGGACCCACCAGAAAAATTGACAAAAAAGTGAAAAAATATTTTGTGTCCAGATTTTGATGCAAATTAATAGAGAATCGATCCACAAATCGATAAAGGTATTCCGCTCAAGGATCAGATGGAAATTGGCAAAGATATGGCTTTCGCGGTGGGTGATATTGGGCTCCCATGCATTTTCAGCATTTTTGAAGGGGACCCACCAGAAAAATTGACAAAAAAGTGAAAAAATAATTTGTGTCCAGATTTTGATGCAGATTAATGGAGAATCGATCCACAAATCGATTGAGGTATTCCGCTCAAGGATCAGATGGAAATTGGCAAAGATATGGCTTTCGCGGTGGGTGATATTGGGCTCCCATGCATTTTCAGCATTTTTGAAGGGGACCCACCAGAAAAATTGACAAAAAAGTGAAAAAATATTTTGTGTCCAGATTTTGATGCAAATTAATAGAGAATCGATCCACAAATCGATAAAGGTATTCCTCTTAAGGATCAGATGGAAATTGGCAAAGATATGGCTTTCGCGGTGGGTGATATTGGGCTCCCATGCATTTTCAGCATTTTTGAAGGGGACCCACCAGAAAAATTGACAAAAAAGTGAAAAAATATTTTGTGTCCAGATTTTGATGCAGATTAATGGAGAATCGATCCACAAATCGATTGAGGTATTCCGCTCAAGGATCAGATGGAAATTGGCAAATGGCTTTCGCGGTGGGTGATATTGGGCTCCCATGCATTTTCAGCATTTTTGAAAGGGACCCATCAGAAAAATTGACAAAAAAGTGAAAAAATAATTGGTGTTTAGATTTTGATGCAGATTTGTGGAGAATCGATCCACAAATCGATTGAGGTACTCCTCTCAAGGATCAGATGGAAATTGGCAAAGATATAGCCTTCGCGGTGAACCATTGGCCTTCCATGCTTTTTTACATAATTGTACATAAAGTTTAAGCTTTTGGACTATTGGGCAACAAATAAGGGTATTCTAACTTCGGCTTTGCCTTAGGCTCCGCTCCAATCTTTCAAAATAGTTAAATTGCTATTATTCGCGCCGCGTTCTCTGGCTAAAAATTTACATTTTTACAAGTTTTCTCTGCCTGATATCCATACTATATTACAATGAAGCTCCAACGTGCTCATATACATATACATTAGTGTATGTATAATATAGACAATGTAAGATGCGTAATTATTAATTGCGGCATCGTTAAGCCGTTCTCTTCATATTCAGTGACCCTTGGGCCTCGCGGTCGTGACCGAAGAGTCACTAGAGCAAATCAACAAATGTCATCGCGTGCTCATGACGCAGTCCATCCGCTTCGGTTAAATCCACAAAAACTTTCAAATTGAATTTACGAGTCGAAAAAGCCCGATATGGGTAAGCTGGCAACTAAAAAAGCGTCATTCAAAATCATCAAAACGAAAGCTGTCGTCGAAATGCTGTCAAAGAAGGTGGCCCAAGGGGGGACCGGTGGAACGGTGGAAGATGGAGGTGAAGGAGAAACCTTTCAGGTGGAGCCCACCGATAAGATACAAATTTGTATCTGTCAAGTCAAGTGCGAGTATCTGTGCGCTAATGTGGGGAGCTCGTGCTAGGGTTTATCTGTGTCGGTGATAAAATTAAATAAAATTAAATGGGACAAGACTTCAAGTTGTTTATTTATATGAACAAATACAAAATATTTTATATATATATATATATAAGAAGGTTTTGAAAAAATTCCCCACTCAAAGCAACAAACATGTTCATTTTAATGATGCAGCAATGATTTGTAAAAGTGCAAGTGTTTGTTTTTATGAATTCCCAAGAAAGCGAGTTGCGCCATTGCCAGTTTTTGTAAGATAACAACAAACCGTGTGTAAAATAATAAACTCTATTTTAAGTTACCCAAACATTTCAAATGGAAAAGTTTAAGAGCTTGTTTTGATACATTTGTAGCCCTAATAGACATTTGAAATAATTTGAATCACTTTCAAGAAATAAATCAAATGTATTAAAGCTTATAAAGATAACTCGTGGTGGTGCGTTTCACATGATTCAGTTTATTTTTGAAAAGCTTAAACTGACACGGTAAATAATAACAAAATTGTGCAACTCAAGGTTTAAATGTGATTTAAAATTGTGACAACTAGAACTCGCAATCGCAGATTGCGAACATTAAAAATGATAGATATGAAAGTGGTCCCAGCATCACAGAACCAGTGCAAAAACCAACAACAGTTCGAGACCAAAATACTTTTATGATAAAGTGACTTAAAAAAGCATAAATTAAATAGCAACTAGCAACTAGTAACCAGCAACTAATATCTACAACTAAAAAACACGAATTTGCCCAAGACCAAAGCAAGTGACCGTCAAAATGTCTGACAATAAAGATGATTCTGCCACGCCCAACGCACCTGAGCCGGTGACAAGCCGGGCACCGCCCAGCGGACTATCGCCTCTGCGGCACAGCCAACTGTCGGACAGTGGAGCGGAGAGCTGCTACGAGGGCGACGAGCAGGCTCGACTCATCCGGACACCTTCGGCGCGGGCCCACAAATTTATCATTATCCCGGCAACGCCTGGAACACCCAGCTCAGGCTCCACAGCGGGACCACTGCCCTTCCGTCAGACCAGCTCTACAACATCCCTGGCAGCCATGGCGGCGGCGCTCCAAAAACAGCCTCCGCTCCGTCAGATTTCTGTGAAGTCACGGCCCAACTCGGAGGTGTTGCAAGCCCAGCCGTCACATCTGCAGGTTCAGCCACCAACAGCGGCCGAGTCGACCTCAACGGTTACCTTCACCATCGACGACTCTGATGCCCAGCCCGTGGATCCCGTACCAGTGTCTGCGCCTGTGCCCGCCATCTCGCCATCGCCCGCCACCCTGACCTGCACCACCACAACAACCATGGCCGGAGATGCGATGGCTATTTCTCCGCTCAGCATGGGGCTCCGTGCTCGGATTGGCAGCCACCACAGCAGCATGCGCTCCGTGGCTTCAGGTTGGTGACCCACCCATTAACGTTCCAAGTACCTGCAGGTCTCTCAATTACTTGGCTTTGAAACCACTCCAAGACTTTTAATTCCATGCACTTGAAAAAGTATTTGAAAACCTTGTTTTACAAAGAAATTACATTTACGACTCTTGAGTGTGAATACTGATCAGTTATTTTGATAATAATAAACTATTAATAGAGTTTAAAAAATTTTAGAAATTGAAAAAAATATTAGAGAAGATAACTTGGCCCATAAACCTAGGTATGTTGAGCTAGGTTAGCCGCATAAAATATTAATTTTTATCCAACGAAAGGTAAATCTATTTGTAATATTTTTATAGACCATAAAAATACAAAGTTTCAAGTTAAAAAAAAAACAAAAGTAAAATTTTTACTATTAATTATAGTACGGCTGTAAGTTTTTAAATACTAATACCTTTTGAAAAGGGTACATTACAGTTTGTAAATAAATAGTTAAATAATATTATAAATAGTTTTTTTTAATATTTTTTATCAAAAATTCATCTAGGTTACCTGCCCAGTCTAAATAACAGCAGTGGTAACCTGGTCGGAGCCATTACCGCTGCCACATCCGGATTACAGGCCCCTAATCCGCTGTACATGCAACCGCAGGCCTCGCTGAGCGGCAGTTCCTATCAGTTTCACGACTTGGCCTCCAACCAGATCTATTCCGATGTGACCTCGGTTCGCTCACTGGCCTCCATCGGGATTGGATCCACGGACGGGCGAAAGCTGGTCATTCGTCGGGTGCCCACCACGGCCAACGAGCTGTTCGACATGGTTAATCCGCAGACACCACCGTAAGTTGGGCTCTAAGAATTTGTAGTCGAGTGTAATTTAAGGGCCATTAGTATAACAATACGGTGGCGATAAAACGATCTAATATTGGCAGCAAATTTGGCCAACATTTGGCACCTTAGCATAGAAAGCCAATGTGTGGAGCTTTTGGCAAACAGGCGTTTTTAACACCATTGTGGCATCTTTGGGCGCGGGCGCCAACGCCACATGATTCCAAACGGGCCCGGAACGTGTCGATCGCACACCTTCTATTTTTAAGCACTGTTCCTTAACTAGATCAATAGATCGCCACTGGTATGTGTGTTGACCTGAGCAATTACCACTCCATTGTGTGCATCTTAAACTGCGAGATTGCAGGCTGGAGGGCCGTAAAAAGTTCCAGATTAGTAGTTAGTAACGCGACAGCTCGAGAACCGTACAGTTCGTAGTCCCAAAATTGTTCCAGAGTCTCGACCTTCTGCCCCTCGCATTCCAGGACTCTAGTGATGGCGCATGGATAACGTGATTTAAGGACGTCGCCACATAGCATAGTATTGTAGTAACGAAAAGAAATATCAGACAATTTCCCGAAACTAGAGTTCCGAAAAGTTTGATATGCCAAATCGCCAGGATTACGACGCACAGTCGTCGAAGCACTCGGAGCAGTCCTTCTTCCGGTTCAACCGGGTGGCCAAAGTGTAAGACCCCGATCGAAAAGAATATCTCAAAATGTTGCATAACAGACTGGAATCAGGCCATGTCTGGCGGTTATTGGTCTCCGATATGTGATCGTGTGATTTGTTTGCCCAAAGCATTAGCAATTGATTGTTGATTAAACATGGACGATGATTTAATGGTTAAGTGGACTGTTTATACCAGACTTAGCACTACTCAACAATAGAGAGTAAATGTTGAATTTGCTAAACAGTTTATTTATATATGCTAGTATCTAAAGTATTATATAGGAAAGTTAAAAAACTCTTCAAGGGGTTGTAGAGTGTGGAGTATAAAGCTTTCTTTTTATGTGAATTCATAAAAGGAATTAGAGTTCTAGCTACCATAATCCCCAATTTATATTCCAAGTCAATCTAAGCCAGTTACCTTTTAATTCGGCATTAAAAAACGAAGATTTTGTCATGCGACGTAATGGTTAAATGAATATTCTCAATATTTTCCGGATTTAATGGAAACAAACAATGTAGGGGGAAACTGAAACACGAACGACTGTTTATTTCATTACAACACCACCACCCACATCGCACCCCATTGAGCTGCCATCCATGACATGACAGCCCCAGCTCAGATTCTCCGGCAACAATGCAACCGGCAGTTGGCACCTCCAATGGCCAGACCCCCATTGTTGGTCCGGGGCGCATGTGATTACGATTGCAATTAAGGCATTTAAACACATCATCTGATAGCTGAGATTTACCATATACTGTAGAGAGTTATTTTTAGGCCATTTATTTTCAATTCTTGCTTTTTTAGGCCGCTGGGCATCGATGACGATGACAGCTACCTGGACATATCCGACGAGGCGGCCCAGCTGAAGCCACGCCAGCAACACTGGGCCAATAAGATGCAGTTCGTTTTGGCCTGCATCGGTTACTCGGTGGGTCTGGGAAATGTCTGGCGTTTTCCCTACATGTGCTATAAAAGTGGAGGTGGTAAGTAAAGATTTACAATATAAAATGAGTAGTTTAATAAAGCTATTTTGATATTGAGTGTAAACCTTTCATCTTGCCGGAAATGTTCCCAGGGGTCAGCGGCAGTTAATTCATAAATTCACATTAAATTTGAGGCCTACACCAGGGAAGGCTTGGCGGAAGTTAGTCGTGAGAGTCCGGCAAGTGACTAAGAGTGCCGCTAAAAAAAAAAACTTTACATGCGATAAGACAGATATAGAGATAGTCGGTGAGATAGTTGCTTTGATTTTGTGCGACGACACCGGGGTAGCTTTTGTTTTCTGTTCTAAAAACATTTGACAATTTTTCGCTTTAAGCGGCATTTCCGCTCTAGCGTTTAAAAGCCATAAATTAAAATTTGTTTGAGCACAGCAACGACACACAAAATAGAGCGGTCACTGTCATCATCTGGACGGTGTCTCGATCACGCGAGCTCGGAGGCCTGCGTCCATCTTCATTTACACCGCTGAGACCAGTAGAGACTTGGAGCTGGGCCCCCACATTTACGTATTTCTCTGGGAAATTATAATGAGCTAGCTGATCCAACTGCCACGAAAAACTGGCACACGACCTCCTTATAATGACGAGGGGACGGACAGTGGCTGGGATAATCTCCATGACGGACTTATGCAATTGCCTTTTGTTGATCTCAAATATTTATAATTAATTTAAATTATTTGCATAGCTGCTGTCGGACATGGGTGCATATTGTATATAAATATTTTCCCATTTGGTGTTTTTTTTCAGGTGTTTTTCTCGTACCTTATTGCATAATACTGTTCATATGCAGCATTCCGTTGCTGTTTATGGAGCTTTCCGTGGGTCAATATACTGGCCGAGGACCCATCGGAGCGCTAGGTCAACTGTGCCCACTGTTCAAAGGTATGTAATCTATTATATTCCTCTATGTTCTATTTGTTGAGCCCACAGGTCGTATGAGTATTATTTTTTTTTAAGCATAATTGGCTTAAAATAACCATATTGGTGCCATTGCTTTTATGATTTTAATATTATGCCCAAAAAAATCCCCGTTGACAATCAAGTCCATGGCGTCACATGCTTAGATTCGTCACGATTTCCGGCGCCATCCCCAGAACTTCAAGCCTCCATAAAAACATAAAAGAATACAATGGGAAACAAGGTGTGCCCACCGACCATGACAAACAGAAAAAGGTTCAACTCTGTTTTAGCCAAGTCCATGGCCAAGGTCAGAATAATATTTAACCAGCTTTTTTCGAGCAATATTATTCATTCAGATTTACACTAGTTGAGTGCGTCCATAGACTAATGCTCCAGTTAGACATGTACGGATGGAAACTAATTAGAAGATCATTGTTGTGGATGTGGCGTGAAAATTTGAAGGTAAAGCGGGAAAAATAAACTCCATCCGCTTTTCCCTTCATCCCCTTTGTGGGGCTAAGGCTATCATTAGCGAGATGAATCTAGCAAAAAGGCTTACAATGGAAACGCTTAATTACTGTCAATATTTTGCCAAACAAACTGCATTGCTGACACGCCCACACGCCCCGCGACAAGGCAGAGGCCAGTTTATAAATATTAATGACGTGCAAAACTATTTAACCAAGATTCGCGAACCACATTGGACGGATTCCAATCCAATTGCCGTCACATGGACAATTATGCAGATGAGTGCCTCCAGTCTAGACATGCGATTCCCAACAAAACCGGTCCGATTTTTATACATATTCCAATTAAGGTTACGTTTTTTCTATGCACTTGGCATGCACATAGACTTTAATGTTTTAAATAAAGATTAAGACATGGCAGTTTATGATTCATATTTTTTTTTTTTTATTGCAGGAGCCGGCCTGGCCAGTGTCGTTGTCTCGTTTCTTATGTCCACCTACTATAGTGTCATCATTGGCTACTCCATCTATTACTTTTTCACATCCTTCAAAACCGAAATGCCCTGGGTGGACTGCAGCAACAGGTTACAAGACTTGGTATTCTTTTAAAGCTAAGAAAATATTATAATATTTATTATAGATGGAACACGCCGGATTGCTGGGTCCCGCAGCCAAAGGGATCGAACATAACTGCGCCGGACACCTCCCGCACACCCTCTGAGGAGTTCTTCGAGTAAGTCTAGGATAGGATCACTAAATGGAGGCTTAGATTGTGACCAAAAACCTTCTCTTTCCAGAAACAAAGTACTCCAGATTAGTCGCGGGTTGGAGGATCCGGGAATGATGCGCTGGGAGCTTTTTGCCTGCCTGATCTGTGCCTGGCTAATGGTCTACTTTGCCACATGGAAGTCCATTAAATCTTCGGCGAAAGTTCGCTACTTCACAGCCACCTTCCCGTTCGTCCTTATCATAATCCTGATGGGACGGGCCGTGACTCTGGATGGAGCAGCCGAGGGTCTGAGATTCTTCTTCCGGCCAAAGTGGTCCGAGCTGAAGAACGCCAATGTGTGGATCAATGCGGCGAGTCAAAACTTCAACTCCCTGGGTATCACCTTCGGCTCGATGATCTCCTTTGCCAGTTACAACAAGTACAACAACAATATCCTGCGGGACACGGTGGCAGTGAGTGCAGTGAATATGATAACCAGCCTACTGGTGGGAATATTCGCCTTCTCCACGCTTGGAAACCTGGCTCTGGAGCAGAACACCAATGTCCGCGATGTCATTGGGGACGGGCCGGGCATGATCTTCGTGGTGTACCCTCAGGCGATGGCCAAGATGCCGTACGCCCAGTTGTGGGCCGTCATGTTCTTCTTTATGCTCCTCTGCCTAGGATTAAACTCGCAGTTCGCCATTGTTGAAGTCGTGGTGACGTCTATCCAGGACGGCTTCCCGAGGTGGATCAAACGCCATCTGGGCTACCACGAGATAGTAGTTCTCTTCGTTTGCGTGATCTCCTGCCTTTTCGGAATGCCAAACATCATCCAGGGTGGCATCTATTACTTCCAGCTGATGGATCACTACGCCGCATCCGTGACGATCATGTTTCTGGCCTTCTGCCAGATGATAGCTATTGCCTGGTTCTACGGCACCGGTCGACTGTCAAAGAACGTCAAGCAGATGACCGGGAAAGCACCCTCTTTGTATCTAAAGTCCTGCTGGCTGGTCTTGGGACCTTGCCTGCTTTTTGTAAGTAAAGGGAGACATCTTCCTTGTCTGTAAATGGAGGCTATGAATGATAACCCTGAAACCTTTTAGGCCATCTGGGTGTTGAGCCTCATCAACTATCACGAACCCACCTACCACAATGGACGCTATACCTATCCGGACTGGGCCTACGGCATAGGATGGATGTTTGCCTCCTTTTCACTGATCTGTATTCCGGGCTATGCGCTGATCAACTTCCTGCGCTCCAGCGGTGACACCTTTTGGGAGGTAAGTTTTAAAATACTTATACGTATTAGTGATATAAGTCTACGACTAATCTTCCACAGCGAATTCGCAACACACTCCGACCGAACATCTATGAGTGCAAGATCTGCGGCGAACACCATTGTGAACACGATTTTCCGGAGCAGGAACAATTCATGCTGGCCCAGGAACTGGCCACCGTGTACAAGCCCACCAATAGCCATTTACTGCATCTCAGTCAGAAAGGCGGCTACAACCCAATGCAAGCTTCAACTGCGGAACATCCGTATCATTCCCAATACAAAGCGCATCCGGAAAAAGATGAGATGAGTGGCAAGTAGAAAGAAGTAAATAATGGATAGAGTCGCCTGTTCCAACGATAGAAATTTCCGAGTATTTGTAACGAATAATTTTTTTAATTTAACAGAAGAAAATAAAGTATTTAAATTACATTTAAGAGTGGGTCTCTTTATATTTAAAAAAAATGTTAAACATAATACATATTGTGATAACGATTAGGTTGATTAGGTCATAAATATTTTAAGTTTTACTTAAAATATTCATTTTCCAAGCTAGAGCTTTTGCACATATTGGTAGAGCACATCAAACTCCTCCAACTTGGGCACTGCGTTGAAGGTTCTATGAGTACGACAGTACTCCGCATAGATAATCAAGCTTTGGCGGGGAACTACTGGCGGACGCACGCTCAGGTATGAGTCCGTGCCGTAATCGCTAAGCGGGCGTAAGGTAATACCTCGCATGATCTTGGCCATTTCCTGGTCTCGCTGTGCAACAGCGGTCTGGGCGGGATGAGCTCCACCGCTGGATAATTTGCCCATCTGAACGTACTTCCTGTAGATGGCCATGCTTTGTTTCGATGGCTGACTGATGGTGCAGCCATAGACCTGCTCCATGGAGGGGAGCATGGAGGCAAGCGTAAACTTCGCGGGCTCTGTGGACTCTGTATTGTTGGCCTCTTTCTCTGCAAAGCTAGCGCTTAATTCCTCTTCACTAGAGCTGTCGTCTCCCTCGCTAGAGCTCGATGAGTTGCTGTTTAGAGATCCTGAGGAACTGCGGCCAGTCATAGAGGGATTTTGGCGAGCCTTCCTTGAGGTCTGGACTTGGCGCTGGAACGGACTGTAGTTCGTGCGGAATGTGGGCATGTAGCGCATGGCCAACTGGCTGATCTCGAAGCCGATGTGCTCGCTAAAGTCCGTCCACTTGAAAGACTGATGATAGTTTGAGTAGGCATCGATCATCTCGAGACCAGCGCTGTGCACCCGAAAAAGCTCCTTGACCAGCTTGTTAGAATCAGCGCAAGAATATGGCAAACATTCCCGCACTTTATGGCGAACCCAGTCGGTTAATGGCTTGCTATCTGTGCTGGGAGGGAAGGCATTATGCATGTCGTAGTCCGTTTGCAGCTCCCAAATGGGTTGTCCCTCTGAAAGTAAAATGAAGCCAGATTAGTTACCTGCGAGAGCGGGAATATCGCTTACTTACTTCTCATTAAGCTGGGTTTGTAGATGCCTAGAAAAAGGTTTATACTATGCTGCTTCTCAGTGTCGCTGAAAGTATTGCTGTAGTAACGGCTAAGAGTTTGCATCACGTCGTTGCCTTGGGATCCCCATGGCGCCGTCTTCCGGTAGGTTTTGATACGATGCACCAGCTGGGAGCCACCGTACTGTAGGGCCAGGGTATCTCCATGCTCTTCGTACAAATTCTCCAACATTGTCACGCAGTCCGAGTCGAATTCCAGCTTTGCGGACTTGACAAAGCCCAGTCGCTCCAACTGATGACCCAAAGCACACTTTCCAATGGCAAACTGAGCCGAATTGGTGCGATCCAGACAATCAACACAGTTTGTACGCACGATCCCAGTCTGGAGGCTGAGATCACTGCCCGGGGCTTTGAAAAACATTCCTGTCATCTGGACAATGTTCTCGGCGTGAATCGCCAGCTGTTCCATGACATTACCGCCACTTTGGCGACTCTGACGCGCCATATCGAAATGTATGTGCTTCATACGGTGCGCCGGTGGCAGAAACTGGTTAAGGTACCGAATGCTGGTCTTCAGCTCCTTGGATATAATAGATTCATGTTTTCGCCTTTCGTTCTTCTTTACAAGATTCAGCATAATCAGCGGTGCACCATAATGGAAGAGCAGACGTTCAAAGTGACGCGACGGAGTTTGGGCGTACGGATCGCAAATATCTAGCTGGATTTGCGGTTTTGGAACCATTTTGCTGATATCTTGTGACCAATGGGATGGTATGGAGCCCCGCATCTGTGTAAATGCGCATAGTCGCTGCCCATCACTGACGATCTGCTCCGTCTCCACCTCGTTAGCCACATCACCTTGGAAGTTGGCACCGCGCTTAAGAAATCGAGTTCCAGCAAATCGAGAGCTTCGTCTTGCTATCAGGCAAACGTTCACATTTCTACCGAAGATGCTAATGCAAGACTGGCTTACAAAGCCGTGAGTCACCTCCAATAGCCAGTCCTTTAACATAATGCCTTCCATCGGCTGCAGCAGGTACGCGTTCCACACAAACCGCTTTCGGGAATCACTGCGAAAAGCATAGTCCACACGCTCGTGAGCCTGGGCCACATTATTGGTAAGCTTATTCCAATCGGGAAGAGGCTCATCATGGTCCAGATCCACCTTGGCCCCGACAAATCGAGGAGCTGACTCATTATACTGAAGAGTTCGAGTGAGATCATATGAGTACGAGAAGTAGAAGTTACTCCGCAGATCTATGTTTTGGAACATACGCCTATAGCGGTCTTCATGAGGATGTGGCGTCCGCTGGGTTGTAACCTCATTTACACGAACCATTACAGTATCCTTTATGGTGTACACCAAGTGACGGCCAATGTGGGCACAACACTTTCGCTTAGTAACCAGCAAAAGGTAATAGCCTTCCAGAAAGCGTACAAATCCCAAGACTCCATAGGCAGATGTTACCTTTGGCGATCCAGACAGAGAGGCCACAAAGCGTCTGATCTCTAAGCTATTGAATTCATTGGCGTTTTCTTCGATGCTCAGTCGGTTGGGCGCTAATCGGTCGATGGATAGCAGCCGGAACCGCGTCTCTCGGTTGTTACTGCCCACCAAATACAGGCGCTGCAAGAAGGGGTCTTTTTGTGGAAAACTTCGAAACGAACCATTTAAGTTACTTACTGTTCGAGTCTCATAGAGCACCACTTTCTGGATGCAGCTTATTAGAGGGTTAAATACTATATTCGGGTTTTCATTATTCATCTTTATTCCTATATGTATGTATTATTCCGGAGTTCTTATGGAATGTTTACGGCCGCCTCCCAAAACAACAATAATCAACAGTACCAGCTGACCAAGTGGTGGAAGAAATTATAGAGATGGCAGCGTGAGATGCAAGGATTTAAAAATGAAAAATATATTTTAAAAATATAGTTTTAAAATGTAATTTATATATTCTATGAAATACTTTTTCGATCTCTTCGATTTACACTCTTACTTAATAGAAATTAACCTTCAAAGGTTTTCTTAAGGAACTAAAGGTAAACTTAAGCCAAACATTTATTTTATGAATAAATTAAATGGATTTCTTAACTTTTTTTTCTTAACATCATAACTATAGGCAGTTATTCATTTTTTTTGACCATGTGAGTGCGAATGTGTCTCCTTAGATCGGTTCCTCTGGTGTATGTCTTTGGGCAATCAACACATCGAAATGGCTTGTCGGAGGCGTGTGTGCGGCAATGAAAGTCGCAGTGTGACTTCTGTCGAAAGGTTTTTGGACATTCGGAACACTTATAAGGACGCTCATCGGTATGGATGCGATTGTGGATTTGTAGATCGCCATTTCGGGCAAAGGCCTTTGAGCATTGATTACACTTAAACGGCCGTTCCCCGGTGTGGGTCCGGATGTGTCGTTCCAGATCTGAAGCAAGGATAAATTCCCTTGTGCAATGCGAACATTTATGTGGCCGGCCTCCCGTGTGCGAATACATGTGTCTCCGAAGTGTTGTTCTGCTGCCAAAGGTCTTTGAACAAAGGCAGCAAGTGTACTCTTTTTTTAAACTATTTTTTAATACACACTCCATCTTTACAATACACTTCTTTGGAGAAGTTTTTGGTGTATTTGATATCTTAGTTTCTTCTTCGGCATCTAGATCTGTTACACTGTTGTTTAATACACACTCCTTCTTTACAATACACTTCTTTGGAGAAGTTTTTGGAGTATTTGATATCTTACTTTCTTCTTCGGCTTCTAGAAAAAACTCATCGAGCGGCTCTGTTACTACTTCTATATCGTCAGCAATAGATAGGTTATCATCGTTGCTTTTCGCTCTGTCTTGCCTTGTTTCAGAGCTTGACGATTCTCCATCCTCTGAGCCTAATGAATTTTCTGTGTTATCCTTTTCATTGTCCTCCTTAATCCATTCACTATAAAACTTGTAGTTTCTCTTATATTTTCTTTGAAATCCAAAGGCTGTCCGTGCTTCCTTTAAGCAGGGTGGACAAATAAATTCGGGAAATAAATCTCCTTGTTTAGCTGCTAAGCCGGTGCAGTGAGTTATCATAGCTGCTATTGATATCCCTGATACTGGGGATCTATGAAATATATTGACCATATCTTTTGACTTTCCCAAACAAACGCGACAGACTTTTTTCGGTGACCTAAAATAGTTAAAGTCAGTAAAAAGAAACTTATTTAAATCATTTTTCTTACATGTTTACAACATTTGAACCTGAATCTAATTTTCAAAATGTTGTTTGTGGTTCAAATGATGCTTTTCCTTCAATCAGCTGTTTGTTTGTATACCCCGTCTTGTTTACATTGAACACCCTGTAAGCAATTGAGCTGTTAGGCGCAATATTTTGTTTTCAAAAACAAAACAAAAATGAAATATTATTAAACATATTCAACAGATTATTATTATTTTTATTTTAAGGAACAATTACCTAATCTAAATTTGGTGACAGCATTCATATAGTTGTCAATATTTTTGTTTCAAGCAAAATCAAGGTCGATGGGTGCGCTGGTGTCTTTGAAGATTGCTTTTTACCCCAAACGCCTTGGAACAATGGGGGCATTCAAAAGGACGTTCCCCGGTGTGGCGGCGCATGTGATCCTGCAAATGGATTCTTTTTGAAAAAGACCGCGAGCATTCACTGCATATGTGGGGTCGTATATTTTCATGAATACGTGTATGCCTCAATCGATCAGTGCTTTTCATGAAGGACTTTGGGCATTGGGGGCATTTAAATGGTCTTTCAGATTTCTTCTCCAAACTCTTCCTTTCATTTTTCTCGATCAGAGTATTTGGCAATAAATTCTTCGCCAAGGATTCTTTTCTGTCCTCAATTTCGTTTGCACTTTTTGAAATATTCCACTCTTCCTCAACAATCAAATCGCACAATGCATTTTCGACGCCTTCATCTTTTACTTGACAGAAGAACTGGTGGCTCCTCCCGATACATATAATAATATCATTTGCATCCGTGAGATCCTTTAAACAATGGGGGCATATTGTACGAGGCAATGAATCTTCTGTCGCTTCTGATCCTGTGCACATAGCGATCATATCTGCAATGGAAGTCTTGTCCTTGTGTCCTTTCTTAAATATGTTTACTAAATTGTCCGAGCGTGTCAGACAAACCCGACATATATTCTCCATTGTTTTAACAAATGGTGCTATATTTTAGGAAATTTTTCTATTTTAAAAATCTGATTTTTTAACACACGCCAGCTGCGTGTGGTCTAATTTTTGCCTGCCTTTTTTTTAATACGAAACACCTGTTGTGACTGCACTGTTAATCGAATTAATCCGTTATCTTTGTTATCGGTTTTTTAATTAAAACTTTATTGGACTCAAAAAAAAAACATATAATCGTTTAATGATTAATTCTTTTCACAATGTTTAACGTACTTAATTTACTAACATACATGCACATACATTTAGAATGAAATATTTAAAATCCATATTCAAATTAATGGACTCTACTCTTCATGTGTAAGAATATGTTTCTTGTAAAAATATTTATTTTTAAATGTTGTTTTGCAGTGGCGGCATAATAGTGAATTTTCCCTAGTAGGTTTCTCATGAGTTTTCTTGTGTTTGTGGAGTGTTTTTGAAATTGCAAAGGACATAGAGCAGATGGAACATTTGAAGGGTTTTTCACCCGTGTGTGTCCGAATATGGCCCTTGAGAGAGCTACTCTGGGCAAAGGCTTTTGGGCAGTGGGGACACTTGAAAGGCCGCTCCCCTGTATGGATGCGAAGGTGCTCATTATATGCAGGTTTTCTTCCAAACTTCTTTGAACAATGCGGACACTTAAATTCTTTATCGCTTTTGGGCCTCGGCATCGAGGCCGTCTCGGTATGAACTCGAAGGTGATCCCGCAGATGAGTTCTTCTTGCAAAGCACTTGGAACAGTGTTGACACTGATAAGGTCGAATGCCATCGTGGAGGCGCGCATGTCGACGAAGGTCTGTTCCTTTTGTAAAACATTTCTCGCACCTGGAGCATTTATATGGTCGTTCGCCTGTATGGGTACGAATGTGGGATGTAAGCGTGGTTTGTTGAGCGAAAGATTTTGAGCAATGGGTGCACTGAAAAGGCTTCTCGCCGGTGTGAATCCTAACATGGTTTTGGAGAACTTGGTCAGATCCAAAAGCATGTGAGCAAAATATACATTTGAAAACTCGTGGCCCGTTGTGAACGCGGTTGTGCACTTTTAGTGCCGATTTTGTTGTGAATGTTCTCGGACACATACTGCATTGATGAAGATTTTGTATCCCAAAATCAATATCATCTTTTTTTGTGAGGTTTCTTTTCAGCTTGATGACAGGCTCCTCTTTGATCTCAAAATCTTCACTTCCCGAATCGTTCCATTCAGTTTCATCGGCGGATACATCCCAATCCTCCTCCTCTAGCAGATCACATAGTGCCTCCTCGATTCCCTCATCTCTGACTTGACAGTAGAACTTGTGGCTTCTTTCAACGACATTTCTAGTCTCAAATGCATCCTGCACGTCCTGCCAACAAGTTGGGCATATAGTTTCTGGAAAGGAATCCCCTTTCTCGACTTTGGATCCGGTACATTGAGCGAGCATCTCCCCCACAGATGTCTCCGATTCTCGTTTCCATGTAAAAATGTTCACCAATCTTCCCTTGTTTCCCAGGCAGACCCGGCATATTTTCTCAGTATTCCTATACAATACAATTAAGTTATTCTTTCTAGAAGGTTTTCTTACAAATCGTACTATTTGTACTTACCCCATCGGAAACAAGTGTCAATAATAGTTTGTTTATGTCAGCTCAATGAGCCGGGTTCATTGGCGACGCTTTGAGAGTTAACAGCACAACAAATTGTTATCGGGTGATCGAAACTGTAGATGATGTGCTGTTAAGCGCATTTTAACAGAAGTTATAGTCGTTATTTTTAAAATGCAATTTAAATATTTGTACATATCTTTTATATAATCTTGGTATCAGAATTCCTATTAATATACCAGAATACATTAAGATTATTAAAAGTCTTTAAAAAAATCGATTTTTAAAAGTTTAGGTTTTATAAATATATACCTATTTTTCATACTTTTATCTCAGGAATATAAACATTTTTAAGTATTGCACATCGTTTATTTAAATAAACGAATATTTTGCCTTATCAGAATTTAATTGAGCATTGTATATTGAGCACCAATATCTTATCATAATCAAAATATACACAAACGTATAACAATTCTGCTATCTTGGTGGTATGAAATAAAACAGTTCACACCCATTTAATATTCTTTTCTGATATCAACTCTCTAATCTAATTATATGCCTTCCAAAACGAGTTTAATTAAACTTAGCCTTTTCATGGAAAGAGTCAACATGTCCACATGTATACATATATAAGTATGTACCAAATGGACTACCAAGTCGGGCAGCATTTTGGGAAGACGACCGGAATTTAATCACAAAGGTTAGCGAACTCTAACCCCAATAGGTGAAACTAGGTATCTAGTAGTCACCAAATACGCCGAGCGTATCCGCTCGCTTCAGGGCCCACTTTTGATAATCGTTGAGGAACTTTTGGGCGAAGATGGCATCCATTTTGCGCTGCTTAAAGGCCTCGTCCTGCATATTTTCTATACTATTGTCCTGGGCCAGCTCCTTGGGCATTGTGATCATTGGCAGGAAAGCAAACAACCCAAACAGTCCGTAGGTCTCGCGGCTGCGAAGCTCATATTGCAGGTCTTCATAGGTGGGAATGTCCTCAAAGCGGGCGTATTCCAAGGCGTCCTTGAAGGCAGCATAGTACACTTTTATGAGCTCTTCCCTTCGCTCCTGGACAAGCTCGAACTTAAGGCTAGTGTTCAGGAAGAAGTTCAAATCGCACGCTGGACTTCCGTAGAAACTCAGTTGGAAATCGACAAAGATGGCTCGTGTGGGAACTTCCGGCTTGGAAGCATTCTCATACGCGTACATGAAGTTGTTCGTCCACATATCACCATGGTTCAGAACAACGTACCGATCTCCGGGCTTTGGCTTAGCTGCATCCACGCACACTTGCCGGAAGTTATCCATAAGTCGCTGCAGGTTGGCGCTAATCTTCTCGAAGCCGGGCCAACTGGCAGAGCTCTTGATGAGACCCTTGAGGAAACCACCAAACATATGTTCGAAGGTGTCACTCTTCATCAGAATGTCTTCGCTCAGCATACCGCGGGTATATTGTTTCACGATGGCAGGGTCCTGTAAATAAGATATTATTGTAACAATTCCCATAATAATCGGGTAGTGCAGTTCTTACCTTCTTAGCCAATACCATTGAGGTGGCGTGGAACTTGCCCAGTTGTTGCAGAATGAGGGAGGCATGGTTCCAGTCCAGGCCAGATTCCCGAGAAGCCACTTTATAGCCCTCCACCTTTAGGTCACTAAACACAATAGTTTGTACCGGGGCCTTCACCGAATGGTAGTACCTGGTAGATATTTAGACGTTAGGTAATCATTTTCCGGAAAAATTTCTTCATACATACTTTGCGCCGAACTTGTCGTTGCGGCTGAGAATGTCCAGACGTGGCAGGACATCAGTGTAGGTCTGTTTCTCCTTGATGAACACGCTAACATCCTCCAGGAACTGCGTGGCCTCTGTGATGGGAATGGTCTTAACTATCAGCGAGAGCTGCTCTTTCACTGGCGACTCCTTGCCATCTACCCATTTGGCAAATGAGACCTGGACTCGATAGATTGCCGAGCAGTAGTTGTCCCCAGGATTACTGCCCCACTCAAAGTTGATCTCTTTCAGGGTCACCTTAGTTTCACGAAGTCCCTCCTCCAAAGTATCCGTGAAAAACTTTTCGTTCAGATACTCCGGAACTGAGATCTTCTGTTCGTTCTTTATGACTACCATTTCGAAAATAGACGTATATATCACCACGTAATCACAAAAATAGTTACGCTCTTCAAAGCGATCCACTCGCGCTCGTCTTTTGGGCTAGACTGCTGGGGAGACCCGGATCGCAGCGCTTTATATTATTCGCCTACGATTTTGTTGTTTTGGGGGACAATTTTGAGCTCTCCAAATGAATGTGGTGTCATCGTGAAAATAAACTTATAACGCACTGTGGGACCGGGGTACCATTGTTTGTTTAAAATGTAGTTTAGGGCCATAAAAAAATTATCTCAAATGTAAACAAAATAAAGTTTATTAACACCAAACCTAATTTATGTCTATCAAGTTCTCGTGACTTGAAATAATGCCATTGAACTCAAACATTAAGTTATCTAATTTTTATTAGAAAAAGGAAAGTTTCTTGGAAACCCTATTAGTATTAAAACTATTAGAATTTGGGAGAATTTTTAAAGCTCTCTAAGCTAATATTTTAAAAACTTTTTAACTTTAATCTTAGTTATATCCCTTTCAATAACAACTTTTGATAGCTTAGTCTTGAAATATGAAGAATTAAATTTTTTAATTTACTTTTGTCAGCTATGCGTGACCCACTGTACTATCTTAATAGATTACTGGACTGGAGCTCCCCAAGAGGAAACGTGTATAGTCTCTGGGTGTCTTTTTGCAAAGTCATACTACTCTTAATAAAAACAAAACGCTATTCAGCGAGATTTGGAAACACACGAGTTTTTAGGTTGATAGAGGTGTAATTAATTTTCTATGGTGGTTTTGCGTGTATGGCTTGTTTGTAGTCCGAGCTCATCACCTCGGCCAACTGGCCCACGTCATTGGAACTCTCTCGAGGGGCTTGATTGTTGATAGTCGGACAGGCGGTGCTCCAACGCTGGAACACCGCCTTTCCAGGGGGGCTAATATTTGCTTTTCGTGTTATCAACCTAGTGATATGTACTAAGTTAGGTGCCTTTGCTCGTGCGCCTAGTGTAGAATAATAATATAGTTTACATTAGTAGTTCTCATGCCCGTACTTTGATGGCGGAAGAAAAATTGTCAATTGTCAATTGAAAATCTTAATTAACTATTCTGTGTAGGAAGCAAGCAAATAAATTCTATTCCCAGAAGCTGATGACTTTTAAATTAAAGGCTTAATGATAAATTATATGTGTTTACAAGAAATTTTATTACTAGTAACTTCGAAATTGTACTTCTTATCCTTCAAAGCTTTAATGTAATCTTAATTATTTTACTTTTCTGTATTTTTTATGTTTAATTCTATATTATACAATATTGCTATTGCTGATGAAGAATGATGGGGAATCGGTCCAGAAATCGTTTAAGGTACTCCGCTTGAGAATCGGATGAGAATTGGGGAATATATAGCTATCCCTGTGAGCCATATAGGGGAAAACCCCATTTTCAAGGGATCTCATCAGGAAAAATGGACAACAAATGTAAAAAATATTTAGTCTCAGGATTTTGATGCAGAATGGTGCAGAATCGATCTAGAAATCGTTTAAGGTACTCCGCTTGAGAATCTGATGAGAATTGGGGAAGATAAAGCTATCCCTGTGAGCCATATAGGAGAAAACCCAATTTTCAAGGGATCTCATCAGGAAAAATGGACAAAAAATGTAAAAAATATTTTATATCAGGATTTTGATGCAGAATGGTAGGGAATCGATCCAGAAATCGTTTAAGGTACTCCGCTTGAGAATCGGATGAGAATTGGGGAATATATAGCTATCCCTGTGAGCCATATAGGGGAAAACCCCATTTTCAAGGGATCTCATCAGGAAAAATGGACAAAAAATCTGAAAAAAATTTCGTCTCAGGATTTTGATGCAGAATGGTGCAGAATCGATCTAGAAATCGTTTAAGATACTCCGCATGAGAATCGGATAAGTATTGGGGAAGATATAGCTATCCCTGTGAGCCATATAGGGAAACCCCATTTTCAAGGGATCTCATCAGGAAAAATGGACAAAAAATCTAAAAAATATTTCGTCTCAGGATTTTGATGCAGAATGGTGCAGAATCAATCTAGAAGTCGTTTAAGATACTTCGCTTGAGAATCGGATGAGAATTGGGGAAGATATAGCTATCCCTGTGAGCCATATAGGGAAAACCCCATTTTCAAGGGATCTCATCAGGAAAAATGGACAAAAAATGTAAAAAATATTTTGTCTCAGGATTTTGATGCAGAATGGTGCAGAATCGATCTAGAAATCGTTTAAGATACTCCGCTTGAGAATCGGATGAGAATTGGGGAAGATATAGCCATCTCTGTGGGCCATAAAGAAATCGTTTAAGAAACCCAACATAGTTTTTGGAACTGGTTTCACTACAGCTGTTGCGTTTGTTTACTGTTAACAGTACCCTAGGCACCCTGTAGAGTTCCCGATCTGTAAAAAGCAGCTGTTAATTTGGTAAGATATGTCTTCTCAACCAGTCCCTCCATCGGAGAATTCTCTTATTCGGGAGAAAGTTCGCGGATATGCCCAAGAACAGCGCAAAGAAGGTCGCACTGAGGCCAAAGATTCATTGCGTATTGGCCTGGGACAGATAAAGGAAGAGTTCGCCGCGCAGGATAATCTGAGTGAGAAGGATGTGCATGGATTGGCTACCAGGATCAAGCGTCGAAAGCACGCCACATCCGAGGATCTCTTTCGTCTAGCCTTGGCGTTCCTGCAGGGTGTTGAAAACATTAACGCCTTCGCTGCGATTCCTGGGGCACTTCAGGTTCTGGTCAAGGAACTAACTGGTAGCTATTACTTAGGTGGTTCCTATTTAATTGTTTCATTCATTAAGACCTGTCCTCACAGGGTCGGACACACAGAGACAGATTGATGCCGCCGAGTGCCTGTGTAACTTATCGTTGGGTGAGGCCCATGTTGCCGAGAAGATTTCTAGCTTGGTTGGCAGCTACATGGTCACATACCTCGACGGGAAGGATGGGCGACTGAAACGCAGCTGCTTGTGGACTCTGGCGAACATACTGGCCACCAGCGATAAAGCTGCCCAGCAACTTTTACAAATGCAGATAGTTCCCAAGCTATGGAAGCTATACACTGGCGAGGGAGCTTCAAATGGGTTTCAGGAAGACGCTGGCATATGTCTTTATTTAATATCCAAGAATGCTGCGCATCATGTTAATGCCGAGGACCGAGAGTACATAGCCCATCACATATTTTCAATTAGGCCTGAGGATCCGGGCAGCGAGTACCTTATGTACATAATCCACCAACTGGAAATTGTTGAGCTACACAGTGGCCTAGGGACTCATCAGGCCGAGTGTTTGGTCAACTTCTTCATCGCCAGCCTCGACTCACAAGCCGACAGCCTGGCTGTTTCCTACGGGGTGCGAGTAGTAGCCAATTTAATGGCCATTAATAACCCATCACTTATCGGAGTCCTGGCCGACGACAATATCTTTGTGTCTGCCTTAAACAAACTATTTGCCCTGCGAGACCCCCGCCTCAACATGGACCTCATGCGAATTCTGAGGAATTTTCTGAACCTAAATCTCCTAGACTCCAACCTGGTATTAGATCGTTTGCAGGTGTACGCTTAGGCTGTTTAATTAAAAGTCTTTTGTATCTCTTTATTTATCTGAATTACCTATGAAATATGAATTTAAGCCCATGGCTTAAAGAATGTGTGAGTATGTAGTTTTACATAAAAAAAATGGAACGAAATACGATATTTAAATAAATAAGTTATGCCTAAGAATACAATTGGTTAAAATAGATTTGCCATCGAGTTGCTAAGATAAGTCCACTAGTAAAATATAATATTTGGAACACTTATATATCGTCTTCAAATAGTGCGATTATGCGACGCCTCTGGGCGTCTTTGTCAGGATTAGAATCTTGGCTTCCGTTATCGTTGTGATGGGTTCCATTATGAACCTCCAGATCTGAGACCGAATCAAATACTAGATTGCACTGCCCGCATCGGGCGGAGAAAACTAGAGCCGAGGCAGCGCCCTTTATTGGGGTACCTTGAGCCCGCTGTAGCTTTTCCAGGAAGTTGGCACGCTCCTGATCCGTGCCAGTACCAATTCCAAGTCCCAAAGTAGAGCCACGTATAGGAATTGGTTTCTTCACAGTTGGGGTACTCTCCGAATTGCGGCTTTCAGATCGCGCAATGGCATACAGCACGTTGTTCTCGACGGTGATTGGCGTAGTAGTGCCACTAAGGAAGTCAAACAGTGGCTCCTCTGCTGGAAAGTCCTCTGCAGGAAGTACTGGTTCGACTGCCTTTTCACCGTTTGACGTCTTTACCTGGTTGAGCTTGTCAGCCAGATTGGAGTCAATCGAATGTTCCTGCAGCCAGGTGCAGGTCTTGTGCAGGGCAAAGATCATTCGTCGGATGAACTCGTGAGGTGAAACCATTTTCTGCCGCCTGATTTCCAGAAGCTTATTGGCCTCGGCCAGAAACGTAACGAACTGGTACTCGACACAATTGTCCAAATGCGACTGCTGTGACTCCTCGAACATGAACCGCTTGGAGCACGCCGGACACTTTCGCTCCTTCCACATGGGCTCCGGAATGTTGACCTTTATGTCACGCAACTGGTCCTGTTCCATGGGATCGTCCTCTTCAAAATTGGTCTCGCTGTAGTTGTAGCAGTTTTTGTGTTTCCGTTGCAGGGCTGCTTCCTCGTTTTCATTGTCCTCGCTGGAACTGGCCGCCACAAAATCCTCCTCATCATCCGGAATGTTTCTGGAATTTTGTTGCTGCTGCTTATTGAACAGTACGTTGAGATACTGGATCCGTTGCTCGCAGCTGCTGCCCAATTGTGGAGCCGTTTGATTCAAGAGCTGTTTGTCCACTTTGTCCCTGGAAGAGCCCAGCTTTCCGCTGCTGTTTTTCAAAAGTAAATTATGTACCGGTCGTTGATCCACGTAGAGCAGGTCAGCTGGGGTGAATAAGGCGTTCTCCTTGTCCGCCTTTTTGGCGTCCGAGATATTGGCAGTCTTTTCCAGGTGCAGCTGGGCTAGTTTCAGACTGAGAGCATTTCGGATGCACTGCTCTCTGAAAGTCACGGCATGCTTCAGATACGAGATGCAAGGAGCACAAATGTACCGTGGAAAGCCGTCGTCGGTCGAGTTCTGCGGTTAATGAAGTTTTAAAAATGCCCATATATTATCCGTTCAATGCCAAGACTCACCTTTAATCCCGTTGTCTCCTCAATTAAAATGTTAATCGGCTTTTGCCAATTAAGAAATTCGTTTGTGGAACCGTGCAGGTAGGTGGGGATTTTGGCAAATATCTCATAGTCCGCGGGGCTGCTGCAAATCCGGCAGATATTTCCCCACATCGCCATACTAAGTTTATTAGCCTTCCTATAGACCAATCTGTAATTTGCAGAATGAAATAAAACCAAAAAGTTACTAGGGACAGTCTACATATGTATCTAGAATCCAGAATCTAGATACAATGATACATCCGTAAGATACTTTTCTGAAAACCACAATGAGATGATTCAAATGCAATCATTTGTCGGTTTTAGAACAACTTTGCAAATACTTTTTAAGAATCTATATTCATTTTATTTAATTTTAATCAACTAACCGGTGTTTTTTTATGAGATATTTTTAGATCCGCGATTTTTCTGTGGGCTTTCTCTGGTGAAATTTCGAGGGTTTATTAAAAGAAATTATATATTACTAGACACCGTTCTTTAGTTAATTCTAAAATGAGTCAAAATTATATATCTTAAACACGCAACGGTCACAAATTTAAAGAATTCTTTGATAAGTCAGGAGAAGAAATAAACAAAAATCAGCTGAATCCACATCTAAATCAATATAATCCACACTGTCCACAGAGAAATGGCAATGCTCCGATTTAACGCTGGCAATGCCTGGTTTTGGTAAACAAAACTGAAAAAGTGTTGCTCTACAAACAAAAAGAAGATTAATCGAGTTTCGAGTTGGGCCACACTGAAAATTGCATAAACAAACCTCGTTATTAGAAGATTTCCTCAAAATGTCTTTCAACATAATGCAAAAGCTGACACTGCAGTGTCTAAAAGCCGATCAGCCTCTAATAAGTAAGAGTTTCTTTCATAAGCTATCAAAAACTGACCGAATTCCTTTGCAGCCACCATCCGCAATGCCAGTAAGAAAACCGGCGGTAGCACGCGCAACAAAAAGGGACATGCACGTCCAAAACATCGTGGCTGGCGGGTCCAGGACGGACACTATGTCTCCGAAGGCACTCTCCTGGCCACCCAGTTGACCACACGGTTCCACCCGGGTCTTAATGTGTGTAACATTACTATAAACCTATTTCATTTCCCACGATCGCTAAAAATCCTTTAAATTACAGGTGGGCTTTGGCCGTAATGGAACTCTGTTTGCCATGGAGCACGGTAAGGTCTATGTCACCTGCGAACCCATCGATCCCAACTGGGACCACAGTTGGGTTCAAAAGAACTATGCCGGTCGTCAGGACCAGACCATCTACAAGAAGTTTTTCAATGTGGTACCCGAAAAGCAGCACCAGCGCTTTCGGTTAGTGGAGGAAATCTAGTTTTTTGGAAATACATTTCTGTAAATTATAAACCCAATAAAATCGTTTTCTGTTAACTATACTTTGAAACAAAAATCTCAAATTTTAATTATTTTTTTTATTAAGAAATATATATTCGATTTGGCGATAGATAAAAAGTGAAAACATTGTCATGCTTAAAGCTATGAATAAAATACAAAAACCACACTTAAAAAAATCATTTTACTTAATATTGTCTCTGGACTTTTATTTTTTAATGTTATGTATTTAAATGTCTAAAATATTGACTAAAAAATTGTATTTTCAAATTTGAAATATCGATATACGATACGATATTGTAGCTAAAAGTAGTACGATATTTATTTGAGGAAAAATATCGATATACCGGTATTTTGACAGCTCGAAGCGAGCCCAACTTCACTCGTTTCCTTCTTTTGAAAACGCTGAAGATGGTGAGTAGACGTTGGAAATTGTGGTGCAGTTAAAAAGCGAATTTGGTGCAAGGCAATGACGCCTGGTGGAAGCCAAACTTAGTTAACTGAGCTGCAGTGTGCCTACATAATGGGTGCATTAATAAAGTGAGAAGAACGGCTAAGAAACTGCGGCTGCGGCACGTCAACATAACCTCCACGTTTGTAGGAGACTGCCGCCGCCGCCGCAGAGCTGCCGCACGTGTGCCAAGAGGAATGGGACTAAAAACACAAATTCCTTTCATTTTTTGCAGTCGAACATTAAGAGGAAGAAGACGAGGAAGCTTCGTGGTCATGTGAGCCACGGTCACGGTCGTATTGGCAAGCACCGCAAGCATCCTGGAGGTCGCGGTAACGCTGGTGGCATGCACCATCACCGCATCAACTTCGACAAATACCATCCCGGTTACTTCGGCAAAGTTGGTATGAGGAACTTCCACTTGCGCCGCCAGCACAAGTTCAGGCCCGAGATCAACCTGGACAAGCTCTGGTCTCTGGTCGGAGCCGAGAAGTTCGCTGAGCTCGAGAAGGAGAAGAGCACTAAGGCTCCCGTCATCGACTTGGTGAAATTCGTAAGTTTCATTCAGAACTATTAGAAAATGCTAAGGTGCAGCTGTTGCTTTGTATATGAAGATAATCCCAAAGGCGATGGGCGGACTGAATTCAATGTAGAGAAAGCCTTTCAGATCAAAGACAGCAACGCTCCATGGCTGATGTCTGACGGTGTTTCCACATTATAGCTTTTTCTAATTGCCATTTCTTCCTTTATAGGGCTACTACAAGCTGCTGGGTCGTGGTCACCTGCCCGCCCGCCCCGTCATTGTGAAGGCCAAGTACTTCTCCAAGAAGGCCGAGGACAAGATCAAGAAGGCCGGTGGTGTGTGCTTGCTGAGCGCCTAAGTTAAGGTGGGTTTTCATAACAAAAGAATCTCCTAACACGATATACTAATAAAGATTTACACTTTTTACAGATTCCTCTTCTGCAACAAAAAAAACAAACTGAGTACATTCGACCATCTAAAATGTATTTGTTTTTAAATAAATTAAAAAAAAGAAACTAATATGTTGCTATTGTAATTAGTGGTTACTTCATGTTTTTTCTTAAGGAATAAATAATAAGATTTTTTAGTTTAGCTAAAAACTACAGGAAATTAACAGCAATTGGGGTTTTCAGATTTAACAAATAGAGAATACTTACAAAAAGAATAGATACTTTTTTTTGCAGTGTTAAATCGTCTTACATTATGTGTGACCAGACACGTCTTTGAGAGGTATTTTCTATCATTTCTAAGCGGTCACACTAGACGCCAAAAATATTAAAAGCTCACACACCGCAAAGCAGCGGAAAAGTACGTAGTATTACAACCAGGAAGCACAGATAACAGTAGGTCAAGGACATACAAACATACTTATCTTTGGGATGACTTTGGGCAAAGATACAACCTTGGGTCAAGGGCACCAGTCAATAAACGACTTAAAAAGGACGAACAGGATGCAACGGGTGGCCGGGATGGGGGGATGTAACGGATTTGGTTGGATGGTGAAATTAATTAAGGCTTCTATGTTTCAGCCGGGACTTTGGCACCTGTTACATAACTGAGAAGCAACACCATGGCTAACAAAGTATTGCGAAAAGTGACGCACTGCATCTTCGATATGGATGGCCTGCTGCTGGGTGAGTAACTGCCCTTTTGCTGTCATCTCGCTTTCATTAATCATATGTCGAACAGACACCGAGAGCCTTTACACGGTGGCTATGCAAACGATACTCGATCCATTTGGGAAGACCTTCACTTTCGATGTGAAAGAGCAACTGATGGGCCTGCAAACGGAGCCAGTGGCCAAATTCATGGTCAAGCAGTATGACCTGCCCATTCCATGGGAGGAGTGGGTCAAACAGCAGCACGACAACACTCGAAAACTCATGCGGAACGCCAAGTTGATGCCAGGTACTAATTCCCATTTCCGCCTTTTTGCACGTTTCAGACACGGAGCGGATATACGAGGAGGTTTATAGGCAGATAGCCGCATCCTTTGGCCGTCCATTCTCAGATGCCGTCCGTTTTCAAGTCATGGGCTGCACGGAGCAGCGCTCTGCGGAAATAACCATATCCCAGTGCCAGCTGCCCATCACACAAACGGACTTCCTCAAGCGATATACCAAGATGTGCCACGAGCGGCTCAACCATGTTCCTCTCCTGGAAGGTTAGCACTACGACCAGAGCACAGGCTTTATCCCTATATATACTTCCTGCACAGCACCCCCTATCCTATAAGTTGATGTCGGTCATTATCTATTTTTGATTTTTATTCTTTTTTTTTTGTTTTTTTAGGAGCTGAACGCCTGCTCCGCCATTTGCATGCAAATAAAGTGCCTTTCGCGCTGGCCACCAGCTCCGGTGCCGACATGGTGGAACTGAAAACCACTGACCACCAAGAACTATTCAGTCTTTTCAACCATAAAGTTTGTGGCTCTACCGACAAGGAAGTAGCCAACGGAAAACCGGCTCCTGATATCTTCCTGGTGGCTGCCGGTAGGTTTCCAATTCCACCAGATGCCAGCAACTGTCTGGTATTCGAGGATTCGCCAAACGGCGTGACGGCAGCCAATAGCGCGGGAATGCAGGTTGTCATGGTGCCGGACGAGCGACTGTCTCCGGAAAAGAGCTCCCACGCCACGCAGGTGCTGCGTTCTCTCGAGGACTTTAAGCCGGAGCAGTTCGGTCTTCCTCCTTTCCAAAACTGAGCTTAGTACCTTAAAACTATTGGAGCTTTTAAAAAAGAAACATTTGGAGCCAGGCGACGCTAATATTAAAATTTCATGTACCTATTGAAGGATAGTAGGAGTAAAGTTACCGGATGGTATAGTGTTTGTCTTTTATTTCGCTTGAATTTTGGTTGGTTTTATTAAATTATTTTCAATTCGGGGGAAAAGCTACTTGCCCACCGCTTCCACGTTCTTCTGTATGTCTGGAGCAGCTTGGTTTGTGAGTCCCAACGAAATCTCCTTTCCATTTTCTATGAGTAATCGGGAAGCAGGACTTAATCGGTATCCTTTTCATGGGTATTGTTATTTTTTACTCACCATAGCGAGCATACAACCTGGGTTGAATCCCGGTACATTCCCGCACCAGGATTGGAAGATTGGGATTGTGCTTCTTCAGATTTGGATAAAATTTCTGAACGAATTCCCTTGATGCAAAAAAATTTAAATAAAGTACATTATATAACCACAGAGGACTCCATTACTTACCTTGCGCCCTTAGAGGTATCTCCGGTGGGGTCAAGGACAATCCTCAACTCCTTCAGTTTTGAAGTTAAGTTTACCAAACGGGGTAATGAGACTCGCATTTTTGAAATTTTTCGAAAGGGAAAAATTTAAATAAAACCCAAACCGTCTGAAAGGTTTGATTTTTGTTTCAGAATAGAGTTGTCCATTCTAAAAGGTTCAGTATTGTAATAGGGTTTATTTAACCCAAAGTTATGGTTATATTTATAATTTAAATATTTATTTTAAATTTATATCCCTTTTCTTTAGTTTTTATACCCTTGCAGAGGGTATTATAATTTTGTCCAAAAGTGTGCAACGCAGTGAAGGAGACATCTCCGACCCTATAAAGTATATATATTCTTGATCAGGATCACCTCCTGAGTTGATATGAGCATGTCGGTCTGTCCGTCTGTCCGTCTGTCTGTCTGTCTGTTTCTACGCGAACTAGTCTCTCAGTTTTAAAGCTATCGTCTTGAAACTTTGCACACACCCTTCTTTCCTTTGCACGCAGTATATAAGTCGGAACGACCGGGATCGGCCGACTATATCCTATAGCTGCCATATAACTGAACGATCGGAAATGACCCAATTTTCGTGATTTTGAAGATAGAAAGCTGGAACTTGGTACAGGTTAAATTTTGATCCATCCTACCAAATTTCATAAGGATCGGCCAACTATATCCGATGTTTGCGATATATATCCGGTTTTAGCTGCAAGGGTATATAAACTTCGGCTCCGCCCGAAGTTAGCTTTCCTTTCTTGTTTAAAGTATATTCGAAATCTTTAGAAAATTACATTTATAAACCTACATAAGAATTGCAAAGAGTGTCATTTGTAAATAATTTAAAACAAAGCCAGTTTGTGTTATGCACTTTATCAATATATTAGACTAAAACATTCTAAAACAAAGTTTTTTAAAAAGATTTTTTAAAATTATATATAACGCTTTTTTAAATTTATAATTTTTTTTTTGAACAATTATCGTTTTATAACATTATCGATAACTTTTGACAGCTGGCATCTAACCTCCCATCTCTAGTTGATTTTAGTAAACACATTTGCTTGATTTTTATTTGAAGAACAATTTTATTAATTTTCAAAGAAATATGGCATCGGTTCATTGTCAACTATGGATGGGCAGTGTAAGTTATAATCCTGAACAAGTAGGAATAACAAATTTAAACTCTACGATGGCCGTTACAGCTGGAGTCGTACATGACGGAGAACTTCATAATTGCCGCTTTCCGAAAAATGGGCGAGGATCCGACCACGGTGCGGCTGATGCGAAATAAGTACACAGGGGAGCCGGCTGGCTACTGTTTTGTGAACTTCATTTCCGACGACCACGCATTAGATGCCATGCACAAGTTGAACGGGAAACCCATTCCCGGCACTAATCCTATCGTGCGCTTCCGTCTCAATTCCGCCAGCAATTCGTACAAACTGCCAGGAAACGAGCGGGAGTTTAGTGTCTGGGTGGGTGATCTCAGTTCCGACGTGGATGATTACCAGCTGTACAAGGTCTTCTCCAGCAAGTTCACCTCCATTAAGACGGCAAAGGTGATTCTGGATAGTCTTGGATTCTCAAAAGGCTATGGATTCGTGCGCTTTGGCATCGAAGATGAGCAGAAAACGGCAATGTACGATATGAATGGTTACATCGGGCTGGGCACTAGACCCATCAAAATCTGTAACGCTGTGCCTAAGCCCAAAGCCGAACTGACGGCTGCCCTCGGTAGTAGTGCCACTGGTTATGGATATGGTACGGGCACTAGCGGAACCACTACATCGACTAGCAGCGGAACGGATTACTCGCAGTACTATGACCCTACTAGCACCTACTGGCAGGGCTACAATGCTTGGCAGGGATACTATGACCAAAGTGGCGGTCCCTCGATTACGGATGCTGCAGCCTACTACCAGCAGGCGATGTCCCAGTCCCATTCCAATCCCCAGACCCTCGCCCAGCACGCAGAGGCCTGGAGTGCTCAGCGCAGTGCCCAATACGAGCAACAGCAGCAAAACGCATCCGCCAATGGAGCGGATGGTGAGTACGGGCTGGTTGAGCACAAGTTCACCCTGGATGTGGACAAGATGAACCGTGAGACCATTGATGCAGATCGGCTTTTATACGATGCTTTGGAGAGCTCCAAATGGTTGCCAATCGAGCAACTGGAGGTATTTTAAGGACTGTATTTCTAATTATAATTAAGTGTCTAAATAAGATTTTCTTGTTGGTAAATACATCATACTTTAACTTGACTTGAAATTTGAATTTTAAAGAGAAGTTTTACTTTTTTAAACTCATTAAATATATCGGTTCTTTGCCGATACCGATACATCGGTAAGCGTTACTGGTAGATACTGTCATCTCTATTTTTTGGCAACCGACTGGTCATATTTTTCCCTCGCTAGAATTGTAAAAAGAATCAAAAACTATTAATAAAAAGGAAGAGATCGTCCCTTAACCATGGCGCCCTTCAAGCGAGTGCGCCAGCCGAAGATCCCAACCCATGCGCTACTCGACTTTGACCTGGGTGAGAGCTCCTCCGACAGCGACTTTTTGCCGGACATAGACAACTGCTCCGAAAAGGACGAAAGCGACGGAGAAGGGGATAGCAGTGATGCCAGTAGCAGTAGCGAATCGGATTCTGGCGAGGACTCTGATGCAGAGAGCGAGGATTCAACGCTGCAGCTGCGCCAGCTTCTGGCCGACAGTGAGGCTGGAGGAGCAGGACCAGGAGCCGGGTCAGGAAGCAACGAGCTGCCGTTTGAAAACGGCACAGGAACCGGTAACGGTATCAATGGGAGAGCCCCTCCAATCCTATCGAGTGCTCCAGCTAAGCGGATGTGTTGTGTGTGCTTGGGAGAGCGCAGCGACGACGTAAACGAAATTGTGGAGTGTGATTCCTGCGGCGTATCCGTACACGAAGGCTGCTACGGTGTAAGCGATAATGTTAGCATATCCAGCACCAATTCCACCTGCTCCACAGAGCCTTGGTTCTGTGAGGCATGTCGGGCAGGCGTCTCGGAGCCGGACTGCGAGCTTTGTCCAAACAAGGGCGGCATCTACAAGGAGACAGACGTTGGCAAGTGGGTGCACCTGATATGCGCACTGTATGTGCCAGGCGTAGCTTTCGGCGAGGTGGAGCAGCTCTCTTCCGTAACTCTGTTCGAGATGCAGTACAGTAAGTGGGGCGCCAAGGTGTGCTCCCTCTGTGACAACTCTCTGTTTGCCCGAACGGGCGTCTGCATTGGCTGCGATGCGGGAATGTGCAAGACATACTTCCACGTTACTTGCGCCCAGGTTGCGGGCTTTCTCATTGAGGCCCATCATGAGGACGATGCCGCCGATCCGTTCTACGCCCACTGCAAAGTGCACTCCGAAAAGGAAATGATCAAGAAGAGGCGTCGTAACTACCACACGCTGCGCCTAAACATGCTGCAGCGAGCCAAGGAAAAGGAACTTGCAGCCAGCAACAATGAAAATGAGGAACAACATCCGAATCCTGCCCAGGCGCGTATCCAGCGAAAGCTACTGAAAATTCAGCAAAAGTATGCTCATCACAAGGAGCACAAGCCCACTCCTTGGGTGCCAACGCAGAAGATGTCGCGCTTACTCACGACCTCAGCGTCAGCTTGCCGACGACTACTGGCCAAGGCGGAGATTATGTCGGTGGACGTGCAACATCTGGAGCAACGCGAGGCGCACATCAACGCTCTGACTGATATCCGTAAGAAGTGGCACATCGCACCCGCGTTCAGTGTCGAGTTTGCAGCATACTACATGGACCGCATTGACCGGATGGAGGATTTTCGGAAACAACAGCGTCAGCTCATCGCCCATAACGCTATCTTGTCCAAGGACCAGGATGTTCTGAGGGCCCAATACGATACGGCCTTGGAGGAACGTAAATCGGTTAAAGCCACAAGGGACGCGTTATTAGCCAGTGTTAAGTCATTGCACACGGCATTGGCAGAAATTGTTCCCAACATAATTCTGCCCAGCGGAGAGATAATAGCTCATCCACCCAAACCGAGCACACCCACTCCTCCCCAACGACCCATTTCTGTACCGACGGCGGCGGCTTTAAAGATGGGTGTCGGCTTTCCGCTGGCCCACCTGGGACCGCCGGGCAGTAAACCGGATTCATCGCGCATGCTTAGCACCCAGGTGAAGCAGGGCAAGCAAGCCACCTCTGTGGAGGCTACACCGTCGACGGCCTGTGGCATCTGCAAGCGGAGCAATGACCAACACCTGCTGGTCAAGTGTGATACCTGTAAATTGCACTATCATTTGGGTTGTCTGAATCCACCGTTGACCCGACCTCCGAAAAAGTCCAAGCAGTATGGTTGGCAGTGCTCCGAGTGCTGCGACAAGTCCGACGGCTCAGACGCCCCCACAGAGATCTCCCCCGGACCGAGAAAGTCGCGTACCCGATTCAACAAGGAAGGCCACCTGGTCTATGTAGATCGATATTCCTTGGACGATTTGCCAATTGTCCAAACACCTTCAGCTGGAAGTGTTGCTCCAAAAGAATCTCAGACAAAACGAGCACTTAACAAATCCCTGCCAGCTAGCGTACCCGAGGCCATTGAGGACTTGACCAAATCACCCAAGAGGCCAAGGGTTCAATCGCCACGCAAAACACCCATTAACGGTGAGTTAATTGGTGAGATTCAAAGTTTAATCGGTTGCTTTGAGTTTTATTCATGTATTAATTGAAAATTTATTGTTTCCTTTGTATACTTGTGCCTCCCTGTATGCTTCATATCATTTTGTAAAAAAACACGAAAAAGCTTTATACATAGATTGGATGCCCTACCCCACTAGTTGCACAAAAAGAAACACACATCCCACATGCACGGCTTCGGAATTAAGGTCATTAAGGTCACCAATTGGTATTAGCTTTGAACTGCACGCTCATGTTTATGTAACCAGAAACATATTATCTCAAAAAATGGCTTGTGATTAGTATATAGCTTGTACATACCAAACTGTATAAAAAACAAACAATGTTATGTATATTTTTGAAAACAAAAACTATCAAAGATAGTACCTGATGAAAAGCTTCAAAAGAAATGTAGTAATTTATGTATTATAATTTATAATTTGGTTATTTGGTTAAAAAAAAAGGATGATTGTTTGGGTATTATTAGATTTTTTTGAAAAATAAACTAACGACCCATTTGTCTCTCGTCAGTTCCTGTCACTAATGGTACTCCAACGGCCGAAGCATTGCCCATACCCAGCACTTCAATGCTTTCTGGCTGCGACGACTCCATAGATGACTCCAGTGGTAAACTGTCTCGAAAGGGTAAGCGTAAGGATAAGCACAAGAGCAAGCATAATCTGTCATCAGACACCGAAAAACCATCGGGCAAAGAGCATAAGCGGAAACGGAAAAAGCGCTCCCACCTGGACGAGTCGTCTTCGCACTTGGACACCACGGCCAACGTGTCGGGCAGTACCATTAAGATTATTTTCAAGGCACTTCGTTTGCCCGGCGAGGATGCTCCGGAATCGCAATATTTTTATGTCCCGGCTAATGCAGTACGATCCGTTGACGAGGCTTCCCGACCCACGTCCGTGGAAACAGTTGAGGATAATACCCAGAGTGTAGAGCAGGCGCTGACGCCAGTGGTCTTTCAATCGCCCTCGCCAACCAAAGTCCGAGAGTTAAAGGAACCCAAGGAGAGCCCTGCCACCTCCTCCCCGAAGCGAAAAGTTAGCCCCCGAAAACAAAGCCCTCGAAAGTCACGTGTGGGACGTCCGCGGGTGTCAAACACCAAGCCGAATGTGGAAATAAACTGTTGTGTTTGTAGCGAGATAGGAAAATCCAATCAAGTGGTCACTTGTGACGAGTGCCATAGGCACTACCACTTCGCCTGCCTGGATCCCCCCCTCAAGAAGTCGCCGAAAATACGAGGATACTCCTGGCACTGCGCCGACTGTGATCCCACAGACGACGAGGCACGACCCAAGAAATAGGTCCACATAATTTATTTACCTTGTAAGAATTGTACACTTTTGACGATGCATTTGAACAATTTTCTTAAATTCACAATTCAGTTAAGTAACAATTATTAACTCCAAAAAATTATTATTAAATTAATAATTATTGGTTCTTAACCCACTTCCAATTTTTTTGGAATTACAGATTGTGGGAATTGATTTGAATATTTTGTATATTGTGAGACATTATATTATGTATTGTGCTTGGAAAATCAACTAATAAAAATAGTTTACTCATCTTTTACCCGAATAAACATTTTTTAATAAAAAAAAAAAACTTTATTCTTAATTCTTACTTAAAACTAACTACGTTTGCGAGAACTTTATAATAATTTAGCAATTATAATAATTGAAATATTTTGAATGGTATTTTAAAGCCTTATATATTTCATTTTAAGTGAATTAATAAAAAAAACCTTGCCTTTTATTAAAACTTTTGACTTAAATTGAAAATTGCGGGCTTTCTTATCAACAGCCACACTATTTTTAGAACAATCCAGGCAGTGTGGTCGTTTTGGCCGTTTTTTGAACTATCGCTATCAGTAATATGGGTTTGAAAGTTACAAGAATCTATGAGCTATAGTGTAATTTAACGAAAAACATTCACTCAGATTAAAATTCCTAAAATTATATATATTTCATATTTCAAAAAGTATTCGAATTTTTATGAGTTTGTTATTTTTACCAGTTTGTATAAGTTAGCAGTTTTTAATGTAGATAGCTGTGCCAACACTGACTCCAGCGCCTGCTCCAAAAATGGCCACGTAAAAACATAATTTGTTTCTAACGTTTCGACATCCGCAAATACGAGGCGATTTGGAGCCAATCCGAATGAAAGTAAACATACAAGAATAGAGTATGCCACAAAGGCAAGCCACGCAGAAGTTGGAGTTGAAATGTGCGACGTGAGACACTCGGAATAGAATCGCGTCAACATGGATGAGAAGTTGAAGTATTCGCTGCTGCGCGGTGAGCTGGTGGACACCCAAAGCATCTGGACCAGGTAGGCATCGGTGTCATAATTAATTCATTGCAGCTCGTATCAATGTCATTGTTTAATTCCAGGCACGAGAAACGAGTATGGTTCATCACCCTGATTACGGGCACCTGCATGCTATATTCCACCCGGACCACCATGCCGCTGTTGGTGCCCGCAGTGGCAGCAGCTCAGAAGTGGAGTAAGACCGACTCTGGAACCGTGCTGAGCTCCTTCTTTTGGGGCTATACTCTAACCCAGGTTGTGGGGGGCTACTTTAGTGACCGATTCGGCGGACAGAGAGTGATCCTCTGGGCGGCCATTGGCTGGTCGCTTATAACATTCCTGATGCCGACAATTATCTGGGCCGCAGGCTCTATTAAGAGCTATGCCATTCCATTCATAGTGGCCATTCGGATTCTAAACGGCGCGTTTCAGGGAGTTCACTTTCCGAGCATGATTAGTTTGACCAGTCAGGTGAGCTTGATTTCCGATTCAAACATCTTCAAAGTTTATAGTTATTATCCTTTTCAGAACCTCTGCCCTAATGAACGCAGCAGCTTTTTCGGCTTGTTAACTGCTGGCTCCGCGTTAGGTACATTGCTAACTGGTATCATGGGATCATTCTTGCTGGACTACTTCGGGTGGTCGTATGTGTTCCGGGTGATTGGACTGATGGGTATTGCCTGGGCATTAGTGCTGCGTTATTATGCTATGGCGGGCGAGAGAAACCGTATCATTCAAATCGGTACGCCCTCTCGTCTCTGTGCGAATAAGAGTTTGGCGGAAACGCCGGCTGTTCCCTGGCTGCGCTACTTCAGTCGATTGTCATTCTGGGCCTGCGTTCTAACGCACGCTTGCGAGATGAACTGTTTCTTTGTGCTGCTTTCATGGCTGCCCACATACTTCCATGATGGCTTTCCGCATGCCAAAGGCTGGGTGGTGAACATGATCCCCTGGCTGGCTCTTCCGCCGTGCACACTCTTTGCCAAGCACCTCACCACGCAACTGCTCGCTCGGGAGTGGCAGACGACGACGGTGCGCAAGTTGATCCAAAGCTTATGTTTCGCCGCCCAGAACCTGGCCTTGTTTGTGATGAGTCGCACCTCGGATTTTCACACAGCGCTCATTTGCATGACCATTATTATCGGCGGTACGGGCTTCCACAATAATGCCGTCACAGTGAATCCTCAAGACCTAGCCCCGCTTCACTCTGGGAGCGTTTTCGGGTTGATGAACACGGTAGGGGCCATACCTGGCTTCCTTGGAGTCTATCTCGCTGGTCACATCCTTGAACTGACCCAGAGCTGGCCAATGGTTTTTAGCGCGGCAGCCGGGATAAACCTAGTGGGTTGGATCATATTCATGGTGTTTGGATCAGCTGAAGCCATTGTTTGAAATTCTCTTGGACATTTTCCAAACCGGAAGAAAGCTATTTATTGATGTGTACATGTATATTAGGGTGGATCGGTGGGCATTGATGCAACGACGAAATACAATTTATTTCCCAACATCTATAGATCCTCCAAAAAGCCTCTGCATCAAACGCAATCCATCCACGCACATTATGTAATTGTATATATTTAAGAACATTAGTTCTAAGTAGCGAAATCCTATTGCTCCTAGCGTGATAAATAAATGTTTAACCATTAAAGATTTACAATTTTAAGATTTTATTTTATTCTTAGGATATACTATGATAATGTCAATAGCCAAAATCGTGTTATTAAAATACAACACAGTATTACCTGCTTCTAGCGGACTAGGACCTTGTATTCTTTTAAAGCTATATCCTTTTCATTAAAAGGGATAAAAATATAGCCAAATAATTGAGAAACCTTGCCTGTTACCAGGCACGTGACCATAGTTATCAGAAGCCTCATTTTACCAACGAGTGTGTCATAGTGAGTTATGGGCTTCTTTCTTTGATCGGCCATATAGGAGTAACACATAATCGGACTAATTTTGCCCTGAAGTAGGCGCCTTCGAGCCACTTATAGCTTCTCTTCTTGGAAATTAAAGTCACTTAAGAAAGATAGATAAGATATAATTATTGAATCCAGTTTTTTTTTGCTTACATTCCCTACGTCAGGATGGCTTTATCTTCTCCAATTCTTATCCGATTCTTAAGCGGAGTACCTAACCCCCATGGAGATGTCTCCTCCTATAATACCCTCTGCAAGGGTACTAAAATTATGAAATAATAAAAAATAATAAGAACGATCTTAGTTGTGGACTATAACTTTGTATATTAACTATATTTCCTTATTCTAGAATGGGATATGTGCAACCAATTGATTGATGAATCCTGGCTGTAACAAATCTTTGGTGTTTTTGTCATAACTAACTTTAGGTCTCTTGAAGATATAATTTTAAAGAAGTTGATTTTCTTTAAATAACTACATTCTTCTTTAAAATAATATATACAACCTATATACAACAAAATCAAGTCCATAATTTTTAAAGTCCATATTTTGCAAATCTTAATAAGAAACCTCAAACATAGATTATAATATGTTTATTTTTAAAAATAATATTTATTTAAATTGCATTTTTGATTTTAAATTTCTCTACATATACCATTCAAAGTGTCAAAATCATTTTTATTTAAATACAGTGCTCCTAGCGGACCAGGACTTCGTATTGTCTTATCGCTACTTCCTTTCCACCGAATGGGATATACAGGCAGCCATGTGATTGATCAATCTTCCCTATGACCAGACTGTTCTTGTACATTGCACGACCTATATACAAGATTTCTCCGTTCTTCTTTTTACCACCGATCACTGCCGTGGCAGGCACGTGACCATAGTTATCGGGGACCCAGCTATATCCTTCACCCACAAGAACGTCGAAGGTAGTCTTTTTGTGCTCCTTTCCGTAGTTGGCCACATGGGCAAGACCTCTGCTTGGACTTACTTTTGCCGGCAGTAGGCTGCCCTCGTGATATGCACGCCCCACGTAGTGAGGAGATCCGTCTGTATCGTATCCACCTTTCACTGCTATCGGTGGAAATCCTGACTGTGATGTGCAATGGATCCACACGTCTCCACCATTGATGAATAAAAAAAAAAGTTTATTTGGTGCTTTTTTTTAGTTTAAAAAAAGTTACCTGCAGCGTATGCCATTCCACTAAAACTGGCTACTAATATAAGCACATTGACCAACATTTCCAGACTTATTTTTCACAAATCTTTGACTTTTGTTAAGAAGGATATATACGCTCAAAAAATCAGAAATATACTAACCGTGCCGCTTGGAGCTTCTTTTTATAATAACGTACCACACAACCAACGAGCAAGTTTTTTGCAATGTTTTGACAAATTGAATTAAAAAGTACTTAAGATAGAATACATTTGTGTATGGATTAATCTTATTATCTTTTTTAATTGCCACCTACAATCTATTTAACTGGTATGCAATTTTTTATTTAAAAAAAAAGATAAGGGTGAAAGTTCTTTGAACTGGCTCCAGAAGTGGCAGGAAATGTTGAAAAATAATCTCCAATGACACAAGTGTTAAATTTTTTTTAAAACTTTTTTCCAAACATGTCAATCTTATTGATTGTTCAAAATCATTTTTATTTAAATACAGGGCTCCTAGCGGACCAGGACTTCGTATTGTCTTATCGCTACTTCCTTTCCTCCGAATGGGATATACAGGCAGCCATGTGATTGATGAATCTTGCCTATCACCAGGCTGTTCTTGTACATTGCACGACCTATATACAAGGTTTCTCCTTGCTTGTTTTTACCACCGATCACTGCCGTGGCAGGCACATGACCATAGTTATCAGGAATCCACCTATATCCTTCACCAACAAGAACGTCGTAGTTAGTTTTTCTGTGCTCCTTTCCGTAGTTGGCCACATAGGCGAGACCTCTGCTCGGACTTACTTTTGCCGGCAGTAGGCTGCCCTCGTGATAGGCACGCCCAACGTAGAGAGGAGATCCGTCTGTATCGTATCCACCTTTCACTGCTCCCAATGGCAAGGCTGACTGTGATGTGGAGTGGATCCACACGTCTCCACCATTGATGGCTAAAAAATTAAAAAATTAATTTGTGGTTTCTTTTAGTTTCCAAACAGTTACCTGCAGCGTATGTAATTCCACAAAAACTGGCTATTAATAAAAAGTGATTATACAAGAACATCCTGAATTATTTTTCACGAATTATTGATTATTTTATAAAATGATGTACACGCTCCACAATTAAAAATTTCAACCGTACTGCTAGGAGTTTCTTTTTATAATAATCTACTTCGATACCAAGTCCCTAGTTTTTAGGGAGCTAAATTTAGCACGTTAGCTAAATTAATTAAGCAAAACCCTAAAGATACAATTTTTATCTTTTTTAATTGCCAAGGCATTCAAATTCAATCTTTTATGGTAGTTCGCATTCTTTTATGTGTAATATAAGATAAGGTTGAATAATCTACCGCAAAGCACTAACTATAACTTTAAATTCACCCACTAGAAAATGATACCACTTGAGATGAATAAGTCCACTTAATATTATAATCTTTTTTTGAATTTCTGCCTATTTCTGCGAAAAATGTCACAGTTATTTTACTATTTATTTTAAAAACATTTATTGTATGTTTCTTTGTTTAAAAGGATATAAAGAGAAAACTAGGTTATCTCTTTAACTTATAGACTTTGACATATATGGCCCGTCCAGCTCGTAGCCCAGTTTTCGATAGTAATTTCTGGTACCCACTCCCGATATGACTGCCAATTTGTTGCTGCCGTGCTCTTCCCGGGCGATGCGTTCAGCCTCCTCCATCAGCAACATGCCAAAGCCCTGGTGCTGGAATTTGGTGGGATCGCGAGCATTAACTGGCACCACGGAGCCGTAAACATGAAGTTCTCGGACGATAGAACAGGCTCCTTTTAGCTCGGGGCGGAAAGTATCCGGTGAGCACTTGCGTAGCCGCAGCAGTCCAACGAGAATATCCTGCTCGGGGTCTTCATACGAAAGGAACGTCTCCCAACCACCGTTGGCTACATAATCGCGACGTATTAGCTCAATCTCGTACGGTCGTACCTTGTTGTGGATTTCCTGGATGCCTACTTCGCGGGTTCGTACATCGCGGCAGGTAGTGCCAAGGTCCTTCATGCGCGCCAATGCCAATTCACGAAGATTTCCATGCTCCACGCCAGAACTGAAAACCATTTTAGTTTTAACTATTATACATTTTCCATAAATCCTTCAACTCACCTCACTAATGGCATGGGAATGTCGCGCTGGACTCGGTATACTCTAGTCCAGGGAGGCACAAGAGCTAGAATTTTAGCCACTAGATCCACTAACATTGATGGGGGATAGGATTTGTAGCGTCCAGTTTTCCACAGTTCGTAGAGTCCAGTGCCGCGAATGACAAGCGTGGGATAGATCTTAAGGCCGTCAGAACGGAAAGCAGGATTCTCAAAGTACTCTATGAATTGTTCGATGTCCCGCTCAAAATCCACGTTAGGCAAATCGGGCATCATGTGCGCCACGATCTTATACCCAGCATCCTTTCCCAGTTGAAAGCTCTCACAAACGGCGCGCACGGTATGGCCCCTATTGGTGTCCCTAGCTACGTCCTCGTACACCGACTGAACTCCAATCTCCAGCCGGGTACAACCATAGTTCAACATGTCTGAAATGTGGCGCTTGAGGCAATAGTCTGGCCGTGTTTCTATCGTTATTCCAATACATTTTGTACGAGATTTCTCTGAATAACGTACGGCCTCGGCCACATTAGCGCTGCTGTGACCAGAGAGGGCGTCGTGTAAATTACGGATAAAGTAGTCCCGATATTCTTCGGAAAGGCACATAAACGTACCGCCCATCACGATGAATTCCACCTTATCCACACTATGTCCCAATTGCTTGAGCTGTTCGACTCTGTGTCGTGTCTGCAGAAATGGATCATAGCGAGCTCGGATTGCTCGCATAGAAGTGGGCTCATAGCCTGTGTACGACTGCGTTGAATACTCAAAGTCGCTGTCTGGTCCGCCCGGACAATAAACGCAAATGTTTCCTGTCATGTTTATGTGAGGGCAGCGATGCGGCTTGCACATAACCGCCACCACGGCGATCTAAAGAAATAAACATGAACATTAAACTTGGTAATAAATCTCTGGATTAGAAACATACCCCACTGGCTGTGCGTATGGGCTTTGCCATGAGCTTCGGCAGGAGGATCTTCTTTGCTTCTTGCGGCACTGCTGCAATGATGTCCACCAGGCGCGGCGAGCTATCCAATCCATATTTGGAGGATATCAATGATTTCATTCGGTTAAGGTTCACATCCTTTTTGGCCTCATGAGCCCTCAGCAATTCCTGGATAATCTCGCCGACGACCAGAACTTGGCGTTCCTCCCGGCTCAGACCCACTCCTGCAGAAGACACAGTCTTTAGATACCTTCAAGAATCCCATTCATGGGCGCCTCATCTTACCCAACTTCTTTTTGGGCTTCATTTTATGTGCAACGTAATTAAATGATTTATTTACACGTGCAGCAACGTTGGTTCTTTTTTTTTTTTTGGTTTGTTTTGGTTATCGGAGCTGCCTATCGGAAAAAATACCAGACACAACGATTCCAATCCGTAGGATTGACAGGCTGTCACACTGGCTAGCACAAAGTTTGTGTTTTTTTTTGGCAACAGATTTAGGAGTTCTGGAAAAATGACTAGCTGCGTGCCAGCGCAGCAGCAAAAGGACCAGGAGCAGTTGCTAAGGGCACTGGACGACAGCAGCGACGATATGGACGACGCGGATGAGTCCGACAAGGAGAAACTTAAGCTGACAGAGCCCACGTTCTCATTTTCGGTGTGTATACAGCAGTTGGTTGATCGCTGGTTTCGAATGATAGCTTCCGTTGCTTCCGGTTCACAGAGTAGTCACACTTGTTGGGTGTGCAATGGCTACTATGGGCCAAACTTCGGCGAGCCCTTATGTGGAGCTTGCCACGCCTTCCTTTACAACGCACAGCGCGCAGAGGAACTGCTGACAGAGCTATCCGACGACGAGGACTCTGGAAATGATGAGCCGCCTTTCAAGGACAAGCAGGAGGACGAGGAGACTGAGAATGATGTAGACATCATGGGCTTCGAGGATTTGGAAGAGCCACCTGCACCGCATCACAATTTGAATCCCCAACCGCCGCTGGAACTGCAGGAACAGCAGCCGGCTCAGCCTGTGGAGCCGCCGCAGCAGGCTCCAGAAGCTGCGCCGGCCCGCAGGGAGACTCCGGAACGCGATGCCGAACATGAGCGAGCTGTAAATCCTTTCCTGTTGCCTGTGAAGCGTCCCCGGGCCACGGCTCCACTGGCCCTTCCACACTTTATGCACGAGCTGGCAGATGGTCGAGCACGGGCTCATGAATACAACGCTGCGGCAGGCGGCAGCCGATCACTTGTAACCAAGTTTCCCGTCGAGGTGATGCTCAAGATATTTGCCTATTTGGACGACATGTCGCTGTGGATGGCTAGTGAGGTGTGCAAACAGTGGCACGATATTGTGGCAAAAAGTACTGCCCAAAGCATGTGGAAGACCTATATTAAGCAACGATGGCCGCTCTTTGAGAGCTTGGCCAATAATCCGGACTGGTACCGGCTGTACGGGGCTCTCATGTCCTCCTGCTTTTGTCGCACATGCTTGATTGAAATGGGTGGCCGTGGACGGCCGACGGAGGAGCAAGGCCAACAACTTGGCGATGCAATGCGCAACAACTTCTTGCGCGGAGAGGCCAATCTCCTGAATAGCTATGAGTCGGAAGGCATATCGGCGATACCACTGGACCGGCAGAATAATTACTGGCAAGCCACGATCCTGGGACCGCCGGGAAGCCCCTACGAAGGTGGAAAGTTCTTTCTGTTTATCTACTTCCCCGAGCGCTACCCGATGGCTCCACCCACAGTTCGCTTCCTGACCAAGATTCTACATCCCAACGTCTCCCGGCATGGGGATGTGGGTATCGACATCTTCCAGCAGCACAACTGGTCCTTGGCATTGAATGTCGCCAAGGTTCTGCTCTCGGTTCAGAGCCTTCTAACGGATCCGTACACAGAGGTTTGCATGGAGCCGGAGCTTGGGTACATCTATGAACACGAACGCGAGCGTTTCGAGCAGCTGGTACGCTCCTGGACTTGGAAGTATGCCATGTCTGAGCTAATAGCTCCGCACTAAGAGGGCGAACACTGGACTGAAAGTTGAAAACTAACCCCGTTTACGATGTAACATTTGTCTGTGTATTTAGCTTAGTTGTGCCATTCGGATTGTTTATTTTGGCATCCCCCTCACATCATCACCCCACATAGTCGAAATTACTTAACCTAATAATAAAGGTAATCTTTAAGTTACAACATTTGTCGTTTTACTTCGTCCAGGACACCTTGGGGATGTCAAAGTGCTCGGTCAGCGTGTCCAAGTGTTCATTGAACTTCTCCACACGCTCCTTATGAGTGGTCTGAGCCTTGTCCATAATTCGTTTGTTTCGCATCTTCTCCTGTTGCTTCTTAATGGCCAACTCTGCCTTAGTAAGTTTTCGCTCGTAGGTTCCGCTTGTTCCTGCGCCACTTGCCTCGGATATTTGCTCCAAGTACGCCCGTTCCATTTCCTTCTCCTTGTCCTTGCTCTTATGCTTCTTCTTCTTTTTCTTCATATCCGAATCATTTTTCAGTTTGAGCTTTCCCTTGGCAACACAGGCGTATTCATCAGACATGGTTTATTTGTTTATTTTTTCGCAGAATTGTATATTTATGAAAAAGTGAGCAGTTGTTTACAACTCTCTAAAAGTGATGACTTGGGATGAACGATAGTAATTTATCGATACGGTTTTGTTATCGGTGCGGAACTAGTTCGAATATGTGTGAAATTTAAATATTTTAAATATTTTTGGATACTTTTAAATTTTTGAATATATGTGGACCATATGGACGAACTTACAATAATTTTAATCCATTATTACATTATAACTAAATGTAGTATTATTTCCCAATACCAGATGGTTTTTATTACTTTAATAGATGGTGGTTTATTTACTAAACTGTTGATAACGTTAATCTGAAAGACCTATTGACTTTTTAGAATATATTTCATCAGCGAAGAAATAATTGGTTTGTCAAATGCACTGAAAAATCAAAGAATCTTTCTTTATTTAATTCTACCCCCGGAACGTTATAAAATTTAAGGTTTCTTATTTGAGAAAATGAATTTTTTACTTTTATTTTTAAGATTTGTACTAATAAGTACAAATTGAAATAAGTACTGGCAAGGGTTTTTTTTTAGTGTATAAATTGTTTTTCTGGAATCAAAGACTCAGATTACTAGATTCAAACCTGTTTGTAGACAATAAAAAAATTGAATAAATTCAATTGATTCAGTACTTGGAAGATTTCATCGCTCTAAGATGCGTCTAGCTGTCGGAATATTTTTGGCCTTCGCCGTATTTCTGCTGATTGGCAGTGAAGCAGCCGTTTATCGAGGAATCTTCAAGGATCCAGCCCAGCCCGGGAAGTGTGTTGTCGAAGGGCTGGTGCTAAGCTCAGGTCAGACTGCTCGCCACCCCACAAAATGCGAGCGAATAAATTGCGGCAACGACGGCGATGTAGAATTTCACACGTAAGTGTTTGTAATGAAAATATTAAATATATCAGATTTTTGAAATACTATTTTAAATGTGATTAGATGCGGTTCTTATGGTGTACCCCCTGGCAAAAAGTTCGGCAACTACAAGAATCCCAAAGCCGATTATCCAGCCTGTTGTGATCGAGAGATTATAAATGCATAAAAAATGTTTAATATGATGCAATAAAAACCAATTTTTGTTGATCTAGATTAGATCTAGAAGCTTTGTGCTTTTATGGCTTACAATTGGACATTCGGTTTTAATAAAAATAAGAGTGGAAAAGATTTTTTTTAGTGTATAAATTATTTTTCTGAAATTCTTAAATTCCAAACAATGGAAAAAATTAAAAATAAATTCAATTGATTCAGTACGCGAATAGATATCAACTCTCTAAGATGCGTTTAGATGTCGGAATATGTTTGGCCTTTGCCGTATTTCTGGGGATTGGCAGTGAAGCATCCACATTTTCGGGAATCTACAAGCATCCATGGGACACCAGGAAGTGTTTTTACAAAGGACGGGCCATACATATGGGTCATACTTGTCGTCCCTTTTCTATGGGAAAAAATTGTTGGATAGCAACATGTTACAAAAACAGTGTCATAAAAGGTGTCTCGTAAGTATTAGTAAAAAAAATATTAAATAATGCGATTTTTGAAAGATTATTTTAAATGTGGTTAGATGCAGTCCTATTGAAGTACCCCCTGGAAAAAAACTCGGCCGCTACTTAGACCCCGATACTATATATCCCTACTGTTGTGAGCGAGAGATTATAAATGGATAGGCAAAAAGGCCATATTTTTTGTTTTAACTATCTTAGAAAAGATTAAAATAAAAACATTTTGAATATTTCTCACGAAAACGAAATAACCTTGAACTACTTAGCACTGGCAAGGTTTTTGTTTAGTGTATAAATTTTTTTCCTTGCATCTAAGACTCAGATTACTAGATTCAAACCTATTTGTAGACAATTGAAAAAATTTAAAATTAAATAAATTCAATTGATAAAGTACTTAAAGATTTTATATTTATGCTGATTGGCAGTGAAGCAGCCGTTTATCGAGGGATCTACAAGGATCCAGCCCACCCCTGAGGTTTAGAATTCCACACGTAAGTGCTTATAATGAAAATATTAAATAATCCGATTTTGAAATACTATATTAAATGTGATTAGATGCGGTGCTTATGGTCTTCTGGAATGCGGTGCCTATTCCAGGGGCATAGGAAATAAATGTTTTTTCTTAAATTCCAACAAATGGAAAAAAATTAAAAATCGATTCAGTACGCGAATAGATTGCAACGCTCTAAGATGCGTTTAGATGTCGGAAAATGTTTAAAATTTGCCGTATTTCTGGGAATGGGAAGTGAAGTATTGGGAGTGAGGTTTTGTTTCTACGATAAATGGTCTATAGCAGAAGGTTATACTTTTGACCTTTATTCAGTTTGTATGCGTTTAAGCTGCTATGGGGGTAGAATGAGTGTTTCCAAGTAAGTGTTTATGAAAAAATAGTAAATAATCCGATTTTTAAAAGATTATTTTAAATGTGATTAGATGCCCGAATCGTCGTCCTCCCCCTGGGATGGTGTTCGGTAAATACAAATACCCACATGATGACTTTCCCAAGTGTTGTGAGCGAGAGCTTAAAGAAAGAAATCCTTATTTAAAAGGAGGAAGGTTTTATACACCCGAATATTATTGTTGTACCACCGGATTTGATTAATTTTTTAATTGAATAGTTAAAAAATTCAATTCTTTTAATAAATGGTTCTTGTATTAATACATATAAGGGGTTCATATTATAATGAAACGCACCTTTCGGTGAAAGTGCTTGGCTCTCAAAATCTTCCCGGCTCTCTCTTCGGCACACCATCGCCCACCCACCCACGGCGATGTCCGTGAGGAAAGCTCACTATGCTCCGCCACATCGCTGGACTTGTGGCTTGTTGGCATTCGGCAATCAGTTCGAATCCAACGGACGACAGAACAACAGGCCGTTTGTTGTGCACGCTCGTGGCGCGTCTGTAAATATTTAAAAAAATACATTCATAAATGCCATTAGGTCCCATAAAAAGGATTCAAATAGGATTCGAGTAAATCCATCAACTAAGTGTTTCGAATGTGTGGTTTCAAAGTGACCAGTGCCGGCCAATATTGAGTTAGCGGCCATAAAAAAAAAATTCAAAAATTGAAAAGTGTTTAAAAAATGGAATTCGAAAAAAATTGAAAGTGCGAAGGTGAAAATTCTGCTCACTCTCTGTAGCCAGCCTCAGAATCGGGTTCCCTCTCACTTTCTCTCTGTCTCTCTCTCTCTTTCGGAAACTAACCGTTATTACGGTTTAGACATCAAGTGCCAAAAAAGCTCGCTCACCTCGCACATGCGTGAGTGTGTGTGATTGCTTGCGTGTATGTGCCTGGTCGGTGTGTGTGTGTGTGTGTATGTGCTAGCATCCTGTAGCAAGTTCTTCACTCAAGGATAACAGTCGTAAAAGCACAACAATGTAATGAAAAATATCAGAAAATATCATCATCATCATCATGGTCCTCATGGCGGAGCGAAAATATTACAATTTTATGTTCGTGTTTGTGTGTAATTCCCCTTTATCCTTGTGTGCGTGTCTCTCTCACTTTCTTCGACTCCAGCTCACCGACTTTAATGTCCTTCTTTGTCACTTAGTTTTTATGCGACAGTCGCCGTCAAATCTGACAATACGTGGGCATTTGCATACAATTTACGATTCCGTAGCCCCAGAGACGGCCAATCCTGCGGCTCTAAATCCTTACAGACTCTGCGGCTTTTCCACCTCTCACCAATACACAGTTAGGTAGCCAAGGGCATGTAACAGGTAACACAACACAATTGACACCTGTCTCGCTCAGTATTGCTGTTGCTCTCCTCGTCTTGGGCCTCTTTTGTGTTAGGTCCTGTAAACGGCAGCGGAATACACGTCCTGCCAATAACAACAGTTGCCACAACGAGCTATTTCAATGCCATAAAATGATGTTAAGTTCACATCAAATAAGCAAATACCAAAAAGGTTTTTAGATGAATTATTGGCTAACAGAGAGGGCAGTATTTGTCAAGTTTTAAATAAAAAGTTCGTAAATTATATTAACATTATTAAAAAGACATAAGAAAAAGCTTATTTATGGCTCAGGGCTCATGTTTAATATTATATTGAAAATTTATTCTTGCTTTTCGATAAGAATATGTCCATTCCAAAAATTTCAGATTTGACAATAAAAACATTTTCTGGCACTTGTTAGTCCGAGGACCAAGTTAGTCGGTTTGTTTAAATCCATTTTTTCATCTCCAAAGTTAAATAGCGAAAGAGATGGCCGAGGGGCGAAATAAAGTCGACAACTTTTTCATTACTGTTGCACATCAAGTTAAAGTTTGTCGTATGCTGGGATGACCTTTTATGCAAATAGGTCCGGCCAGCACCCGTCACCCCTCACCCAGCACTGTGCACTCTGACCCTCGGCCAGCCATCGCCTTGGTCGTGCATTATTAAGCGCCGACTTTTCTATTATTCAGCGCACACACACACATGATGTCTGTGTTTTTTGGGTGCTGTGTAATAAATAAAATGCATTATTCATGCCAAAGGCTTCGCTGCGGTCAGCCAGTTTTCCTGCGGCCACTGCCTGATGTTGCGGTCCTTATTGAAATGCCATTAGTGAGATATGCTTGCGATTCTGTTACTGACAACTGCGCCGACGCGGCGTATACGCAATCTGGCATTGGGGTAATATTTATTTGCCAGGTGTGCCCATTATTATTATTACACGAGCGAGGACGAGGGCAGAGATTTCCATTAATTTGAAGCGGAACAATGCTGGCCATAATCATTATGTATGCAGATAAGTGGAAATAATAATGCATTCCCCCCAATACCCATCTAAGCGAGCTTAGGGGCTAATTAAAGGAGAGAGAGATAGGGAATGAGTAAGAACCGAGTGAATGAATGGCCAAAGAATGGCCCAAAATGGCATTGTGGTGATGCGTGAATATTTGCAGCAACAGTGTACCAACATTGGCAACAACATTACAAAGTCCTTACCAGCGAGCTGATTCCGTTTTTTGTTTGTGTTTGCTTAACTCAAGCACGCGTGCGAGCGATTCTGCGTTACCTTGGACAAGAATAAACCATCCAAACATCCTGCAGCATCCAAGCATCCAACCATCCCAGCATCCATCTACTTGGCCATTGTGGTTGTTTTTGGTTCGGTTATCCTCCCGCCTCATCCTCGGTGGCTGGAATTTTTTTTTTCTTCGCTACGCGGCCTCACGTTTCTTCTCATCTTTTGTGAATCCTTGGCGCAGCATTTCTAGTTGGTGGCCTACTCTGAAGGTGAGTGCAAACACAGTCTGTCCCGCTCCTTAGACCCATTCAGGGCATCCATTTGCTCAATCGATTATTTCCCAACCGAATTCTTTTCCAGTTCCTTCAGTGGCTTTAAATAGGACCTGAAAAATAACGTTCATAATTAAAATTTAAATTGAAATCGACTGCATCGTGGTATTATTCAAAAATGTATTTTTTATTCCCCAGGGCTTCATTTGTTTTCCGCCGAATATAGAGTTTATATTAGGTATAAACTAGCTAAATCTATTTGTCAGTCATCGCATCGATTTTTTTCCATTCGCTGGATAGTTTATACAATGAGGCGAGAAATGATAATAATCAAAACTATTTTATTTATAAAGAGTGGGGAACTCAATCAACTGTTATTGGTCGAATTTGGAATTCTATTTTTCTGGATGATTGGCGTTTGTTTTTTGCAATTCAATGCTTTCGATTAATCAACTATATGTATTTGTCGAAAGGTCTTTAATAAACAGAAATAATAATAATATTTAAACGATAAAAATCTTTATTGGGTTTTATATTTCCATTCATTGGTCTCTGAATAAAAACGATCAATTCCATAATGTGTGTCTTAATTTAGATTGAATTGTGATACCAGTCCTCCTCCTCATTTTTCCAGCTTTCTTCTCATATTTGCAAAGCAAATATTTTCATTTGACTGGCACGGCAAACCATCTCAAAAAGTCAATAAACTATCCTATTCCTTATACATATATATAGCTTGTATAGCTTGATAAGCGGAGGACAAGGGCTGAGATTGTCATTAGCTGTCATGCACATCCATGGGGCGTGGCATAATGGGCGTGTAATGGAAACAGTTTGCTATAATTAGGCAGCAGTGGCCAGCTATTACGGTAAACTAGTTACTGTCTAATGGCCGACGCTGTTGCCTACTTTTGTGCGCTCTGTGGGCCGGACAACGGGGCGGATGTGTGATGGGGCTTGTCCAACGAAGGACAATGTGTTTTAATTGCTTTTCAATGCTCCCTGGTTGTTGAAAATCCAGGTATGCTTTTTTTTCTTGTTGCTTTGGGGGAAATGACAGTAGCGACAAGTTTTCAGAAGACTTCACTAACTGGTAGCGATTTTATCACAGAGTGGCACGAGGTTTGGACCACACTTACTGTGGGAAAGTGGGATAGGAACTTGCAAACTGAGTACAATTACATGACAACTTCCTCGACTTCCGATAGCAGTTTGTGGCTAGCAAAACGTAGGAATAGGGTATCGTAAAGATCCTCTTTGACTGGACTATGCCATGTCTCAATGATTAGCAGAAGCATTTTACAAAAACTGATTCTTTTGTTTACCAAAAAATAAAACTAAAATCTAGACTCATCCTTCCGTTCCGGTTGAGGTAGAGAGGTTGACTAGACAAGTGAGGTCTGTGTACCATTATTAATTCATAAAGTAAGCTCTCTGTAACCATAAATAAAGATGTTGTCTATGAAAAATGCAAACTGGTTCTCAAGCATGAAATTTATGCATCTTTCGCTGCTTACAACAAAGCATTGGGAATAAATTATTTTTTCCTATTGACGACAGGGCTTAGCATAAAGACCCGAACGAGCAGATGGGTCAGAAGATGTCTCCTTCATAATTCATGGAGAACATTACGCTCCGCCTACTACAAATCATTGCGAATAAAAATTCGCCCGGACTCGGACGCCCAAGTCCTCCGAAAAAAAAGAATTTTTATAGCGACCATCTTTGCCAACAGCTCGTAAAACAAGAGCAACAGTCCGCAGTGCTTTGCTCTCATAATTTATTTTACATACACACTTGAACTCACCCAAGCAACAATGAAAATAACAAAAAAGCACTCCACGCAAAGACACAAACAAACAAAGTACAAAAAAAAAAAGAGCATCGGAGGGGAAAAATTCAATTTCAAAAGATATTTGTGGGGACTGCAAACAACTTCATGTGGAGCCAGAAAAAAGCACACAAAAAAATGGAAATAGTTTTTGGAAACTTCTTGGAATACTTTTTGCCAATACCTTTACCAATACTTAAAACTTTCAAAGAGAATATTTGATTTAAAATGGTTTAATCCTTACTATATATTTTAATTTTCTCATTCCATATTGTTAGTTAAGGTTTCTTAAGCTTTATTTTGGCTTGTGTCTGAGCGCGAAAAGTAATGAATAAATAAAGTTTGGCTGTAGTTCGAGCAGTTACAGATTCCTTCTTGCAACAAAAAAAATGCAAAAAATAAAAAATAAACAAACCGAGGCAGATATGCCTACAAAGGTGGGTGTGCGTTTGCATATTTTAAGCGGCTCCTTTGCACCTTTTACATTTTATATGGGAGTGCGGCGGGGCGAGTTTGAGTTTCTCGACTTTTATTTCAGTTTCCGTTTATGTACACATTTGTAGCCTGGCCAACATCACCTTCACCTTTCGTCCACCAAAAAACACACACACACACTCTGCCAGCCCCTTAGTCTACCAGTACGGGCCAAAAAGTACCGACTGGCACGAGAGGTCACAGGGCAGGAGGGATGGGGGCCAGGCAGGGTCGGGTCTGCGCCTCCATTCCATTCCATTCCTCCTGCCAATTTAGAAATGTTGTATGTACATGTGTTTTCGCAAACACAAACTCAAAATGGCTACACGGATCCGGGCTTTAACTTTGAGGAGCGTGCTGGCACACACAAAAAATTGTAATATTCACTTTTTATGCTGACTTTGGCAGTTGGCTTTCGCATGCGACCAAAAACTTACTGCGGTCACTGTACAGTGAACACTCTCTTCGAAACTTTGTGGTTCCATGGTCAAGTTTCGGTCGAGCAAACAAAGAAGTCGTCTCCTTTGCCAGTTCTTCATTTTCGAGCCAAAAAAATAGAGCAAGTGCCAAGCCAGAGATGAAGCTTCCTGGCCCTGTGGCGTTCTACACTTCCTCCATTTCTGGCCAAGCCAATCCACTTTTATTTGGGTTAATGGCCACACACACACCCATATCCATATATTGCTAATGCAGATTTTCGTAAAATTCTTCTGCCATTTGGGGATTTTCCCGGCATTCGATAAGCCACAGAAAATTTCGTTATCCTTGCTACAAAAAGCCACTTGCCTCCAATGTCTGTGTGTGTAATGCGAGTTTGAATTAAATCCGAATCTAATACATACATTGGCTATGACAACTTTAATTAGTTTCAGGTAAATGCATTTAACACGGCCACCAAATCAATATCTGTTTTGCGGATTAACTTGAATTGCTGTTATCGTATGCGGTATCGAATGGAATTAGAGATGCCAACTAGTTTATGTATATATATTTATTATATTATAAAATGGAAGTGAGTAGGGACATTCTTATGTATGCTCCGTAAAGTAATTGCAAATTAGAAAACATAAATCACCTTTTTATTACCCAAAACCCTGAGCATCCCTGCTACTAAATGTTGATTCGTAAATCGAATTGAATAATTAAACAGCCTGGCTGTGAACAAGTGCACTTTGGCAATCAATCACATAATTGAGATGCGACTTTGATTACATGGTGCACCATGGAAAATCGGATAGTGCCTGGAAATATGCCTGCCTGGATGCGACCCTAGTGCAAACTAGGGCCTAAGGTCAGAAGGCAGTTGGCCTCAAACCGAGATGCCTGTGAATTGGGAGCAACTGTCGAGGTCGTCGCATTTGACCCGCACTGGAGTCGGGCCTAATCTGACCCTCTGCACCAGCCCCGCCGCCGCATTCAAATGTCAATTAGCGTTGGTGCTGTGGTTTCATTTTCTGTACACCGCCCTCTATCTTTCCGGCTCACCGTGTAGTTGATTTTGAACAATTTTTTTGTTGCCCATTCCCCGGGGTATGACTGTCAAGCATTTGAAGGCCACGGAAGCTCTGGACCTTGGCCGGTGGTCAATAAATCTGGGCCAGTATGCTCCACTGGCTGGGAACTTGGGGGAAACCCCATAAACAGTTTAGCAGAGAAGGCAGAAAATTATGACCCCAAGGCTCCTTGAGGCTCGTAAATGAATTTGTGCAGCTCCATTCTAAATCTTAATCTCTAGAATTTGCATAATTCCATAATCTGCGTTTTATTATGTTCGTGTTCCTGCATTTTGTGAAACAAAAGAATACCAAAAATCACTAATAATTTCAATAACATACAACTTTCCGCTTGCAGCAATCAGGATAGTGAGCATCCCACTTCAAATAATGGCTAAAATAACAGTCCTTTGGTGGGGCGGTTTCTTCACAACTGAATATGAAAGAATTATTTTTTTTTTTTAAGATGGAGATGACCTTTAATTTACTTTACTCACGTGAAGAGTGAGCCCCAGCCATTGCCGATGCAAAAGATTGTAACACATGGCAGGTTTATGAGCCGGAATGCCTCGCCAGCCTTCAGCAGGATAACCGATTTGCCATCATCGATCACACAACGATCCGGATAGGCTAAACTAGGCCGGAAGCTTTGTTTAATAAAATATATAATATTTAAGATGTTATCACAGCAATCGTACCTGGGTCTGAATAGTTATTTAATGACATATCCGCCCTGGCCTGCAGCAATCCCAGGCTCCAGAGGAGTCCGAATAAATATAAAGTTTTCGAGTTCAACATTTTGTAATGAGTTTTTCGGAAAATGGAATGACAATTCTCGGATCAGCCTGCCTTGTCGCAAAGTAGGGTGCGAGTGCAGCAATCCGGGTAAGGCAGCTCCGGATTCATGTAGGCCCCATAGCGGCGGGGTGGTCGCGGGGCGCTGACTCCGCAACTGGGCACGGGCTCTATTAGTTACACTACGAGGAGTCTCTGAGACTAACCACTCACCTGTGGAACACGGCCCTGCCGTTGATTCCGCACACAATTTGACGGCAGTCGTGCGTGGAATCCTTGATGCTTACCCCCGGGTCGAGGATGAGTTTCGGGTTGATGGTGCACTTACCGGGATGTTCTGTGTATGGAAATCGGAGAGTGACATGTGCTGCTGCAGCTACTGTCGTCTGCACTCACCAGGATGATTGTAGAGTCCTTGCCATTCGGCTGCTTTAACCGCGATTAAGAGGCCTGACAGGAGCGTGATGGACAGCCACCAGAGAGATGTGGCCATATTTAAGCTGAAAATTGTCTTTCTCTAGAGATTTTTTTAAAAAGTACTACAAATTTTGAATTTTTTTGCATTTATTGAATTGGAAAGGATACATTTGCTATTTGGCAAATAATTTTTATTGGCTGGAGTTTTTTTTTTAAGGATGGTCATGATGTTTTAAACTATTTTAAATTTCAAAAATATTTTTAGGATTTTTTTTTAAATTTCATTACAAACTAGAGGCGCCCGGCAGCAAGCGGGATAATAAAGTCCAGTGTCTACGGATTTATATTCGCAGCCGCTTGGCACTATCTTATCCTCTGAGCACCTAATTTGAACATAGATCTCTTATTTATAGAATCGAGAAAAAATTAGTAAGTATAACTTACGTATAGACCAATGCCCAGCCATCTCTCCCGCATTCGATTCGACCGCACTTTGCGGGATGAGGAATAACATCGCCATCTCCGATTATTTTCTGGTCATGTTCTGTGTTGATTACGCACTTGCCAGGATAGTCTGAAGAATAATAAACCAAGTACCCCATCCACTGATTACTGCTTTAAATAAAATAATTAATCACCACTTACTGGAATCTGAAAATATTTCGTAATTAATGGTTGCTAAAACGTTGGGAGTCAGTATAATTATTATGAGGACAACATAAAGAGTGGATTGAGGCATCCTTTCGTAATTTGTCGCTGCTGGTGTGTTTCAGGAAATTTCACTAAAAGATTCGATTTCTGAGCTGTCTGCCTGTGTCTGTGTCTGTCTGACAAGCGCCTGGCCTGCCTCGTTTACCGATTTCATATGCGCATTTTAATTGAAAAGACAGCAGACATGCACAGGATATACAGAGTGCTGGCTCTGGCCAGGATGGGAGCTTGGTGGTGATGAGGTTATCGAATATGTTAATCCAGTTATATGCAGCTGCTTTGCCGATGTGACATCTGTTGGTGTTGTTGCATAATTCGATTAAGTGACGCTGCAGCACTGTGTCTGTTGTGTTCCCCAATTGAGCTCCTCTCCAATGTAAATGTTGGTTTGTTGATGGAAATCTGCAATTATTCAGCCAACCGAAATCTAGACGAATTTGTGAGCCACATAATTGATGAATCTGTCTGCTATCCACACACATAGTAACCTATATATACATAGATTTGATCTGTCGGTCTCTGTGGGGTTAGGTTAGGACCAACATAGATTCTGGGTGGTGTTTCGCTTTGATTACATTCGACCTGGCCGGCCAATTAGCAGTGGTGCGGCCTCCATTGTTCGCCAGTTGAAATTAATTGAATCGAGTGGCCTCAGCTGGGCTGGGAGCTTGCACTTCCATGAACTCATCTCGACCCGTTTGCCGGACTAATTAACCAATACACTCGAAGTTCAAGCAAACAGGTGAAAGCACCCACAACAAATAAGTGCCACAGGATAAAGTGAGAAAAAAAGGAGCATTGAAACTTGATGCTGTTCAAACTTTGTAAAGGTTTTCTTTGCAAAGGAAACTCATAAACAGTACTTAATCAGTGTAATATTACAAGATATTTGAAAAGAATTCCCTCTATATATTTTACAAAAGTTGTGTAATTATATATTAGCTCTTTTTTCATACAATTTCCATTCTCCGCACCTGGGCCAACAAATTCCTATTTCCGCTTTGGCATAAATAAAGGCCAAAAATATTTGGATCGATAGAGCCATAGAGCTATCTAAACACGCATACGGATAAGGTATTTGCATATATAAAGAATCAACACGTATTCGCGGCATAAATAACAAATTGGCCAGGTGTAGATATTGCTCGTATTTGTTGGGCTCGACAGAGGTGTCCAAATAAGGGTCAAATAAGGGTCCCTTCTATTTTGGACAGAGAGAGGTTAAAGTTTTTCCACCCACCCCAAGAGATGTAAGTCCTGTCTGAGGGTTTTCCTGCCTGCCACTCACATTTTGGTCTGTTTTATGGTCGCACATAAAAACACACATCATTATAATTTCAATGATATTAAAGTCCATATCAAAGTAAATGAGATACAAGCGATATGCTTTATTTTTATTGCCATTTGGGCGGCTCTCGTGTTTCGGTTTTTGGCCTTTGCATTATACTTTCAGCGCTTTTAATTTTTCGGTGACCCCACTTTCTCACCTGTTCACCTCTGTCCGTCTTATATACATACACATACATCCAAATTGTTTCCTGTCCCAGTCTCCCGGGGAGAGACTCGAATGTGTCTGCGTTAAAAGGCCAACGGCCATGTGTTTTATTCGGCATTTATTTACGTTTCGGGGCTACAAAAAGAATATAAATAAATAAAATAAAAGAAAAATCGGAAAAAAGGGCGAGAAATATATACACGATGCAAGGAATGCTTTTAAGCAAAATAATATATGTACATATCGCTTTGTATACTCGTAACTCTAGCCTTGTCCATAGTTTAGAATCTGGAAGGGGCAACAGATATGACATACCATAAGAATATGTCAAGGTAAATTTTTGTAGTGTACTAGTACTATATTACTTCAATTAAATTATAATTTTCTTTACCATCTGATCTGGCAATTCATTGGCATTCGGGCTATTTCATTCACATTAAGTATACGCAGCGTTTTCTAAAAATTCACTCGAGCGAATACAATGTATTGTTTGGAACACGATTTGCTGGACTGGCACACCCTCATTATATATATACTATAAGTGCATTAAAATTATGAAATATTCTATAGAGACTCGCTTCACTGAATAATTCATGGACAAAAATAAACAAATGAAAAATACATTGAGTGGATCAAGTGCAGTCAACAAAATAGCGTTGTAGTATTAGTATTTTATTGAAAAAAAAAAATCTAATAAATTTATGTATAAGGATAGATGGTTGAAAATTGAATAAAAATATATAAAAGCTTTTCAAGTGATTAGCTAATCTGTGGCATGTATGTAAATTCTTGCCAACTGCAGGCATCTTTTGTGGCAAGCAACCTTGAATTTTTGTTGCTGGTGGTTGCTTGTTTGTTTGTGCTCATTGTTGTTGCAGTTTCTGTTGTTTACGACAGCACCACACTGAGTTATTAAAATTTACTTGTACAATTGCATTCTGTTGCACTTCGAACAGAACAATACTCTCGAAAATAGATCTCTGCTTTGTGTCGGAAAACCGCAAATATATTATAAACATTTAAGTAACGAATTGTAAAGGTGAAAAGTGTGGTAACTAAAAATACTTTCAAGAGGGGGAAAAATAAAAATTATATTATTAGAATAGCTTTGATCTATTTGAATGAATTCTGATACATTTTCCTTCATTTTTTCAGGTGAGTAAAATTGGCTATCAAGAATGCGAAATTGAATTTCTAATAATGTAAGTCGATTCATTCAGTTTTCCAATTAATTAATAAAAGCGAATCAAGCCCGACACGTTTTCATTTTACTCCCTGATAGCTCTGGAATTAGTTTAATGTATTCTAAAAGTTGTACTCCGTCCTTACCCTTTGTAATTGTTTTAGGGAATTATTATCTGGGATCAAAGCGATATCAAAACGCTGTAAGCCGAAGGATAATGGACTTGTGGCTACAGGTCTCTCAGCCGGCTGGCTGTTCGTTTGTCTGTGTGCGACTGTGAGTGTTAACCCAGACCCAGGAATTTATCCTTGGCATTTAACAATGCTTGACTTGCCCTGCCACTCTCTTGTTTTTACAGCCAACGGTAGTTGCTGGTCCTGGGCTGTGTTGTTGTGGCAACCGCGAAACTGCGCTTGTTGAATTATTTAAGACACACAAGTGCGCACCACCCACCGGGGAGTACAGCACCGCAGCCGCCCAGCTACCTCCTGCCCACCTCGCCGCTGTGGCATCAAGTACAAGGATAATGCCAAGCAGATAAAAGTGGCCGCAATGTAGCATACATTAAGGCGTCGGCGGCGCCAGTGAAGTCCTCCTCTTTGGCAGCGGCAGCTTGATTATGTCTCGCGATTCGCGGCTCAAGTCACTCCACAGAGCCCGGCCGCACAAAAAAGAAATTAATTAATTTTTAAGCGTAATTAAATGCAAAGCAGCACTCTGCCGCTCCCGAACCACTCCTGCCGCAGCCCCGAAAGCCTCTTGGCCAAAACAACACGCCTGTATACACTGAAAGTAATCATTTTTCTTTCAGTCCTATTACTAGAGGATTTCCTGTCTTATCTAGGGCTTTGAAATAACAAGAGACTCCTATAAGGAGACCGTTTCGCTATTAGTATTTATGATTATAATAATTAGCTCTTTAGTGTTGCAAAAAAAATTTCTCAAGGTGTAGGTCGAGTTTGCTTTGTTTTTTTCGGCCCTGAAGACGCAAGGCTAACACCCATCCGGGCAAGGACGCAAAGGATGCGCGCTTCTGTAATATTTTTCGAGACCCGAACATTTCTTGAAGGAAGTGATTTCTTTGAAATGAATTTCTGGCCTTTCCTTGCCAAACATTTTTTTCTTTTTTTTCTTCACGCAATTAAAAATTCCACTCGAAGCCGAAAGCCGAAAGCCCCTACCCATCTAAAAAAAAAGGTTATCCACTCGAGCGCAGTTAATGGGCTTCGAGTTCGGTTTCAGTGGGCTTTCTTTTTATTTTATTTTTCATCCAGTTTTTTTTTTGTATTATTTTATATATTGTTTGTTCTGGTTCTGCGAGTGATTGGCAAAGGGCAGAGCGCCCCAAGGTGGCAGAAACTTTGTCTGCCATTGACTTTTGCATGTGGGCTGGTCCAATCAACGCCCAACCGAAAGCAGTCAGGAGCAGAGTTTCAGAGTCCAAAGGACCAAAAGTTCAATACGAGACCCCTGAGAAACCGGAGAGCCGACCACTGCCAACAACAATGGGAACCTAAAGTCTAAACCTGGAGTCCACAGTCTCACCAGATTCACATTCAATTTTGATGGCTCGTTTCGTTTCGTTTGGCTTTGCTGCTTTTGGTCAATTTCACTTTTATGTGTGTAGTCATCAGCTAAATGCCCTCCCAATACTATGTATATCCTGTGTGCGTGTGTGGGCCATGTACATCTGAAATGTACATATATATTTATGTAGACAACGTGCTCGTGTCGATTTGTTGGTTATTTTTAGGCGTTTGTACACAAAACAAAGGCAAAACCCAATTCAAACAAATCGAAACGAAACAATTACGCGCCATAGGCTCTCAGGAACTGTCAGAAGATGCCTAATGGACTCAAAAACCAATCGATACATGGAGATTAAAATATGAAATTCATGAAATAAATTGAAACAAAATTAAATATCTAAATGTGAAATACTTTTAACCAATTCACCGCTTGATTCACTGCTGTTTAAATTCAACAAACCGATGGTAAACCATTTCAATTTTCAATTTCAATTATTAATTAATGTATTTTTATATGATTCGTGTCTCCATGTGGCCATCTCTTATTCTTTATTCGTTCGTGGCCCAGTTCATTAATGAACGGGCATCGACTGCATCGACACCTTCCACCTTCCACCCTCCAAGCTTCAACCTCCAACCACCCACCGGGCTGCACAATTCAATTAAATTTATGCCATTGCCAATGCCAGTGCCCGTGTGTTTGTCGGACTGCATCTGGCCTTACCCCATCTCCGCGCCCAGCTGGACGTCTGTAAATACATTCGCCACACGAATGTCAATAGCTGTTTTAAGTTAATTAATCAAAGCTGAGCCAATTTTTACCTAACGTTTACCCCATTGCGGTCTCTGAATATTTGCGGTCGCTTTCGGTGATTTGATTAGTGCTTAGTCAGCTATGTATTTTTTTTAGAGTTTTTAGGTCAAAGTTTG